AAGTAGTGTGTGACAAGGATAGACGTATACGCGCGTTAGACAAGGAGAGCAACAGCGTGCGACAAGGACAGACATATATGCATGGTAGACAAGGAGAGCAACAACGTGCAACAAGGACAGCAATATAAATTAGTTGCATCGTTTCACCGCTACGCGACGCTAGCGTTTCCATGCCTATGGAGGCGCGAATATTTAAAAAATTTAATCTAAAGAATGAAGAAAATAAGAAAGCAGAAAACATTTTGTATTCTTAGTTCTTAGTAATCAATCAAAGCAAATGGTCGTTGTAAAATCTTGTTAATCATGAATTTTAATAAATGGTTGTTGTAGTTTCTTGTTAAATCTCGTAATACATTTATTTAAACCTCCATATAACCATGAATTGATCTAATTTTAATATACGAAAAGAATTAAGATGATTTATTTGCGTTTTTAGTTGTTTCTGTAAAATTAAATATCCAGTTTTCTTCTTATATTCCGTTAAATTTATGGAATGCACGAATAAAGATTTATAAATTTCGTTGAATAGATGGACATCGATCGCTGATATAGCAATTAATTTTCTGTAAATTACATTCGAAACTAGAAACCAATTTTGAAGTTAAATGTTATTTAAAAACTTTCAAAGTAAATAATGTTTAATAAATAATAATTTAAATGTTTCACGAAATTCATTAAAAATGTTCAGGAATATTCAAAATATTATAAAAATGAAGTACTTATTTTAATTGTTATGGATAACATATAAGGAAAATCGAACAATGTTTGAACAATTGGATTATTATTTCGAAATTAAAAATAAAATTCAATTTATAAGTACAACGAAGATCGAGTTAATAAATAAATTTCTATCTTACCGTTCAAGATCATTTAGAGATTAATGGATCAACAGATTATATTAAATATACATAGAGATTAACAGATTAAGTAATGTAATAGCTTGAAAGTGATTCTTTTATTATCTATACGAATTTATAATTTTAGTCATTTCTAGATTCTTATTGTAAATTCATACTTCTACTAATTTGTTGCCATACTAATTACAATAATTTATACAAAAAATAGTATATAACAGTGCTATTATCTTATTCTATTATTTTCTATAATCTCTTATCTTTACTAAAATAAGTAAATAGCAAATAAATACATTCTTCTATATATTAACTATATATAATTATTTAACTTCCTTTCCTCAACCAACATGAACGAATTATCTCTTCAAAGACACCTTTGATCAATCCATCATTCCTCATTTTCTTGATATTCTTCATTTTAGATTATGGCTAAGCGACGAACTAGGTGGAAGGACATTATTGTTGACTGGAGTTAGTTTCGCTTCCTGGGTGCTAGGCAGCGACGTAGTGGTAGCCCAAACTGGCCAGACTTTGGCAGTCTGGTACAACGTCGATGCACCTGAAGTAGCCACTCTAATCCCTGTTCGTGGTGATGCTGTGGACATTGTTAGAGAGGATGGGAGAACTTCCGTCACGGTGGAGGAACTTGGAGGCAAAGTGGCCTACCTGCTTGATGAACCGTTAATAGAATTTGGCACAGCACTGCACGACAATGATTTTGGCAGAGCTTTGCTATTCCTAGAAGATCTGGCAGACAGACCTCAGGCAGAGGCTATGTGGGAAAATGTAGCCAGGAACGCAATGGCTTCTAGACAATTATTGGTGGCTGCCAGGTGCTACGCTGCCCTTGGAGATGTAGCTTGCTCCAGGTTTTATATCTGTTCTTCATTATTTCTCTATCTTCCTGAAAGTTATGATATAATTAAGTGACTCTATTGCTTCTTCAGGTTCTTGAAAAATATAATAGAAATCGGCGAGAAGTATCGTACAGAGTCCGGACACGATCCACTTTCTAGTCCTGACTGTTGGGCAAAGCTTGCAATTCTAAATGGCGAATTAAAGACTGCAGAAGCCATTTACTTGGAGCAAAATGAATTGGACCAGGCTCTGGACATGTACCAGAGATACTGGCACTGGGAGGATGCGTTGATTTTAGCACAAAATAGGGGTTGGCCTGGTCTCCAGGAGCTTAGAGACAGACATTTAACCTGGCTACTTGAAAGTGGTCAAGCGGCTAGAGCTGCTGCCATTTTGGAATCCACTAATCCTCGACGTGCTGTGAAGCTGTACCTAGATGCTCGTCGACCTGGTCGAGCAGCCAGACTTGTTCTGGCTAATGAAGAACTGTTGGAAGACAGATCAATTGTCAATGAAATCGTGAGAGTGTTAAAAGCGACAGATCTAATGGAATTGGCCGGAGAGCTATTGGAGAGGACTTCAGAGCCTCTGGAAGCTATCAAGTGCTACTCTCAAGCTGGAGTATTCGCGAGAGCACTGGAATTGGCTAGAAAAGTGGATCCAACTTCGGTAGTTGATCTTGAACGAGAGTGGGGCAAGCACTTGGTTTCAGCTGGCCATTATGATGCAGCTATTAATCATTTCATAGAGGCAGGAGAAACTGCTCTTGCACTGGATGCAGCTATCAATGCACGACAATGGAGAAAAGGCCTACAAATCATGCAGGCAAATATTCCTTCGTGTTTTCCCATTTATCCATTGATTAATAATATCAGACATGAATAATTTGAATTTTAAATAATTTCCTTCATAGGTGATCGAAGACGATGATCCCACGATAAGGAAACAATGCGAGAAACTGGCCGAGTATTTCGCCTCTATAGGCGAGAAGAATCTGGCAGAGAGGCTATTCATTCGTTCCGGGGACGCCAAACGTGCGATTGACGTTCACATACAAAATGGAAACTGGAGCCGTGCTCACGAAGTAGCCCAAGAGTACATGACTTCTGAGGAAGCGAACGAAGTTTTGGCGAAACATGCAACGATCCTCTGCGAGGCGGGAGATCTGAAACACGCAGAGGAACTGTATCTTGCTATTGGCAAATACGATTCAGCCATAGCAATGTACAAAAAGGCTGGTCGTCGTGCAGACATGATTAGATTAGTGGCAAAATACAGACCAGGCCTTTTGGAGACCACTCACGCGCACTTGGCCGCCGAATTAAACGAGGCTGGCAAACCTCGTGAAGCTGAGGAGCATTATGTTTCAGCTGGAGACTGGAGAGGAGCGGTGGCTACTTACAGGGCAGCCAATATGTGGGAGGATGCTCTTCGTGTGGCGAAGCAACACGCTGGAGATAACGCGGCCCAACAGGTCTCCATCACTATCTTTGGACGTTTGTTTATTTATGGAAAAAATACAGAAAATCTTAATCGAAATTAATTTCTCACATTGCAGGTGGCTTTAATATGGGCACGTACACTGGCACCGGAATTAGCAGCAAGACTGTTGATGCGACTGAATTATTTGGATGGTTGTCTGCAATTAGCTTGCGAGGCTGATCTGTTCGACTGGGCTCTAGAGATTGTCAAATATGGGAGTGCCGACCAGAAGAAGGAAGTTCACTATAGACATGCCATGGCACTGGAAGATGCAGGCCATTTCTCTGAGGCAGAGAAAGAATTTATCAAAGCTGGAAGAACAATGGAGGCTGTTCAGATGTACATTCACACCCGGGACTGGGAGGCTGCTGAAGATGTAGCCCAATCAATTAACCAAGATGCAGTTGCTCAAGTTCTCATTGCCAGGGCTGGTGAAGCAGCTGAAGCACAGGACTATTCTTTGGCTGAGACTCTGCTACTGAGAGCCCACAAGCCAGAAATGATTATCGAGCACTACAAGGTAATACACGCAATATATATTATTGTATTGTAGAGTTTCTAAATGTTTTTAATGTTACAGAAAGCTGGAATGTGGTCTGAAGCATTACGCGTTTGCAGAGAGTATTTGCCTAGTCAAGAAGCGAATCTCAGGCGTGAACTGGGTCAAAAGAGCACCTCCTTTGCCGGTACAAACGCATTTGAAGAAGCCAGAAAGTGGTTGGAGGTTGGTGAAGTGCGAGCTGCTCTGGATATCTTAATTCTGGACCCTCAAGCGCCCAGGTCGTCTCTTATCAAGGCTGCCGACATTTTGCTTCATCAGGCTGATCCAGAAATTGCTGCCCAAGTCGGTGGAGACCTTGGTTCACGGTTATTTGCCATTGAAGAATACGCTGTGGCTGCTCAGGTTGTCACTCTATTGTCAAATATCCGACGTGTAAATGGATGGCACTTTACTTCATTTCTTCTGTTTTCTTCAGGTATTTTTACAGGCAGACAGATTGAAAGATGCTATCGATGCATTGGCTGCAATTGGAGAATGGGAAAAAGCCAAAAGAATTGTGAATGAACTAGCACCGGATATAGAGCCTTACCTGGAAGAGAAATATAAGGAAGCAATACTGAAGGATGGACAAATAGATAGACTTGTGGAAATAGACGCAGACGCTGGCCTTGAGATACTGGCCAATAAAGGTCAATGGAACCAAGTGTTTGAAACCGCTAGCGCTCAAGGAACCCAGGTTTTACACAAATATGTGACACAAAGGGCGGTGCAACTTCTGAAAGGGAATGCTCCGCTGGAAGCTTTGCAGTTGTATGTCAGATACGGAGCTCCTCCCATCCAGCAAAACTTCAACCTTTACTTACAGTTGTCAGAAAGCATTCTGAACTCGGAGGTAAGAATAACACGTTGACATAGAGAAATAGTGAGATTATAAATTAAAGTACACATCCTATGTCACAAAAGTTATTCCTGAATTGATATATAACACGTAAAAAATAGTGGTCCATTATTTATTATTGTTGTTGTGCGGTCTTCCAGGCTTATTACGAATACAGATACTTAGCTCATTTGAGAACTGTACTCCTGGATCTCTGGAAAGGTTTAAAATCATCAGAATCCGATGCAGTATCGAAATTCGAGAGGTTACTCGAAGCTACACATTATTCAACAGTGAAGTGTGGTTGTCGTGATTATTCTGTACTTTCTGGATTAGTCTTGAAAGCCTCCATTACTTTATTGAGGTACACAGACATCCTTCATGCTGATCGAGCTTACTATGAAGCTGGAATTGAAGCACGCGCAGCTGGAAGGAACAGCGAGGCTTTTGTTTTTCTGAATCACTTTCTTGATTTGGAGGAATGCATTGAAGAAGGTGATAATACTGTGATGGATGTTGAAGATTTGGCTGTAACAGACTTTCCTGTGGAAGTTCCTTTGCCAGAGACGTTGAGTTTAACAGCAGAACAGAGAGAGGAGGCTCGTGAATGGGTTCTTGCTATGTCTATGGATCAGAAAGTGGAGCAAGTTCTCCCTACGGATCACAGATCAGTTTATGTAGGATCATTGACTGCCCCCTCTGTTAGTTCTGGGTATCTTCAAGGTTGCATTTTGACTGGGTATCCTATTCGAGGTCCAATAATTAGATTTGCAGAGGTATTTTAAATGTTATCAATGAATTTTTAATTCTTGTTTAATTTTCTTCAGAGTATAATGATTAATCGCTTTCTGTCAAGGGTCAGCATGTGGCAGACCGTGATGACTGGACAAAGTTAATCAACACTGCTCGCCAGGCTCCTCAGGATTCAAATCTTAATGACATTCTAGCTTTCATCCAAGAGTGGTTTGGAGCGGCTCCGAATTACTCCTTTTAAAAACACACAACGTTACTGATCGCTAATTACAGTTTATTGTAACATTAACTGAAAATCCAACCTAGAAAGGCATAAATACAATAATATAAGTATAAATAAAATTAAATTATTATCAGTAAAATTAACATAAATAAAATATAACATGTCTGACAAGCAGCAGTGGTCTTTTTAATAATAACAAGGTAACGCAGAAAGAAAACGATTTCGTTTCTCTAGAATTTATTTAAATAAGGCTGCATTATGTAAATAATTAGTCTAACTTAAGCATAAATAGTTTCTATGCAATGTGAATATACATGCAACATGTGTCCACGAGATTTCTCATATCTTATCATTAAAGTGTTTCTATGTCTATAACGATTGATCCTAGCGAGTTATCAGGATAGTTATTACTCGTTGTTTGAACACCTATCCGCGATGGATATTTATACTATTCGGTGATGACTATGCGCATATTGCATTTTTATACACAGACTATGTATTTCGAAAATAGTAGTACAAGCTAGAAATGAGAAACTTTGCAGTAAATAAATTACACAAGATTCTTTTTTAAATTTCCCTTTGCATTATGTTCTTTTTATCTCATTTTGATCTTTTTTAAATATATTATTATTATTATTATGTTGAGTATAAGTAAAAAACACGACAGATAAAAACGAGAAGAAAAGATTAATGAAAACTTCAAGCGTGTAGAAATATTGAAAAATTAGTGCTTCAAACTTTAATACCATAGTGCTCGTTTTTTCCTAATAAAACATCAAGAGTATACTATCGTGATACTTACAAAAAATAAAGAAATACCATTGAACGAGAACGCATTTGGTTTATTTTTAATTAAATATCTGCCATTTCTTGCTTATACCATCATTTCCTAAGTATGTTATATAAATATACAGGAAGTGCCTTAAAAAATGTACTGTAAACAAGATTTCCAAGTAAAAAGCAAAATGTTAAGGATTCTACTTGTCTATTCATTTACGGAGTTTTAAAATTATTTAAGAGTTACAAAGTTACTAATCAATTCTACAAAAATATTGGAAATCATCTTATTTTTTACTCAGAAATCCATTATTTTTTCCCTATAATACAGTATACTTTAAGAGACACTTTTCATACATTTATAATAATTGATTATACAAAACATTTGATAAATAGAGAATTTCCTGGTAATGAAGGAGTTTTTCGTAAAGGCCTTTCTTGTCCATTCCGTAAGAGAAATCTCCTATTTATAAGATCCCCTCCCTATAATTTTATAGATCAATTCTTTCCATTTATTAACATTTGTTAATCTTCTACCTTGTTAAATTAAATAACTGTAATTAATTTATAGTTTAGAACGTTTCGTTTTGATTTTCAATCATAAATAAAATAATTCAGATTTGATGAAATTACGTTAAAATAATGTACAAGATTGAATTTAAATCTAGACGACTTATTTGAATATAAATTTACTGTTGTCAGTATTTTCTTTCCAAAAGTATCTATTCTGTCATATCCAGAAAACACCCTATTTATTAAATACTCTGCACACATATTGTTGGGACTATACATGTAACTTTTCATTTGAAGTCCCCTTTTTTTTATAAAAATGAAGAACATGTCAAATACAAAGGAGGTTTTGAAGATATACAATACATACATATTATGCTTTTCCCCTTTACTAACACGTGTAATCATTTCATTTTGTTCGACATTTTATTTCGTACGTTCTCGTTTAAATATCGAACAAATCCAGTATTTGCTATTTATTTTATTTTATTTTATTCTTCGAGAGAAAATTATATTTCAATCAAAAACTGTTTCATTCCAATTTGCATTACGATATATGCAGAAGAAATTCTTGCAAGAAGTACAAGTCATAATTTGCAAATTAAAGATAAAAGAAGATACTATATAAATTATTCAAATCTGAACTGTCATAATAGCATACAAAATTTCAGAACAATCTCGTTTTGAGTTGTTCAAAAATTTTGTACAATACTAACCATCCTCTTTCAATATAACGCATCTAAAATAAAAAAATCTTTGACCTAATTCAAATTGCAAGAATCTCTCTCATCAATTTTAAGGTCAAAAAATTATATCACCTCACTTTTTACAAAAACTCGTTACAACTACTGCTGCGTGATCCTAAATACCGGGCCAATTCTTAGGAAGAATCTCCGCAGCACAGACCTTAATTCCGGTTTGAGATCAAAGCACATAACTTCACAAAGTAGCGGGTAACAGCTGGACGCGTGAACAGCAAACCGATTGTCGCTCATTTTCAAGATTCTTGTCAGAAGCAACAACAGTATCGGAGTCCAAGCATCTCGGTGAGCCTCGTTGGAAAGTGCCAGGAAGTATTCTAGCGCTTCACAAGCCACTTCAACGAGCCTAGTTTCCACCTTGCTCCAATCAGCTCTATGAGCTTCGTCACTGTACATTTTAAAAAGGATTCTCAATGCACAGGCTAACGACTGTGTTTCTTGTTTGAGTAGATTTGGCTTCACGTTGCCCCGGAAACCAGCCTTCCACAACACGTTCCGTTGTTCGTGATTGGAGTTGAAACTCTTAGCGAATCTATGGGATTTCAATAAACATTCGACTAATTGCAATAGATGCGTAGTAGTCAAAGCGTAGTACATGCCCTGTTCTTCCTTCTGCTGGTCTGCACCAGCTCTTACACCCAATTCAGAGGACTTTCCATTGAACATGTCCGCCTGTGCTAACGCTAAATTCTCCTGATCTTCCTTTCTAGACGTAGCTGGATAGAAGACGATGTTGTCTATCGTTTGAATCAGCTCTAACTGTACGACACACTTAATCAATAGTGCGGAGAAAATTTTGTTCTTTATTGACTCGCCGTTTATTAAACTTTGGGAACTGTTGCTCCTTTTGAGAATTCCCACGTGACTGTCCGCCTCTCCTGTAATTACATCTAGATCAGATTCTTTATTAGGCGATTGGGGTTTCCAAGTAAGTAGGGCGGACGGCAGGGTACTCTCGAAGATATCCAGGACACAACTGCAAGTTTTCTCCCAAGTCTGCTCGTCGAACTTGATGCCGTTGCTGATCACAAGGTTCTCCAGGCAATTGGTTCCTGAACGTGCCAGTTGTTCATTGTCTTGCTGCACACACCAGAGTAGCTGGGAGTACAATTGCTCTAGGAGAAGAGGTCCTAAAATGTCGTAAAACTGTGAGAATACGTCAACAATTGCGTATAGGGCATGGTTGCATGTTGTTGTCATCCATTCTGCTTTCTGAAATGTATGTATAAAATATTAGTTTACTATAAAAATTGTTGCGCTTTAATGAATAATGCAGACTGCCAAAATCTCTTGAGTACCTCTGTATGTTGTTCAGGAAGTTTCATGTTGTCGAAGATTCTGAACAGGACTTGGAAGAGATCTTTCCACCAATGGGGTTTGAAAGAAGCTCCATGCGTCTTCACGACGTCAAAAAGAACGGTTAACGCTCGTGTTCGAACGTCTAACTTACACCTGCTTACTATACACGACAACTCGAACAACAGTGGAAACCATCCCCTAACCTAAAGAATAAAAATTTTCGACTACTAAATTCGTCAAAATAAAAAATGTAATATGCGATCATTACCCAAGCTCTGTCTTCTTCAGATACCATTCCACTGTCATCCATCATGCCCTCCGCGAAGAGATTCGGATTGGCATCAATATATGACGCGCAAGAACGTATCAATCTTATGGCCTCCATGCTTGTCTCTGGGAAGGAGGCATTGCAAGCGAATTCACTGAGGCACTTTACGGCATCTTGGAACGAATCTACCATGATACTGAAATCTTCGGCATATAATTCATCTGAAAATATATGTCAAATATATTATCTTACAAGATGAAGCAATTAAAACTATATATTATGCTTCAAACTCACTTATAATCTTTCCAGTCATAGAAAATGCAAGCTCTACTACAGATTCATCTCTGTCGCTAGCTGCATGATGGAACACGCTGAATATATTTTTCCATCCTGATCGTATATTAGGAGCCTGTGAGTGTACAATTTGCGCGACACAACGGACTACCATGTCTCGAATCACTGGTGACCGGTTCTTCTTCATGATATGCTCAAACGGCCTGAGGAAATCCTTTTGAAATCGGAAATTGGCAAATTCTCCTTTCTCTATGAACTTAGTTGCAAGCTGCCTCAAAGAATCAACTGCAAAGAAAGCGATGTCCTGACGGGGACTGCAGCCAACTCTATCAAAATGATCCCCTATCACTTGCCAAATTCTGGACCACTGAAGTCTGATACGTCCCATGTTGTAATAAGATATCTCTACAATTTTGGTCAATGAGAACATTCTAGGTTGCGTTGGATGTGATAACTCCTCCAGTGAAACTTGACAAAGAGCTTTCACGAATTCTACAATGGCGTCACCATCTAATCTGGTGGAACCCGTGAATATTCGATCAACTGCCACCACGACGCTTTGAGAACTTGTTTCTCCTATTGATTCCTTTACACTTGCTAAAAGATACGTAAAATAAATTATGATAATATAGCAATAATCGTGACATCTTTTAAGAATATCCAATGGCACGTGCAATTTTTCCAATTATTACGTGAAAAATTATTAAGTCAAAAATATAAAAATACACTCACGATCCAACGAGCTGAGATTCAAATTATTGTTCTGATGGGAGTTATTATGTGTTAGGTTGAAGTTGACCAACGGCGACGGGAAATGTGGCTTCGAAGGTGGGCCGAGGAGCTGTGGTCTGACTCCAGTCCCAATTAGCTGAGCAAGTTCGAGTTGGGAGATGCATTTGACAACATCCAGCCAAGAACTGCCAAGATAGTTACCATCGGTGTGAGCTACAGTAATCAGAGTTTTAATCGTGTCGATGTTTTTCGCCTTCATTTCGGTGATCGGTGAATTTGCAGTCAACAGAGTAAACCGCGCCAAAGCTTGTACGTATGCATCTCGTTCTAACTATAATTTAAAAAAGAGAAATAAATTTCAAATGTAAAAGCTGATGACTGAATAAAATTGCCACTTGGAACTGAAAATTCTGCTGATGTCGCAAAAATACTTGCCGTCATGTGAAATATGCAAGCAATGCGTATTGCACATCTAATGCCATCTAGACAAAGTGAGGCAATTTCTGGATCATCACAGTCTTGAAGGCCGACGCTGAATGCGGCTAAAAACGGTGTCCACGCGATTTTAAACATTGGTCGAACATGTTCCAAATGTTTAGCTGTGGTGAACGGTGCTTGTACATGACTGACAGATTCCATTAGATTTTTCGCTGCTGTCGATATTACCTCCATTTCCATGTTCCATAATAGTCGTCGTTTCTTTTCACTAGATATCACTGTAACATCAAACACACATTTAAAATTATTAATTAAATTTTTGTGAATACTCATTTTTTAAATTGAATTTCTTGAAAATGAAGCTTTCTATATTTGCTCATATATATAATGATTTTTAATTAATCATTTCAATTTGTTATTCACCTTGCTTGCCAGGACGATTAGGATTGGACTTCATTTTAATTTCGTTGCCGGCTATCTCATCGTAAATTTTCGACAAATATTCTTCGGGCAAATCTTCGTTATCGCTGATACGTCGGTTTAGTTTGATATATTGCTCTTTGGTCATTTTATTCTTCACTTGAGGCGAATGGAGATCAGTAGTCAGCATAATAATTGAAAAGCCCAATACGTATGCGGTATCTGCACTTGTGAACAATCCATTACTACAATCGAAAAAAAATAGATAATTAATTTAACAGTACATAATATAAAATACGTTATATAATAATATTACATATGAAGATCACATAACAAGTCGATCTTTATTGATTTCTTGACTTTTGTGCCATTTAATAGATAAAAAGAATCTTGATAAATATAAAACAAGATGGAAATATGTTAACATGATATATTTTTTTATTCGAGATCTTCATATAATATTAATGTCAAAAAGATACTTACTTTGGGTTACATTCACAATATCGACTGGCAAACTTCTCCATTAACCGATCGATCTTCTGCGCTTCACCAGGCAGCCGAAAACCCTCGAGAAAATATCTCAAGGCTGTAACTAAATCGCGATCGGCAAAGTTCATTTGATCGATATAACTGTACATCACCTGATTGTGATTGTGGTCGCCAAGAAAATCGCCTATCGCGGTTTTATCGAGTCGTTCGTCCATATGAAGCCAACGAGCAACGTCTTCAGAAGAATTACCTAGAAGACCTTGCTCTTGAAGATATTGTACTCCCTTGCTTGGCTTTCGATTAAAACTAGAGGTAAGAATATTAATTTAATTAATAGAGCGCGTGCCTGCTTGTAATTGATTTTTAAAATATCGTTACAGCGATTTAAAATACCAGGAAATCTTTTCTGCAAAGTACGTTCAACATTTTATCACCGGATATCTGGTTAAATTCAAAATTTAATTATAATTATAAATTTTTATTACATGTTTATTTAAATAATCAATTTTATGTAATAAAATTATATGAATTAATTCATTAAAAGAAGTAACAGAATTTTAGTTTGAGACAACCTGATGCTTTAAATGTCAGAATCAAAGAAACAAGCAAAAAGAAAATAAATCCATACATGTCGATTCCAGTTTCCCACACTTCTTTTTGTTGTTTCTGTACTTCATATTGCTCAGGAGAGTCTGGAATCTCCTTATTGCCTATTAGACTAGAATTTGCTGAGGATAAACTGCCAGCGCTTCCATAACGCGGTAGAGGTGGTTCCACTGGAGGATCAGGAGGCTCCGATGGAAGCTGTTGATCAGCTGGAACACTTGGGTTAACATACAGATCTCTGCTCCACTCAACCATGCACTTTAAAATTGACACTAAGCACTCAAGGCCTCTGATTCGCATTGATTTTTCTTGATTAGGTGAGGCACCTAATTCTAGTGCTTGTCTACCTTGTGCAATCTTCGATAAGTCATTCACAAGCCTATAGAAATATAAACAATCAAATCTTTCCAGAAAAAAATATATTAACTTGCAATATATAATATGTAAAAGTTTCAAGCTTTCAAACCTTTCAAACAAATTCGCAGCTGACAAGTCGCAGTCATAGTTCACATAGATGTCCACGACACTCTGTGCATCCGCACAAATACGAGTCAGAGCGTGAATTACCATCCACTTGTGTTCGAAGGAACTGCTAGAGGTTTCGAGGATATTCATAAAGATCTCCTTGAAGAAAACCTCAATCTGCATCTTTAAGTGCACTTTGAAACGAGCCAGCAATGCGAGGAATAATGCTAGGGATAATTCGAACACTTCAGGAACGGAAGAGACACCGTTCTTTGAGAGTGCTACACAGAGGTACTGTTTTATGGCTATGACGAACATTTCATTAGAACGCAACACCGGTCCAGCATTTTGCAGAATACCCAAAAGCAATTGTAATGAAAGAATCTTCGACCTGAGCTGATGGGACCTAGAAAGAATATACAACAAGAAAATCAAATATGAATCAACTCGAAAATAACCCTCTGTATCCCAATATAAAAATTCGTCATACTTTGGGTCTGGAGTACCATCAGGCAGTGGTTTCATGGAAAGCTTGCAAAGTGCTCTAAAAACCAGGAAGGCATCTTTCTGCAGTACATGAGTAAATTTTGCCCTGACCATATTATCGTTCTCCGCAACAGTCTCATCGGAGTTTTCGTCTATAGGCACTTGATCTAAGCTAGCCTCCTCCGAAGTTACGGTAGTTACATTTGTCGAATCCTCAGGAACAATGGAATTTACCACATCTTCCAAAATTCCTCGAACTATCAACTGTGATTCTTGACTGCCCTCCGTAGTTGATTCTTCATGATTTACTGTCTCAGTTTCGAGTTCTCCACCAGAAGTACAATTAGTGGAATTTGCGTTAGTCGTTTCAGATTGTTCTGTCTCGGTTCGGATGGTCTCTTCTTCCTGAAAGGAGAAAAATTAGATTTTTTTATATAAATTAATGTACTAATTATTAATTAATATTAATTATTAGACTTACCGCTTGTGTCTCCATGCGCGCGAAAATAACATTGATCATCTGGGTGAGCGTAGCTCTGGCTGTAGTTTGATTAACCAAGTTCCTTGAAGCCAGATAAACGCTGTACACTGCACGTATGGTGAGTAACACGGTACCCTCGTGAACTTCGACATGCTGACTTGTCATTACCGTGAGAAGAGCTTTTATAATCTGCAGCTGGACTCCCTCATCCGTTTGTGGCCCCATAAAACATCCACATATTGTCTCAACAATGCGTACAATGAGCAGCTTATTTGGCTCTGTAGAGTCAGGTACATTTCCTGTAAGATGTCCATAGGCAATCAACTTTTGTAGACAGTCCAGAGCAGTGACTACAATTCTTGGAGATTTGCTCTGACAAGCCAATTCAAAGGGCAAAAAATATTTTTCTGCAGAGATGACATACGAATCACTGCGAGGCTGTGGCAAAGCAGTTGACACTTGAGTGCCTGAGCTTTCTTTGATCTCATTTCTCAAGTTATCTGAAAAATGATATATATTTGATTACATATGAATTGATACACATTAATATGCATTTATTTTCATGTTTTTCAAAAATATTATTTTTCATATTTGTCAAAAGATAAAAGAAAGTGAAGTAACTTTTAAATAATAAATATTTAAAAATAGACAAAAATATAATATAATAGTACACGTATCTTATATATAGTTTTCTGAATATATCTTGTCTATACATAGATGCATATTTATATACACATTAAGATATATATATGTGCATCAAGTATCAGAATTTAAAAGTTAAGCAACATTGAGACATTAAATATGATTATATTACTTTTAACAATTACGTATTATTAATTAATATAAACTATTTACAATAGATGAAGAATAATCCAATCTACCCATAATAAATCAAGAATAATTGATGAAACAAAGTTCAATCTGATGCAATATATTAAATCATTGAATCAACCCAATTTGAATCTTCCTGTGAAGACCAAGAAATGCGGTTTCTTATAATCACTAAATCATAAAGTAAAACTATACAGAGAATTTAATGTGAACTCAAACCTACCACCAATCACTCTATAAACAAGATCATATTATAACATTAGAAAATCAATGGACAAGAAAGTAAAATTAGTTCCAAGTACAAGTCATTTATATTAAGTTGGAGTAATGTGTCACAATGATCATTAGCAATACAATGTGCAACGAATAAACTTGAAGATTCTTTGATTGCACGTATGTATTGACATTTACTCCAAAGGAAGTGCAATTTCAACGACTGACGAACTTTACCAAGTGCAGTCTCGCAGGACTTTCTAAGTTGAGAAAGATGCGACCGTTTGACATCCCGGTCAGCCAGGATCTTTTCCAAAGCTCTGATAATGAACATCTCTTTGGAGTTATCTCGCATCGTCGCCAGGCTCCACTGATCCCTCTGCTAGGCTGGCACGGGAGCACACGCGGCCCGATCGGAATCTCGCATCTTCACCATCGTGACTTATGTACCGGTTTCTCGTCGAGCATCGTTCTGCACCATCTTTCGTGGGGCAAATATCCGCGGCAACTTCTGCGGTATTGTCGACGAAAAACGCGAATCGATCACGAACTCAGAATGACAACAGATGGGTGGAGCAACGATACTTAGAACGAATCTTGAGTTAAAAGTACGTTTCACACCATACTGCACGTGATCACACGGAATGACGACGAAACCTTGAGAAATGACAACTACCCTCTTTTCGAAACAGCGGAGAAATTGCACAAGGAGACAAACTGAAACGACGAAGGAGAGTCAGGTGGCACCCTCTGTCTACTATCTAGGGAATCTAAAGATCTCTAGACCAGTAGCGTACGCATCGAGCTTTGAATCTTCCTTGTATTTTTCCATTTTTTAATCTGTGAAAATCGTAATTTATCATATTGTTTATTGAAAATATGCATCAAAACATGCACTATTGCTATTAGCTGTTCTAAATGAGAATTTAGAAAAAAATGAAAATTTTCCAAACGTCGTCTACTGTGGACGATACTGTGTTACATAATGGCGCAAAAATTGAACAAGCGCAATTCATTTTGTAATATTTCGTAATATCGTCCACTTTTTATGTTAATTATACGTACATTAGTTATATTAGTTGAAATTGTATCATTTTAAGTTTAGTTGTACTATTTTCATAGTTTAATAAATTTGTAATGACCAAAAATACATGCACTAAATGTACAGGTTCATGCATTTGCCTATAAGGGGCGCAAACGGATTGATAACCTAACCTTTATTATAACCTAAGCTTATTTGTTGCAAAACAGTTCAATTGTTAATAAATTATATAAATTCATGCATATTTAAATATTTTATTTTCGTTTCATATTTATTTTGTCCGTTTTGGTCTTAATTACTTTAACATCCACTTCATGTAATTTAATCAACGTAATCGAACAACGAAGACAACTATATAAATATTTGATGATTTTCAAACAAATATTTAGGAAGATAAAAACTCCAGATAAAAAGTCAAATAAGAAATTTGATTTTTACGTTAACTTCGACGATGAAAATGAAAATTTAAATTGTTCATTTAAATTGCTGTTGCGATTGCTAATTTAATTACGCCTGATTCTCGCACGACGGGCAACGATCCATTTCAATTCAATCTAGAAACTCTTTTCGACTCGTACGTTGAATTGCTCGTATTAATTACGTAAAAAATTACGACTGTTACATCGTACGAGAAAAAAAAACAAATAGACGACTGATGGAATATCATTATCTAACGACCGCAGGGATGAGGCGCAGCACGTGAGTCATGCAATTCGAAACGATTTGTATCAAATTCAAACTCAATATAATGAAATGACGTCATCAACCATCAGCCAATAAAGCTCCAATTTCTAATCGGGAAGATAAAAGCAAAATCTTAATCTTATGGGATTTAATGAATCCTCTCAAGTGAAAGTAGTGATGCACCAGTTGTTTTGACATTGTGTCACGAGGCCCAGGGATCATTGCGCAGTGCTAACTGTCAAAAAGCCATTGTGCTCAATGCTAATTATTTAATTGAATCGTACGAATTGCTAACAAAAGCGATTGATTCAATTGTTAAACGATGGAGAATCAACCATTAACTACAGGGGATGATAGACCTCCGTCTTACGCAGCGGCCACCGCACTAAAAGGTGGGCAAAATATTATGCATCGTCTTAACGTTTAGACGTAATTTGAATTGCAGTTGAGGAGTTCGAATTACATATTTTGTTCGATCGACTGCACCCTGAAACAGTTCTTGGCATTTCCTATTGTACGAAGATCGTATATAAAATTTGAAAAAAGAAATTGTTCAACTTCATTCGATTCTTTTTATAATTATGTAGTTTTTTTATATTAGAAAGTAACTTAAAACTTATTAAAAAAAATTTATATATATATTTATACAATATACACAATATACAATATAGATACAATATTAATAGACAATATGGTATACATTGTTAAGGTTGCATATTAAATATTATCATGCAAAACCAGAAGAAGTAATTCCTGTTATTATTCTCTCGTATGAAGATTGAAATGTTTTATATAGCTAATTCTTCATGACAATCACCTTTAGGTTACAATGCAACACAATGTGGAGGATCTACTTCTTGGCCTCCACCTCCGGGATATTTTCCTAGCACTAGTGGAACTAATAATTACAACTATGTACCTTCTTATGGTTCTACACAATCAACCACAATAATTATGCCAGAGATAATTTTAGTTGGAGGATGTCCTGCATGCAGAGTAAGTAATTTGTAATGGATTTAATTTTAATATCCTTCGCATTGAGTGAATTTATTTGGGCCTCTTAATTATAACATATATTTTTCTTATTGAATTTATAAATTTTGTATATCTAATTCGAAAAGTAAGGATTAAAATTAGATTTTAAAAACATAGGTGGGCGTAATGGAAGATGATTTTACATGTCTGGGACTACTGTGTGCAATCCTGTTCTTTCCATTTGGAATAATTTGCTGCTTATTGTTAAAGACTCGGCGTTGTTCTAATTGCGGTGCCTATTTCGGTTAATATGTTACTATGTGTAGTGACACGACTCTGACGGGAAGTAAATGCATTATTAAGCTAACTTAAATGCAACTACTGTAATAATTTAAATAAGGAAGTGTAAAAACAAAGCATAAGAAATTAATTTTTTACTGGTATTGTGCAACTGGGTGATAATCTATGTAAGGTATTCTAAGGGAAAGTAATGTTCCAATGATTAGGGATGTATACAATTGGTAATTATGAGAAACACAAGTTTGTAAAATGTTGACATACAATTAAGCATTTAATACTCTATGCATTTAAAACTTTGGTGATTTAAACAGAACTTGTGCTATTTTGTAAATTTTATGCAACTTCCTGTAAGGTATTGATTAACGTTGTTGCTCTTTAATATAGGATATTTTGTTATAATGAAAAATGAAATAGTTTATATTTATATATATTAATATTATTATATACTTTAAAATATATAATATATAGATATAGCATAGCATTTTAAATATATTTCTATCAGATAATAAAAAAAAAGCAATGAAAATGATTCGGAATCATGTACTTAAAATATATTTGCAGATATAAAAGTTATCTTAAACAGATTTCATTGAAATTCTTTCGTAACCAGTACTTACTGATTAGGAGTATTTTGCATACAAAGTATTTTGAATAACTTTTAATAAAATAACTTATCAAAGTTTATATATTTTATTAAAAATAAATTCAATGAAATTTGTGGCCTGTGCTTTTATTATTTACGTCATTGTTTTACAGCGACGTTTCTTGATGCATATGCACTTGTAATGCGTTTCTAAAAATACGTTTGAATCTCAAAGGGGAAACTTAGTAAATCTTTTCCTGTAAATGTAGTCGATGTTGTAATGAATGTGAGAGTGTGAGTGAAATGAAACTTATTAATCATTCGCATTGCAATTTATATTTTTATAAAACAAATGTCATTCTAATGTTGATAGAAATTATCTCTATTTGTTAAATTGGTCCAGATCTGACTTTTGAAAGGATTTCGGTCTATAATTTTACGCTGACTAGATTCAAACGAAAAGAATAATATATTGTATTATGCTAGATGATGTACTAAGACACTAAGTACCTGAAAACACGAAATATTTTTCTAAACTACTAATAATTCTTCTGTAAACAGAAAGGTACGTTTGGCTTCTCTAAAAACATATTTGTATAACACAAAATGAAACTGTTATTAAAAACTGCAATTATTATTAATTTTTGAAACTATAAGAAATTTCTAAATACTGTGTAACACAGGTGAAACATACCTATAAGATAAATATTAAGTAACATCAAATAATACAATTATACAATGTTTAATGATTTAATTAATGATTAATATTCGATTACGAATATATTTCGTTCTCAGAGATCTTGTTCCTTGAATACACAGATCAACATATTTAATACAAAATATGAACAGTATTATTCGTGTTGATTGAAATTTGGTACTCTCGGCGGTTGTAATTCAAGAAACTCACATCCTAATGATATTAGACACTGTACACGCGATATGTGAATGATATATTCGCACTTCATCATGATCTTCAACATGCATATTCATATATGCGTATGTATATGACATAAGTGTTTTCTTTTTTCGTCGCATTATTGGAATGTATACAATCATTATCGAACTCTACATTATCTATATGCCTTTAATTCTTAATTCAAATGAAATCTCACAAAAATATTACTTATCATGATCTTTAATTTTTAATTATTTTTAATTATCTTCATTATTTAATCAGACAATTTTGATTGATGCTGAAAAATATTTAAAACTGATTTCAAGAGTTTTCTTAGGATACTTATAGTATGTCTAGATACTTATAGTAAAGTTTCTAGAAAAGATTGAGTGTCATTTAATTATATGTTATGGATGATGAAAATCCAAATTTGCATACACATAACTCACAGGCATAATAAAATTATGTAATGCTACTAGAAACATCAGTTATTATCATTATCAATAATGAGCATCTTATTTGAATATTTATCTATCTTCTTTACTTAAATATATTTTTTTATTCCTTTTTTTTCTTAAATTACAGAATAATTGCAGAATAATTCAAGAATAATTCCAAGGTCAAATTGTGTACCAATATACACTAATATTATTATAATTTTCCAATTGATTAATCTTCAACAAAGGAGTGCTTGGTGTAAAGTCAAAGGAACAAAAGAAGAAAAATAGTAATTAATCCTGATAAAAACTAGACAGCTAAAGTAAAATGCAAATTTATTACTATTGTATTCTGAACATTTTTCTTAGCAAATGGACGCTCTATTTGTTGGATCAGAAAAGAGAAAAGAGGATAATTTCCCAATTCATCCAAGGTTTTGTTTGCGATATCCGTTAGAAAAACAGGCAAGAAAGGAGAACCAATCTCGCGAATCTCGGTGAAGCAAATGCAACTGAAGGTAGTTAACACGCAACAATCTTGTCCTTGGTCCGTGGACATTAGTATAAAGGAAACTGTACGAGCACCACGCGGAGCAGATTGAAGAAAACCTCGATGCGCAACCATGCCGGCCAACGAGGAAACTTTGAGCGTCTCCTCTGATCAAATAAGAAATAATTTCTTGGGGAAAGTTTGTGACAACAGTTTACAAAGCAATCCTGCTCGTGTATCTTCCGACGACGATGAAGAGGATTGTCAAAATTGTCCAGAATTTATTATCAACAAAGACAACGAAGAAAATTGTAATTATAAAAGTCTTCCAGTGCGAGAGGTCCATGAAAAGTTTATGAAGAGTTTTGTCGATCTACTTCTGAAAGAAGCAGTTTTTGAGGTAAGTTTATTGTTAAAATTTATTGTTAGAAGAATATATATATATATATTTATATATTTATTTTCTTCTAATTATTATTGGAATAAATTAGTGTACGTTTGACAAGTTATTTAGAATAAAAGAAAATAGAATTGAATAATTATGCAATAAAGTGAATTAAAATTTCTAGTAAATTGTTCAAAAGATCACTTAAATATTTTTTTGTTTTTTTTTTAAATTGAGGCAATTTTACTCGAAGTTCATTAATTTGCAACGCCTTATTTACTAAAAATAAGTTGATAGTTACATGAATTATGACGCACGAGAATTAGAAGATCTAGATCATTCATGTTGGTTTCTTTCATTCAGTTTTTGCGATTTATTTTCCTGATAGTACTATCACGTGTATTAACACGTTTTTATGAATCTGTACGATTATGGAACACGATTCCAAGAACGATTCCAAGTTCGATCAGGAAAAATTCAAGGAGAAAAGTGCGTGACGCACTTTGATTCTGGAAATTACATTGGCATTTCAATCAGGGTTTATTGACTTGAAAAAACCTGGAAAGCACCTGTTATATTTTCCGCATGAAACAGTGCAACTTCTTACCCGTTCTTTGAATAATAATTTTTAGTCACAATTTTATATTATAAACTTACTTAAATTACAAATTGTATATTCAATATAATAATTAATTAATATACAGAATAAGATATATTATTATTCTTTTTTTATTTTTTGAGTATTATTAAGAAATTGAAAAATTTTGAACCAAGTCAATTGGATTAATATCTTTTTTTAAAATTTTCATTACTAATTATTTTTTCAATAAATTAGATTTTAATATAAATAACTTCTTTAACATTTCAATGTTAATAATAAATTAGAAAGTTTAAATAAAAATTTTTTAGATAATTTAAAGGAGCATATAACATGTATAAAATGTTACTAGAAGAAATTTATAGTTTTACTCGTCGAGGTAAAACTGAACAAAAAATATGATTTCTACAATTAACGTTACACTCGAACGCCTTCAATCTTTTTACTTTAAAGCCATTCACTTTGAATTATCCAATTTACACGTCAAGAACATTACCGCCGTAAAAATTTCTTTCCTTCATTTTTCCTCCGTATTTTAATAAAGTGTACTAAACATTTCATAGAAATGTTTTTTCTTTTTCTGTCTTTTGCTTTCTTGATCCTTTAAATTGAACACGTATACTTCATATTAGTGAATATTATTGAGATAAATTTTTATAATTGTTATAATTGTTCTTATAATTTTAATAGAAGTGAAATAATGATAATCATTTCCTCTAGATAAATTTAAATCTTCGTTCGAGATAATTACATCATTTAATTAAAGCAAATTTTAAAATTATTAAATTATAAAATTGATGTATTCCTCTTTCTTAATCATCAAAACGTAAATCAAACGTAATTATGTTAGCTTTCCTTCACTCATTAATGATTCGCTATGCGTTCGTGCACGAAGAACTACGCCGTAAGTTGCTTGTCAGGTTACTCTATTTTCAAGCTGAATTATAAAATAAGAATAGAAGAAAAACTGCGTCGCAGAAGAAAAGAAACTAGTTCTTATATTAATGCATGGAAATTTTTAGGAAGTTACAATTCTCTGAGGCAATGAATTATTCTGATTTCAATCACAGAAACATTATTCACTAACAATTTCTTCAAGCTTTCAAGCTGCAGTCAATTAATTTCAATTCTTTGAATGTTGTCAATGATAACAATTAATGATCATTGTGACTTCTATAATGTTTGTTCTCTGTCAGGATGGATAACTTTTTCTATCCACCTGAAACAATTTAAAAATTTATACCTATAACTTAAAATATTGGAGAACAAAATACTGAGTCACTAGTTACGAAAGTATTAAATAACAAATTTTATATTATACAACAAACTTATTTTTCAGGGAACTTCAAGGAAAAACAGAGTAGTGGAATGGATGGAACCAGCAGCACTTCAATCAGCTATTGATTTAAAATTGTCTGACCAAGGATCATCTCATAAAAAGCTTGCTACTCTTGCCCGCAATATAATTAAATACAGCGTAAAAACAGGCCATCCTCGATTCATAAATCAGTTATATTCCAGTGTGGATCCGTATGGTCTTCTTGGGCAATGGTTAACAGACGCCTTGAACCCTTCAGTCTATACTTATGAAGTTTCTCCAGTGTTTTCCTTAATGGAAGAGGAGGTACTGTACGAAATGAGAAAGATAGTTGGCTGGAAGGATGGCAGAGGTGAAGGAATATTCTGCCCTGGTGGTTCTATTGCCAATGGCTATGCAATTAATCTGGCACGGCACTATAGGTTTCCCGAGTTGAAAGAGTTAGGTTTATCCGGTGCTGGCAGATTAATAATTTTCACATCCAAAGATTCTCACTACTCTGTCAAGAAACTCAGTGCATTTTTGGGATTAGGTACTAGTAATGTCTACGAAGTAAAAACTAACAGTACAGGAAAGATGTGCGTAACAGACCTAGAAGCACAGATTAAGAGAGCTCTTGACGAAGATGCAGTGCCTTTGATGGTCTCTGCCACAGCAGGAACTACAGTTCTAGGTGCCTTCGATCCATTAAAAGAGATAGCCCTTATTTGCAAGAAATACAATCTGTGGTACCACGTAGATGCAGCTTGGGGAGGGGGAGCTTTGATGTCAAAGAAGCACAGGCATCTCCTGGCTGGCGTCGAGCTGGCAGATTCTGTCACTTGGAATCCACACAAATTGTTGGCCGCTCCACAGCAATGTTCGACATTGTTATTGCGTCACGAGGGTCTCCTGCAAGCAGCGCACGGTTCAAAAGCCAGTTATCTCTTTCAACCTGATAAATTTTATGATACTTCTTTCGACAGTGGTGACAAGCACATTCAGTGCGGCCGGAGGGCAGACGTGCTGAAATTCTGGTTTATGTGGAAGGCGAAGGGCACTCGAGGATTGGAGAAACACGTGGACCGAGTGTTCGAACTGGCGCGGTACTTCACAAATTACATAAGACACCGAGAAGGCTTTAAGCTGATGCTCGAACCCGAGTGCACCAACGTTTGTTTCTGGTACGTGCCACCCTCGAAACGTCACTTGCAAGGCGACGAACTATCGAAGGCTCTCCAGAAAATCGGGCCAGCCGTGAAGGAGCGTATGATGAAGAAGGGCTCGATGTTGATCACGTATCAGCCTCTATGCGAGTTACCTAACTTTTTCAGACTCGTTTTGCAAAACTCTGGGCTCACCGAGGCTGACATGAGATTCTTCGCAGAGGAGATTGAGAGGCTCGCCGTTGATCTGTAGAATTTGTACCTTTTGAATTAAAGTTTTAGTTATGTAGCTTTCAATTTCGCCAAGAATTTCTGTTAACAGCGAAAGCTTTCAATAAAAAAAAAATATATATATACACATATTTTTTAAATAATAATCAGTCGATTTATTTTATATATTTATTTTTTTATTTTTTGTTTCTTTTGTGTTTCCTCTTCGAAAAATTCGTTTTCCTGATATATCTTTCTTTGAAATACATTAAATTTTTGTTCCACAAAAATTATTTAAATAACGAATATATAATCGTTTAAACACTCAGTAAAACGAGCATAACAGTTGTTTGTAGAGCATGAATGAACACCTGATCATTTTGATCTCGTTTAAAACTTGAATGTTAAGTAGCTCTTTATCGGATCAAGATCTTTGATGCGATTTTCAATCATATCTATTTACGAGTTAGTGAACTTCTTACGTATTTTGTTTACGTGTCAGTATTAATTACTAAAATATTCAGTATGCTGAACTTTTTTTTTTTATTAACGTCGAGGATCTTTGACAAATGTGAACACATAAATCTTCTCTGGTGGGTGAACTTCATTTTCAGGTTCATCTACATATACGTATATCCTGCTTATACGTTAACAATTTATTTCTCTAGACCTCTAAACAAGTTATAGTCTGTTCAATGCAAGTTTTCAATATAATTTGTTTGCAATGTAATCTGGCAATATCGTTGTATTATAAAAAACATTGTCAGTTATCCGCGAATTATAGTACACACGTACAAACACCCACCATACATTCCAACGGTTGTGAAATAATAAGCTCATCGATTCTATGTCGTACGATCTTTCAAACGTAACTACAATATACTATATACAAGTATTCGATGAATTGTGAATTTCATTTCGTGTAGATAATACATTTACATAGAATCATATAATCCCTTCGGTGCCAGACACAACAGATCTAATATAATTCTATAAATTCATTTTATAATATTTCTTCGTTGGAAAATGCAAAATAATATACATTTGAAAATTCCTCCGAATAAATTTGTGACAATTTTATGGAAATTTAATACTGCCGTATGATATCCATAACCCTGACACGTTCAGGATGAAATAAAATGCATGAAAATTTCCATTATATTCATTATTTGTACTCTTCGAGGAATCTAATGTGAAATTGCTTTAGACTCTCGAGCATCATTTTCATTTTTTCCTTTTGTGGCAAGATAGTCGTTCTGAAGTGATAGGTTCCAGGTCGCTGTCCAAAACCGGAACCCGGTATTACGCAGATTCCGGTAGACTCCAATAGTTTAAACGCGTAGAAGACATCAGGTTGTTGACCTTCTTTCTCCGCTGCTGCTATGGCTTTTTTGGGCAATTCGATTCGCGGAAATACGTACATTGCACCCATAGCTGGGTTAACCTATCAAAAATTGAAATCTTGAAGTTTTTTTTCTTTCAATAAAAATGTAGGAACTCTCACGCGTGAAAAATTAATGATGTTTGAAATTTCTATGACAAATTTCTATAATAAATTTTTAAAACGTACCTTAAAACCTGGAATGCTATTTAAAGTATCAACTACCAACTGAGATCTCTCTGCTAAAGAGCATAAAGTGTGCTGCTTTTCCTTTTCAAACAATTGATAGGATGGCTCATTCGGTTTTGGGGGATTTACCACAACATCCATCACTACCTGACCAAGAACAGTAGGACACAGCATCGCTGAGATCGACTTTAACAATATCGCCATTACTTTAGGATCCATGTTGACAAATTCCCCGTACCCGCCGCGGATTCCACATTCTCCCATGTAACCTGAAACACGTGCGTACAAAGAGATATCTTAGTATCTATTCCAACAAATATTTGGAATTTTCCAAAAATAATACTGAACAATTCCATATCAAGCATTATAAGAATCTGACGTAGGCACTACTTTCTAAACTTATTACTTAACTAGACATATTGAAAATAGTGAATATTTATAATATATTTAGCAATTAAATTAGTAAAAAATCAACTTAATTTCAAATTAGAGTGTACCTTTAGATACAGACATGAATGAAGCCAGCTCCATTTTACAGTAAGGTTCTCCCATCTCTGTCATCACCTTCTTGAACGAGTGGAAGGCACTGTCTTTATCATAAACATTATCCTGATAAACTTCGTCAGCCAATAGGAACAAATGGTTTTTATAGGCGAACCGGATGATATCTTCGATATTGGTCCGCGTAAGGACTTGTCCAGTTGGATTACCAGGATTTATTACGACCAACACACGAGGGTTACATATTCTCCTTGATTCACTTAATGCTCTATCTAATTCGGAAATATCCAACGCCCACTTGTTCTCCTCATTGAGATAGTAACCAATTTGGGCCAAGCCAAATTCAGCCAGAGTGGCAGAGTATAGAGGGTATTGTGGAATTGGGATCATCACCCCCGATGGTTTTCCATCTACTTTCTCATTGAACAGTTTCAGAAAAGACTGTAACATAAATGCAACAAAAGTAATTACATGGATTGTTCATATACTCTTTCAAAATTAAATTGAAGGTCACAGAATAATCTGAATTTTTTATTTGGACATTTGTTAACAGATTGTAAATGTTTCTTCAAAGATTGTAGTTGCGTAATATGTGACCTGATCATTTAAAATAATACACAGATGTTTCAGAACTACAAGTTCATCAAACAAAAGGTAATTGTTTAATTTTACATCCAATTTGGTTTTTTCTTTTAGTAATGAAGCTTTAAAAATATATAGCTGATTTCACATTTACAAACGTAGTCTGTCCAAACCTTCTGTTACTATTGCTTTGCTTTGTTTTATAAATATTTTTGCTTTCGCTTTCTCCCAAATATTTAATCATCCTCTAATCAGCATCATTCTAACCTAGCATATCTATCAAATCATAATATTTATCAATTTTTGAATCTCAATAGTTAATTTTATCCATCTTCATCATATTACTAAACAGAAAATGTTCCTTTTCTTTTACAGCATGCTAAACTGGCTCATAATTTTGAAACACCATGTATAGAAACCATATAGTAAAATCATAAAACTATTGTCTTAATTTATGATCTTGTTATATCGTTCCTATTGTGCTTAACAATGAAATACAAGAGAAATAATCTGCACACTTTGATTCCATCTGAGGCGCCGTTCGAGAGGATGATGTTATGATAATCAGAGGGAATCCCATCACGATCTTGAATGTATTGCGCAGCATGTTTCCGGATGACCTCGATTCCCGCCGATTCCGAGTACGAACCAACGCTGCCTCCTTTACACTGGCACAATATAGTCCTGGCTCGTTCTTTCGCGTCCTCGGGATAACTAGGATCATTGAGAAGGTTTGGCGACACCGTCAAGGTCAGTACTTGCCTCAAGAAGGTGATAGGCTGCTGGCCCATAGCGTGTGCATCCCCCACGTTCGCTTTTATCACCTCCTTGAATGGCTTTTTAGCTCCCTGAAATAAAATAACGTATTAATATACAAATTTAGTATATTTATATACTTAATAATATAAAATATACTTTACAAATTATAATAAAATTTACATAGCTGATATATTTAAATAAAAATTATACTACAAAACAATATTATTCTATTAATATTTTAAATATTAATTATCTTTGTAACTAATTAGGTATACATAAGTGTTATGCCATTTTGAGCTTTTTATAATATTAATCTCATTAAACTATTATAATTTTTTTATATGAAACTTACTGAGACTTCGTTCTTTAATTAATTACCTATTTTTATGTACATTTTACAATATGTGAATGATAATAATCATGATTTGTATAAGATTATTAATTTACAATATTCCTTTGCTTTTATTATAAATTATATTTAGTCTGCAGGTTTAGCAGAGTGAAAGCGCAAATATCGGATTTTCCTCGTCACTTATCGTTTTTATTAGATCCTAAGTAAATTGTATTTTTCTTTCATTTTGTATGAGGCAATTGTTTAACATTTAAATGTATCGATTCAATCAAGCAAGCATTATGCATTGTGTATAGTGTATTACTCATATTCAATATGTACAGAATAATAATCATGTAAGTCAAGCATAAAATTAAATAAAATTTTAAACTTTTATGATGCTCAGACATGCTTACACTTGTTTTTAATCAATACCAATTGGAGCTTTTTTTAAATGAATTTCTGATAATAGTTCTAGAAAAACTAGAAGATCTCGGGGCAATTGTTTCATTTATACCTATAATGAAACAACTATGACGTGAAATACTATCGTTGGCATTATTCCCTCTTTATGACTCACTTCAAGAATTCCAGAAAGTCAAACGATCACAGACTATTTATCGCAAAAGTCACGTAGTTACGAAATAGATTATCCTGAATGAAGCTATATATTTTCATAAACAAATAGACGTATAAAATATATAGACCATTTATAGGTACTCATAAAGTTTATTTCTGTAAGCTTCTAAATTCTTCAAACAAATATTTACTTTTATCTTTCTGTAAAAACTGCTACTGTACATTTTACAAAAATTATTATCTTTTATTACATAAACTGTTATATTTATTCTCGTACATTTTTTTTTTAGAATTGAAGATAATATTGTGTTCGACACAACTGGCATGTAACAGATATTGATGTGTAACACGAGTTAACATACACATCAAGACTGCTGTATGTTGATCTTTCTTTACAGTTTATGGTATCAAATTGCACAGTCAAACAAATAAGCCATTTAAATGGTTCTTATTACATACTAAGCTCGTTTTTGAACCAGCCACTGATTAATATTCGTTTTATTCGATACATTAATGATGCTCGTTTTCAGTGACGATTAATTGTAAAAAGCTGAAAAATTTATAGTTCTTAAATGATATGAAATTTGAAAATTATAAATATAAGTATATCATGTACAATAATTATGTAGTATATGCACATATTGTTTCTATGCTTGTTTTTTCTTTTTGTAATAAACATACAAATAATAGAAATAAAATCCATTTTTAAACAACAAAATTATAATTTATTTAATTTCGAATTATGAAGCATTACGAAGTATGTACAGCATACACATACTGTTTCATAATTTTAAATGTTCATTCATAATGCAATTACGTCTGTATGTATTTCTTGTACTACATAATTAAATACAGTATATATCTACGTTTGTACATAAGTAAAGTTCGATTGGAATTTTATCTAAAAAGTGAATAAAATATTTTTGTTGCGCATAACATCCGTTTATACTAATCGACGTCAATTGAATACTATTTTTAGTGGCTTACACCTTGAGTCAAGCCTCAGCGACAGGTGGTTCCAACATCAATCGGAACCAATCGAACTTGTATTCGATGTATCATTATTTAATCTCCACTATAAAACAAAATGTTCCTTTTTCTCTTGTACTTTTATTTAAACATGTAAAATATATAGAAACTATAAAAATATGTAAAATATATATATGTATCAGTAAATTTAAATTTTAAGCATTAATATTCTTAAGGACGTTTAAAATTACTTTATTTACGTTGTATAATTCGTTAACTAGATGAGCTTTTTCTGGTAAGCCACGTCAAAATATATTTGTTAACTGATTTAAAGTTTCATCTAATCACACTCCTCTCATATATTATCTGTATTATCTACCTTGTCACTAACAATCAAAGAAAAGACAGATAACAGATTTCTTTAAATGACATTGGAATACAACTTCCATGTACAAATATTCGGGATATAATAGCCGACAAAAATGTACTGTTCTCACAATTCATCGCAAAACTATTTACATCCTTTACAGATGTAAAATTACACCGTGAATGCCATTTGCGTCTCATTATCGTAGCTGTCAATTATCCGAAACAGCTGAAATCGAACATTACCATTATAACCGAATTTCATTCCCGTAGGTTGCGTCCATTTAAATAGTCGATCGATTTCAATGGAAGCGTTCGATACCAAAGCGTATAACACGATGTATCACGCGAATCAGCCCTGCAATGGAATATTAATATTTTTCAAACTAACAACGCAAATGAAGTCATTTAAGCTTGGTGTACATAAAAGATTCTGCAATTCACTAAAGTACTTTCATATCGTTTAAGGTTATAAAATTCAAATGTTCAAAATGGTTAGGGAATCTTCCCATTTTGCAGTGCAATGAGTAAAATCGGTATTCTGTCGGGCTCGCAAAAGACCTTGATAGCGCAGGATTAAGCTACGGAAACTGGTGACTGGAAATGATCAGTTATCTCTTATCGGTATGTACATACATATATATGTGATGATGATGATGATGACCATGATTTCTTACCTTTTGGAGTTCCTTCTCGATCTCGAGAGCGCGCAGAAGGAGAGGACCACGCACTGCATATTCCATTTTTCGAAGGTTGGTGAAGACATTGTCCTCGGTGAGGACCTTACTCCCAGGTGGACCACTCGCCATGCCGCGACAATGTATTCTGTCGGAAGCCGGCCGGTGGACTACCGACTCAGTAGCCGTCAAACGTGCAGATGTTCTGCCTCTCGACGTCCCTGACCCCCCGGAAGCAGTCAGTTGTTCCCACGTCCTAGGCCGACTGCTCGCGATAACAGCGTTCCACCAGCGTGCCTGCGGCATCGTTTCACCGGTCGGTCCTCTCTTTTTACTTCCAGTTACCAGACGTTTCCGCTAATTCGCTTGACGATCGTAGGGTGGGGGAAAGGACGTCCGCGCATGCGCAGGGCGCTAAAAGCAAACATTAAACGGGTGGAGTCGAGAGAGAGAGAGAGAGAGAGAGAGAGAGAGAGAGAGAGAGAGAAAGAGAGAGAGAGATAGAGAGAGAGAGAGAGAGAGAGAGAGAGAGAGAGAGAGAGAGAGAGAGTGCAAAATAANAACATGCTGAAATACTACGAAATAGAATAGAGCAAGGCTTCCGACAAATTCGAGAAATTCCACCAGGAATGATAGAGAGAGTAACCAGACGAATGACAAGACGCGTGCAGGCTTGTCTTCAAATGCAACGTGGTCATTTCGAGCATCTTTTGTAAAAGTAATTAAAACAGAAAATTCATTGTATCTCATAAACGAAGACAGACAGGACATATATTATGTGACTTTTTTTCATTATTTTTAGGCGTATTATTTTACGGTCGATAGGCTCCCACAAGTTACGAAACACCCTGTATATACTATTAGTTGCAATACCATTATTCTAAATACTACTACTCTGTGAAATATTACTTGAATGGAATATTATTTTCCCATATTTTAATGAAATACTTATTTCACGATACTATTTCCATATGTAACTACACACACGAGAAAATAAAAACATTTAAAAATATTTACAAACACACACGAGAAAATAAAAATATTTAAAAATATTTATAATAATAATATTTATAATAAAAATATTTAAAAATATTTATAATAAGAATAAAATAATAAAAACATTCTATCTACTATTTTACATTTTACTGTTTCTCCCCAGCCCCGCAATTCTTCGCCAAATATTCTCGACGTGCGTAACGCGTTATAAAGTCTAGAGCGCTCTTGTTTCAGCTTTTGCTTCAACCACCCTTCGCGCGTAAAAATCCAATGGCGCAAAAGTCCAATGACCTTGGAGGCTGAGGGAAATTGGTCCTCGATCTCCATCCATCTCTACGAATTTATCACGCCGTTTGATACGTATACGTTATTACTCATTACGCCGTTCTATCTCGAAAGAAGAATTTTTAAGCGCACGTTTTTTTTTTTTTTCTTCTTAAAACCGGAAAAAGGAAGGACACTCTGCACACGCGCACGTACGCGCATATTTATTTGTTTATTTATTACACGAGCAGCGGAGCTTTGATGCAGAGAAGATGAATAATCAGAGAAAACCCCGGCCGAGGGACGTACGAGCGCGCAGCCGCCCCCCGAATACGGATATTACAACCCCCGGATAGCGAAGAGGCGTGTCACGCGCGTGTATCGCGCAAGATGCAACAGATGCCAAATTAATGAGAAACAAGCAGCGGAGATCACGGTTACACAAACAACCAGCGCAAGCAGTTTCTTTTTCTACGGGGACAGGGCCGTGATGCTCGCGTTACATAATCGCGATAATTAACAAATAGCAGGGCGGGCGGCGACGCGCGTGGTTAAAAGCGCTATTTACTTTGCAAATCGTTGCCGAGCGTCGGTGTACACGCGCCGTTTCGTACACACAGGGTGGGCCGAAACGTTTCTTCTCGCCTGTCTTTGTTCGTCAAAATGCGACTTTGTCACGTCAAAACACAAGAAAAAGAAGAAAACAGTCGAGTTTTACGAATTTCAAATTCAGCCCAAGAGCGAAGATGAGTTTCTCGTTGTGTTTTCGAGAATTATTTCCTTCGAAATCGTATGCCATCGACCGCCATGTACGTAAATAAAAATATCACGGACTTGTTTTCACGGTAGGAAGCGATTTTTCGCCCACCCTGTACTCCCCTTTGCGCTGGCGACTGGTTCGCGGACCATAACGAGTGACCGAGCCGTGTCTCAGTAACTCGTCGCTTTCATTTTGTACCCGTCGGTACGACGTCACTGCGCAGATATTATTAACTGACAAACTTATCGTTTGTCATTTGTTTTGTCTTTTTTAAATTTAAATATATTTGAAACCAAGGGAATGTTGCGATTTGGGACAAAATATACTCGACGTGCGTGGCACGTCATTCCATCGCCAAGAGGTTAAAGTAGCGCATAACCGCGTTCCACATTTAAAAGTTACACGTTGCGTACATGCTTGTCGATTTCGACTCGTCTTCGTTATTATCGTTTCGTTGTCCGCGATGAAAATAAGAGGAGATGAATGAAAAGTCTGGCGCCCCCGCGGATATTTGTTTCCCGTAAACGCGAGTGCCACCGGTTTATGAAATAATCGCGCCGATCGAACGCCATGTCAAACGAATTTCCGCTGATGCATTCCGATCGAGAGTGAAATCAATCCGCAACGTTTCGTTTGCAATTTCTTCTCGACAGCCATTTACACCGTCGAGTCTCTTTCTCGGTTAATCTCAAATATTGCATTCGCTGTTTTCCTTATTTCTCTCGTCGCTGTTTCATCTCAGTTCTGCAAAACTAGCGACTTTTACGAAATTTGAAGAAAAAATCGAGCCATGCTCGATTTAAGTTTAATTTTTAATTATCTGGAATGCGTATTAATTATGAATTAACTATAAATTGAATACATGAAAACGTATTTTTCTCAATAAACGTTACGATAGTTTAACATGACTTGACAGACTTACATACGTTTTATTCTTTATCTATACATTATTTTTACTATAATTGTTTCATTCATCAGAAATGCTTGCAATGAACAAAACATGTTCTTTATTGTACGAGTATATTGTTGATTGATCATTTTCTCCTCTTATAAGAAAATTATATTATAAATTCTAAAAATTCTAGTATCATAGTAATCATTATGACAATGCGATTATAGTACAGTAATCATTACGAATCATTAATCTAATTTTTATAACAGCGTTGCGTGATTATATAAACATGTAACTTTCCAGTTACAAACGATCGATACGTACACTTGTCAACTGCGTTTACTATCTTTTAGTTCAGGATATCTCCGAATATATTCCATTATTATTTTACTACATTTATATATAGCGATCTCTAGCTACGCAGATTTTCTCGGTTAAATTGTAAAACGATTTTCTCGATTAATTATTTATTGTAGCTGTTTACTCCAATTAAAAAAAAATCATTCGCTGAAGTAACGTATCGATAAAGTACAACCGTGGATACGATGAACAGGAAAATACAGGTATATGAACTTACATTCGTTGGTACATTTTTAACATGCGTCAGAGATTTTTGAAACACGGGCGAAACATTTTTTGGAAACATGTCTCTTTGACGCTGACATGTTTGAAGGATTGAAATGAAAAGGTGTTTTTAGTCTGAAATTTTATTCAACCGTTTGCTAAAAAAAACCGAATATGGAACTTGAGTGAAACGGAAAATTCCCGGGTAAATTTGGCAGTCACAGTGTAAGACGTAAATACTCGTCAGGCCAATATGTGACATTGGAAACGACAAAACGAAAATATCCACCATTCAATGGAATGACAATAGGCGTTCGATTATTCATGCACGACAGCGTATATTCAGAAATACACATGTAGGAATAATTAAAAATTGCACAGATTGTGATTCGGGCTAGCATACACGCGCGAAACAGACATCCCTAATTGTAATTTGTCCCGCAAACTGAAATTGTTTGCCGAGATAATGCAACGTCTAAAAATAACACGATTTTCGCGAAAGCGTGCTCGAAGAATAAACAAGAACTTGTCTCGAACTATTAATAATGATGTTGATGTGACGTTTTTAACACTGAAGCTACAAAAACGGTCAACTTGGAATTCCCCATCGAAATTTCATTTACGTTTACAACAGTGACTCTTCAGAGACTCGAATATATTTATAATAGAGTTTTTTTTTCTTTTCGAATTATCGAATATTCATACATTTACGTCTCACTCACGAGTCTATATTTAGTGGGTCGAACGAATTTTAGTAAAACAGAAGCTTGTGTGCTCTGTATATACCAAATTTTCCTCGCGTTTCTACAAATTTTCCCATGTTCTCTGCTGCAAATTTTATACTTCAATACTTTCGTCGGTAGATGAAGTAAAGGGAAAGAAGAGAAAATGTTGTTTCTCGATTTCGAAGGAGATGAAAATCCTGGATCGCGATCGATCGTGTTTTCTCTCTCTTTCTCTCTTTCTCGCCGCCGCAAACGACGAGTCTGCGATGTTTGTCGACGCGAGTTGGCGATCTATCGCGGCGGAAAGATTGCAAAGAGGCGATTAGGTTTACCAAGCATCGCTCCCTCGGCAACAACGGGAGAGATCCATGGGAAAAGGTACGAGTTCAATTTCGCTGGTAGAACGCGGGCGCACGCGAGTGGATTAGTCTCCGTGGTCGAATCATCGCGACATCGAGACAATGAGCGTTATTAGATATCTGTGCTCGAGATAAAACGGTCCGGCGGTGGCGAAACCAAGCGAGAAAGGAACACAGAGAGAGAGAGAGAGAGAGAGAGAGAGAGAGAGAGAGTGGTAGCGAGAAAGAGACGTCAGAGAGATCCGTGGGACATACATATAGCCAGAATGGTTCGTGGTCATTTACATATAAATTGCCCGCCTAAAATCATACTCGCGTTTAATTTTCCGCTTCCAAGCGGACTACGCGCCAGCGTGCTCTTCTCGCCGCGTCCAACCACTTCGCCGCTTTTAAATTGCCGTAACATATCTCGCCGCTCTGATCGCGCTTAAATCACGCTCAACGTGTCCATCCGTCCTCGCGGCCGCGGCGAAAGAGAGAGAAAGGGAGAGGGAGAGAGAGAGAGAGAGAGAGAGAGAGAGAGAGAGAGAGAAAGAGAGATTGCAAAATAAAAACGGTTAAAATTAACGTTATTACTGTCACATACGGTGCAATAATTTGACATTTTGTCAAAAAAGCACGAAAACACGTAACAACTGAATCAGCAATGTCATTCACAAATAGATAATTAAAGTAGCACAAATGAGATGAGGGGACAGCAAAATGATGTTCTAAAAATATCTGCAAAAAGCATTATTATTTCAGTAATAACAGATAATGTCAATGTATTTTAGGAGTATGAAGTTTTCAATGACATAGACGTGGAGTCACAAGAAGTATCTATAAATTCTAAACTCCCAGAACTGCATTAATTTGAACCAATATTATAATTGGACAAACAACAAGAAATATTAAAAAATGAACTAGTATAAAGTTTCAAAAGAAAATTATTAACAGTATAGTTTCAATGGAAGACTTTTTATAATTCAACAGGATTCACAGAATTCTCACATTGACATATATGGCCTTTAGCGTTTTAGTCTATAAACACAGTATATTAACAGTACATCAGTATATTAACAGTCCATAAAAGGATTCATACTCCCACAATTATTCATTATAAATGATTAGCTCAATTAATACTTCTCTGAGAAAATAACAGACTGTATAAGTATGTATTACAATGGTTAAGCTTTTTGTATAAATTTTGCTAAGAGATATTGATTAGTTATAATAAAAGTAGGTAGGCAAATTAAATTAAAAGTCAAAAGAGAAACATTAAAAGAAGTGTGAATATTTCTAGAATTTACTGTACGCAAGTAATGGAAAAAATTGAAATAGATATGGATATATTTGTATACATATATATATGTATACAGACGCATATATATATATACACTTGAATATAATGGCATTATGTAATCAGAACTTTTTAGAATCGAAATTGGAATCATTCAATGTTTTTTCTTATTTTGTGTATATGTAATTAGACCAGCTCATCAAGTTTGTAAAGAGGGAAGCATTATGATGGAAGGACAACTTACGAGAGCCTTTTGATTAAGTGAACACCTGTTAATTGAATTTTCAGATCGAACTACACCGACTTTCGGAGCAAATTGCTACACATGCGCAATAGATGAAATTATAATAATGGGACCAGGAACGTACGAATTCGACGATGGAAAATATTTCATTCCCATTTATACAGTGACATAATGTATATTCCATTAACAAATAAAATAAAATAAATTAATATTTTGCTCATATATAATATCATTAACAAGACAAATTTTCCATTTTTCTTTTTAATAACAATTATATGCGAGATTATTCGATGAAGAATGTTATCGATGCGACATCTAACGTTCTACTATATCAAATAAATTCACGAAATGCTATTTTCGCATTCTCAGTAGATAATTAAATTATTAAGTCATTAAACTAGATTAAATGAATTAGAAACAATACAATAAAATGAATGTTTAGATGGATACACTGTAAACAGCTAGATATTTAAATATTTATATTATGTAAGTTTTGTATTATATAAGATTCCCCCATTATAGATAATCCCATTTCGATTTCTTTAATAATAAAAAAAAAATTAGCAAATGATAAATATAATAAATTATATCTTACATCATTGTTATCTGTTATACGAATTATCTTGTCTCTTATATTGGTATCTAGTTACGTCATTAAGTATGTAGCAATAATGAAAATAAAAATACTGTTTTATCGATCAAACTAATCACTGTCTCTAAATCCAGTAAACAATATTTTTTGACTACATTATCGAGCTTATACCATTAAATATTTAAATAAATAAAGTTTCTATTTTCCATTCTTTCACTAGATTCCTATTACATTAAAAAACAGATAATAAATAAAATAAGTGAAGTCAATAGAAATAAAGTAAATAATACAATAAATAAATTTTCTATTTTCTAACTTATTTATTGAATTTCTATAACTATGTTAATTAATCTCGACATTTGAAATTCTATTAAAAAATAAATAATAAATAAAATTAAAAATTTGAAATGAATCATTTTTATGGAATTTAATACAGAACTGACTTCGAAGAATTTTTCAAACTGGAAAACTGTTGCAGTTACTTATGGATACTAATTGCTCGACTTTGAAATCTTAATGTTTACCGTGACTTACTTAACTGATAGCCTTGATCTCTTTAGTTAATCTTTTCTGAACTATATTCCCTATCTACATAGAAGTGCAATCTGGATCAATATTAAGTTTTCAAAATTGAAATTTAAAATAAAAATTCTACGAAATGAACTAAAAATTGGCATATTACGTCATTTTCAAAGTACGACTACCCATAATTGTAAGAACAAATAGAAAGCAGAGTAAATAGGTTGTCACTCAACGAAAGCAAGAACTGATATGACGACACGGTTTAAAATACTTTCTATTTATGTTCGATTGTCTCAATTACATACTCAAACAGAAAAATTTAACTTATTAGCTCTCGATATGCATAAATAGAAAAGAAGAATAAATAATAACAGGAAATACGAATGAAATAATCGATTGACTAATAGGGAATCACGACGAGTCCTCTTCATCTGACCTTACAATTGTGTTGTGTACTTTCACGCGGGCAAAATGTCGTATTAATTAACGCTATTTTACGCGTCTTCTATCGTATCAACGTTTTAACTTTCTCCGAAGTATCTTTAATTACAGTTATTTGACATTCCGGTGTGATAGATATTACCTATTCAAAACCAGATTCGTTGCAATTTTCATGGGAGGAGAATTTTAACTCATAGAATTTATTCTAGCTGAATAAAATATTTTTGAATTAACCACACGAATAATAAAGAATAATAAACTTAATAAAACAGAATAACTTGAATGAAACTTTACCCAATGTATGAATAGGATCCCTTGCTTCTATGAAAAATTTCAAGTAGCTCTTACCTTCCCTAGTTGGAATAACCAATAGCGTGTTGGACAGAACCACCAGACCAACAAACTCGATGGAACGGTTACTAGTCTTCTATCACAAGTATGCTTTGTTTCTAAGTGCTTCAAGTCAGTCAACTCACGTTGGACCATCGTCTTTGAGACGCATATCACGGGTCTGGCTTTTAAGTTTCATGCTCTGTCGCGGATTAAAGAGAAGGATCTCGGGGACCTCTAGAAAGCTTTCCTTACGCATTCCTCGCCCGACACGCGTTGCACCGTTCTCTCACCTTAAAACCTCATTCGGCCAGCCGGAATGAATGCGTTTATCAGTTTCACGGAGGGTTCAGACGTGATCGCCGTTAGCTTCCACGAATTCGCTAGTGGTGATACTTGTCCCCCGGTGGTGATACTCCAACCACGTTCGTCTGCGTGCTCTCGCTGCAGAACGGAGCGTGCGCAAAATGCGACCCCCGAGATGAACACACACTCTTTCCATTTACTGGCGTAAATCAGATCATAGGTTATGTTATTTACTACTGCAGCCAGGTCGCGATCTCTGTACTCTGAGCTCTTTTGTTGTTGTTCGTTATCTCATCCCTTCCATGTAAAAGGATATATTAAGGAGAGATACGAGATGAATTGAAATGATTGAGAAATTGCGGATAGTTATGCGTCTGTGGGAAATTTGAAAGTCATAGAGTTAAAAGCATATTTGAAAACGTGCGAAATATTTGAAATATAATATATACATATAAATATATAAGATATAAAAAATGAAAAGAAAAAGATGTGTAAAATGTAAAATCTAAAATCTAAAATGTATATGTATATGTATATGTATCATATATAATATTTGATAGATGAAACATTTGAAAGTGTCGCATATTATATTAAAAAAATATGAATAAATCATATAATATAGTATTCTAAAGAAATATTAAAATGCAAATTACGAACTTAACCTCCATACAAGGTTGTTCAAGGCTGCAGAGCATATTATGATTATAGAAATGATTTGTATCTTAGATGTTCATATATCGTGAAGGTTTACAAGATATACAGATGAGTTTGAATGATGCTGTTCATGGGTCATTGGTCTCGTATCACATACGGCTCATCTCTTCCAAGATAAAAAGTGTAACGTTCCATTTAAATGCCCAAGTGACACTAAGAATCTTGGCGCCATCTGTGAAATAATATTTCCCGCTTTGGCAAAATTATTTTTGAATCTATCAAATCTTTATTTACCATGATGATTAAACTTTCATTCGCGACGAATTAAATTCCTGATTATACAAGTTCTTTTATCTTATTTTAAATCCTTAATTATCTTCATGAACCGTAAAATAATCCTAGCATTCAGGCACATGGACTGGTATCTTTTTGCATTATTTATTATGACAATGGCGAACGAAACGCGCGTGCAGTACGATAATGAGGAAAGAAAATTTCTTTCTCGCTCAAAGTTATCTGAAACATGCTTGTTTAATTAAAATACCTCTTATATAACATGCGTGCATTTAAAATTCTAAATTTTTCATGAATTTCGCATTTTAATAATAATCAAAAATAAATAAATGATAGTAAGCATTCTAATAATCAAGACTAAATAAATGATAGTAAGCATATCTCATAAATACAACATAATAAATTGTATTTCAGATCGCCGGAATAATTATTTCTTCCTTTTGAAACATAATTAAATAAGAAGGAACAGTTTGGATGGCTCTTCTAGTTGTGCTGAACATCAACAGATAGCGCACGAATCTATACGTATAAAATTACAAATTAACAGAGATTTCTTACAAAGATTTCTGCGTGTATGATAACTTGAATCAATAAAGTTAAATCGTTATACTCTTTGGACTTAAACTTACCTTCGGATAAGATAAAGTTGTCGGATTAAATTTATATAACTGATTATATATCACAAGATTCGAGTCATATTCAACGATTCAACGCTCAATATATTTAGAAAATTCTGAAAAGCACGAGCAATACGTAGAAATCTATGTAACGCTTAAATAAAATTATACATGAAATTAAATAAAGTTAAATTTAACCTCACAATTGTCAAATATACGATGCTCTGACATTGTAGGCTTTGAAACCTTCAGTTCATTTACCTTATAGAGATCATCAACACGATAATATACTTGATCTCCGTGTGATATTCGACATTATCAAAATGCTAGCGTTGATTTTTCGTTTTCAACTGGACGTTATAGTTGAAAAATCTTGAAACGGAGATGTTGTTCATCGTTGAACTTCCGCGCCATGATGACGCACAACTACCGTGCGCTCTGTATGTCGTTGACCAGAGGTTAAATGTACCAGTAGTAATTGCCAGCCATAACATAAACAAATTTCAATGATGTGTCGCTGATCGTTACAAGTGGCCAGGGGGGAACGGGGCAAGAATGTTGTCATTTTTACGAAAAATCTCAATTGGGGGGAGGATAAAAGATGGTGTGCCGACGAGCGACGAGATGGAGGCTGTTGAAGACTGTTTGGATGTGAAGAACAGAGGTTTGGTCTCGCAGTCCGACACCGAGCTGAAGGAATCCGTTTATGGCAAGTTCACATTTCAACTTGAACGCTAACGGGTTGACTAATATTCTCACCTAACTAGAAAATCATTTAATATTGACAATTAGTCGACGGAGGTTCTGATTTAACAAACAAGTTAAGCATACCTGTTAGTAACATAAAATTTTACTAAAATCATGTTATATTTGGTACTCTCTTGCAGCTGTATAAATTTCATTTGTAAAGTCACCGCTTATTTTCTAAAATTGACTGAAAGGCACATAATATGTGTTAATAGAAAAAGATTCAACTAGCAAATTGCTTGTTACCAAGGCTTATAAAATTTAAAATCGTCATAGATTTATTGAGAACGATCAAGGATCCAGAGAAACCTCAAACATTGGAGCAATTGGATGTTGTATATGAAGACTGTGTTGAGATCTTGAGGCAAACTCCCAAGGGAGTTTCTGTCATTCGCATTGAATTCAATCCGACAGTGCCTCATTGTTCTCTGGCAACATTGATTGGTTTGTGTATTAGAGTGAAACTAGAACGTCATTTAGTAGCCCTTTTTAAACTGGATATATTTATTAAGAAAGGCGCACACTCTACAGAACAAGAAAGTAAATATAATCAATCATTCTTTGTGAAAGAATTACCAATTCACCTTAGTGTGCATTAAATGTTTTACATTTCAGTAAATAAACAAATAAATGACAAAGAAAGAATTGCTGCTGCCATGGAAAACCCTAACTTGAGAGAACTGGTGGAGAAATGTATTCAAGAAGAAGAGTGAAAGCCTAGCTCCTCTATGGTGCATGGGTTTCATTATGTCCAACACTGTTCATTTGTAGTAGGTTATTTTTGTACGATAATAGTATGCAAATAGTATGCAAACACAACTTTTATTTTAGTGCAGAAGATATCAAAAGGTCACATTTACTGAAAAGATCAATGAATACTGATGGAATTTTACAATTTAAAACATTATTATAGTTGATTGTACAAAGTCAATGGTGCTGTAAATATATAGCATGGTTCTGTAGTTACTTTAAATATATTTTGTATACATATTTCGAATCTTGAACTATAAACTTAGGTGTAAAATATGCTTGTTATTAAAATTTTTTTTTTCTTGAAATTCAAAAACCAATTGCAATTGATAATTATAATATTCAATACTAAAATCCAAACTCCTATGTATATTTGATATAAAAATTTATTCTTTTTCGTTTAACAATTAATCCTCGTTAATCTTTGTTATTACAAATAATCAAAATAATTGAAAGTGACAGAAATCCCTATAAATTTAATTGCATATATGTATTTAGTTCAACCGTCTTTCATTCAAAGAGCAATTATGGCCTATTATGCCTTAAATTCTGAAAAAGAAAAAAATCCAAAGAGTAATAGATACTCGTTTGCCAGTGAAGATTAACAGAATCTTGTCTAAATAGAATCAAACGGAAGGACAATTCCTTAAGAAGAATCAATTACCAGCTACAGATTCCAACATGAGAAAAACGAATTCTAGCTCCGAAAGAGTTCGAGGAACATCGCCTAAGTAACGGGTAGGAGGGAAGCGACTGGTGAGAGGTGCTGGGACAAGATGGGAATTATCCGGGGCCCCTTTCAGGCCCCCGAAGATGCTCTCCAGATACACTCGGGTGGGAAGAAACTGGGTTACTCGAGCCAGAAGGGAATGTGGGCCGGCTATATACCGGTTGCCTGTTCGTACACCGCAGTTCATTCTTCCTTCTCGTCGCGATCGACAAGTCGTGGACGAGCTAACGTTCCCTATTGGCCTGGCCGAAAAATATACGCATACTTCAGTCCATATATACGGGCCACGAAAGACGTTCCAACTCTTTCCTATCGTAGCACCTTCTTATTGGCAATTCACTGTTGCAATTGCCTCTTTGGTTAGAAGATCCTTGAAAGTGAACAAAAATCGACAGAGTATCCAGAGGAAGAGTCTCTTTAGGTAAGTGCACCTGGAGAAATCGAAAGCGACCTCGCAAATCGAACGGTCGCCTTGTTTGACCTGCACTATGACTCCTTCAAACTTTCTCTTCAGTGGTCTTCTCTTCTAAATAATTTTCGCGCGTTTTGTCGCGTGCATCACGCTCGCTAATGTGTCTCGTTGCGGATCGTTATGGCTTCAACTACCGTCGATTCCTGTTGCTTTCACCTTCTTGTAAAAATTTTGTCGAATCGTCTCCTTATCTCCATTTAGACTATTACTGAGTATAAGATGTAAAGACTGGTAGCATGATCCCAGAAATATTTTGAATTTTTTAAATATGAAGAACAATATTACCATGTTGAATTTATATTCAACATAGTAAAAATATATTAAGATATTTATGCAATATAACAAACTTATCTTGGCTAATTTTTGACTTTTTAATCTTGCCCTTCCCGTTATTGCACGCTTCCAATTAATTATGATAAAAATCTATGATTTTTATTGCGAAATAATTATTTAGCAATTTCGAGATTCAATGATAGCGCTTCAAATTAGATTCGAATTAGATTTTATAATAAGAAATATATACGTAAATTTAGTAATAAAAATTGCATTTCACTGTTAATATCAATGAAAATTTTGTCTGGACAATTTCCAGACATCATTATTCGAATTTCAAAATCCACTACCTATTGTTTACTAAAGTTGTGGAAACTTTTTTTACAATATTACGCGTAGGCAAATTAGCAAAGTCTAATTTACTATTTTTTGGTTCTTTGTTCGGTATTAAATTAGGCCTTCATTTTAGCACGCAGAGGCGTTCATAATTGATAGTTTCTTAATTAACAGCGCACTCTCAATTGCCTCTGCTTATGCTCAAACAATTACTTCATAATTACGTTTTTTTTTTTTATACGTGTCCCGTAAAATTGTTCTCAAACCTTTTGACCAAATTCACACTATGCATGAAATTTCGCTTATTAATTCTCACGCTTTCCATATATGTATATATATATAATTTAAAAGTGCGAAATTTATTTAACAAACACTAATTAAACCTTCTTTGTTCCTCAAATTGAAAGGAAAATTATCAGCAGGAAGGTTGCATTATTTAGTTACAATTTCTTGAAAAAGGAAAAGAAGATTCTGCATATTTTTTTGACCATTTTGACTCATCTTGGGTTTTAGATTGTTTTGAAAATCACTCACTTTCTCTTCGATTCACGAGAGGTGATGAGGTTTATCTTCGCGAATGTACATACTTTCCTTGCGTAAGACCTGCACAAGTCTACGCAACGATGCAACTTGTGGAGCACGTGAAGTATTACTTCTCGGTCGGGAATTCATTACGATATCCTCCGTAAAAGGAGAAAAAAGAAGCAAACCTGCTTTTACCCTCACGATTTTCATCACAAAACCACTTGCTCAATTGAATTAAAGAGAAATTCTCTTCCTCATTGAACAGGCTAAGCAAAAGTTTCTGAATTAAAGATTAATCTTTTTTTCCTAGACTAATACTTCCTCGTTCAACCATCCAAAACATAATAGTCTGTATACGACAATGTTTTCAATGTCTGTATACGAATGTTAGAACATGTTTTTTTTTTAAACATAGATATTTGTCAAACGTTTAAAAATACTTTGATGATTTGGGAGTATTTTTAAACATTTTTCTCAATTTCAGATTACATCAAACATTTTTCAATGTAATGATTTTGATGTATCATTTCTTTAATGTTATATGAAATGACAGAGAATTGGCAATTGCTGCAAATTAAATTTTCAATTTTAAAGAAAGAATACATCAAATTATTGAACTTTAAAGAGAAAGAGTACATCAAATTATATTAAAGAAGAAAGAGAAGAAATGAAGATGTAAATGGAACAACAGGTGTCATCGGTGACCCACATGTTATTAAGAACACATTTGCATAAATATGTTTGAGAATACCTCTGTGTACGTTGACGTTGAGTATATGGGCACATATCCAGGAATCTATAATTTCGTTCAACGTGTAGTATCCACCAATCAAAAATTTCATTCACAAAGGAAACGAGTCGTAAAAGAAAAAAAGAAACAAAAAATGGAACACGGATGAAGTAACTATTCACGATCAATCTGGATCGGGCGAAAGTCGAAATTGAACCGGCACCGATTTTCTTCTTCATCTTCCTTCTCCTTTTTTTTTATTCCTCCGTCGGACGCATTGGCACGCTCCTCTGTCTCGTTTTTGTATCGTCGTACTCGTCCCGAATACGCGTATACAGACAGACGAGGAGCCGTTAAGAAAGACATAGAGCACACAGCCAACCACGTAAACCGGACGATATAAAGCCGGCCAGATAACGGTTCCACGAGCACATATGCGGATACGAAATAAAGCCACGATCTCTCCCTCTTTCTGTTCCTCTTTCGTCGATACTCTTCTAACCCTTTAACCAGAGACGAATTTAAGCTCAAAAATACATAGAAATTGTAGGAGAAAACGTACATACGTATAACTAATAAAAGAAAAGGTCCAATGAATTTTTTGAAAATGTCATCTTTGCTAAATATAATGGCTGCAAAAAGTATTGACACACATTTTATTTATTTCAGTGTTTACGTATTAATTAAATACACTTTTGCATTTTGAAAAATTTGATAGTGTGAAAATGAACTGTAGAATCTGACAGAAAAGGATATGTAGTAATACTCTTTTTGTAGCCATATTTATTTGTGATTAGGGGCTAGATAATATCCAGAAAAATAATAAATTTGGAATTGAAAAATGCCAAAATATACATAATACATGAAGCATATGAAATATTACATGTTCAATATTTTTTTCTGAAACGAATCTCTGCTTAGATTTCATTTCACATGAAATATGCAAAGTACGATATTTGATACGTAAAACAAATCTCTACTTCATGTTTCATGTTTCAATCGTGTTCCTAAAGATATGAATTTTCATATAAGTAATTAGCAAATTTGTGGAATTAACTCGCAGAATTTCACAATCACTTCGTGACAGGATAGCAATAAAATTCTTGCGTAATAGATAAGATGACATTCTGTCGAAAGCCTCATCCGTTCTGTCGACCTTCTTTAACATCTTGCTTCCGGAGAGAATCCTCAATGAAAGCGTCATTTAATTTAAGTCGCAATCGTCAAAATAATCCATACGTCAATCACGACTCGTTCTTCACTTTCGCAGACAGAAAATTACTTTATTTAGTACTTAAACAGAAAGATTGATATTTTATTCAATAAATTATATTTGTAAAAAGTTATAAGAAAATGAATATGTTATATTGTATTAAAACGATTCAGTTGATTAAATATTACCTCTAGTTCAATATCATGCAAATTTGCATAGCCATGGTACTGTAATGAGATACAACATTGTTTAGTTTAGTTTAGTCTAGTCAAATATTTGAATCCCTATCAATTAAACTTCCCTCTTCTGTGGTCGAGAAACATTTTGTACTGTTCCTTAGTTATTTAGTTTATAATTGAATTATCTCTTCCGGGACGGCATTATCATTTCTTCAATCCAGGTGAATGACCGCTGACACTAATTTTTAGCGAAAGTTGTGCTATTAAGAGCAGTGCTTCATTAAATCCGCAGTGACGTGCAGTCCCAAATAAAGATCACTATTATTCAGTATAATAATTGAACAAGAAGTGGTTGACGCAATAGCGGAATATTAGATATTTCAATCATACAAATTACAAAATGGAAAGTATGCTGATTGCAAAAGTAAATGTAATTACGTTTTAGCACGAAAACGAGCGGCTTCCTTCTGTATTTCCAAGGATTTAATTTTAAACGGTCGCTTTCTAATCGATTCACTGCTCATAAAAAGATTATAAAATGTAGAGTTTAATATTTTGTATCAATAAAAATTCCAAACAACTTTAGTATTATCCAAGCTAGAAGTCATCATGTCTACTAAGTTCTCAAATTTCTAAACAGATCATATTTCTTACTTACTTATTTCACCCTGCTTCCACAGGGTAAACTCGAGCTAATCAATTTAAAGATATCTTCAATTATACTGCGATAAGTGATTTGTCATTAGAGATCAATATTGTCTCGATATTAAAACAAAAATGAATTTCTAACTATGTATTAAAAGTGATGAGCGATCACCTATAGTACTATTTTTTAAGTTCTCCAAAGTAGCAATTAGCTCAACTTATTTTTAATTTAGCATTAGTCAGATTTAATTCTAATTAATGTATTTCACGCCACGAAATCCAATTTCCATAAAATGTAACCAATCTACTTAGAAGCTATCATATTGAGTAGTAATCCACATATTCTCTTCCAGTTATTTATCAAGCTGTCAGTATAGATAGCAATCTCGCGAACTTCTTGAAACTATATTTCTTCGTACTACTTACATTCTCTTGCGTTACAGAACGTTGTTGAGATAATTGCTTCATATTCAGATAGCCCCAGCATGGCTATTAATTGCGGATCGTCTTATGTTTTGTTTTGTCACGAGGACGATTTAGAAAGTTACAACGAGGCTGCAGAGGCCCCGAGGAAAGTCAACGACATGTCACAAAAAATAAAGACCTGTTGCAAAATCCTCAAGTATTTTTCCTCATCGTCGTCGTGAGAGAACCTCTCCTCCTTTCATAGATCATAATTCACCGCTGAAAAGTCTCCTTTCACCCTCGACAAAGATTCGTTCCCAAGAAACTTTTACTCGCTAGTCATCGGATGCTAGAAACCACGTTTTTCTGGAACATTCGTTCTCTGTTGTTTTTATATGAAATGAAATATCTTCGGAAAATAAACTTATTGAATATAATTTTTTTTTTTTAATTGCATGTTAAATGCTCCTCAAGTAGAAAATTACTTGGATCGTTATACTAAGCATAAAGATTTGATTATCTGCTCTTCGTTTGTTCAGCAACAGTAAATATGAAGACGATATGGTTGATGTTGGTTCTCGTTGCCGTTGTGGTGAATGCTCAACGCCGACTAGCCCTTCCTGATCCACGCAGCTGTGCCAACCGTGAGTGTTTATTAGCTAATACATCTTACTCTAACATTTTTGTAATAAAACAATAAATAGCGACTTGTTCTCGTTTCAATCTTGTTCCAGGGGTACGACATGCTACTTATAGGGACGCTAGAGGTGTTGCACATTCGTATTTCTTCAGCTGGGAACATCAACCGACTAGAAATCTTGAAGTAGATTGGTTGGATGCTCGTAATATCTGCCGCAGACACTGTATGGACGCAGTTTCTCTTGAAACACCACAAGAAAATGAATTCATCAAACAGAGAGTGGCAAGAGGTTAATTATAAATGAGAATTATTCTTATGTTTACACTGTGAATTTTTCTTCATTTTCTTCATTTTCTGTTTTCATGTAGGAAATGTGAGATATATCTGGACATCCGGACGGAAATGCAACTTCAATGGTTGCGACAGACCGGATCTTCAGCCGCAGAATATCAACGGATGGTTCTGGTCTGGTTCTGGAGCCAAAATTGGACCAACCACACAACGTAATTCTGGAGATTGGAGCAACACTGGTGGATTTGGCCAAGCACAGCCTGATAACCGTGAAGCTGCTCAAGTAATTTATTTTCTACTACTTTCGTATTCCTCTTCTTCTTCAGTTGTTTCTTTCGATCTTCATTTTTTATGATTTTATAACACATGGATTTATGTCACAGGGCAATGACGAGTCTTGTTTGTCAATCTTGAACAACTTTTACAACGACGGCATCAAGTGGCACGATGTAGCCTGCCATCATCGAAAACCATTCGTCTGCGAGGACAGTGACGAACTTTTGAACTTCGTCCTTTCTAGAAACCCTGGCATTCGCTTTTAAAAGCTTTTCGTAGCTTCTATTAATTCTTGAATGTTCAATGTCTAAGATTTTTCGATCGCGCAAGAGTAGCAAAAAACTTTTCTATCTCTTGAACCTTCTAATTTATATAATTACAAAGTATAATGATCCATTATAATTAGAATTAATTTAAATACTTTCATTCATTCACAATTGTATCATACGGAATTCTCGAAATGAATTAAATTAGAATTTGATAAATTAGATATTGAACAATCAAGCATTGCATTAGATTTAGACTAAGTAGAAGCTGCCTATATCTAAGTTTTAACTTTTGTACACTTTTTCTATACAAAATAAAAAGCATTCGCTAAGAAATTTGGAATCAGTGATCTTTTATCTCCTAATTCTAAAAGGTAATACAATTTGGAATTTTTAAAAAATCTTTATTTTGTTCCTTAGTACCTCGCGATTTACACCTTTAAAGCATACTTCCTTGGAGGGAAAGCAGATCGTTTGCGAATTTCTTTCGGAGTCTTTCTATTGGCTTGGTAAGGCGTCAGAGCTCTCCTAATAGCTCTGGTTTTCTTTGGCCTCAAATCCAAAGGCTTGTACTTGTGATTTTTGTACAATAAACGCAAGTTTTCCTTCTGTTTCTGGTGCATGATAATATATACCCTAGCTATCGCCTTCCTCACTACACGTCTGAAATGCATACAAAAAAGAAATAAAAAACAATTCATTCGAATAATCTTCTAATTGCTGAAAAAATTGAAAGTTCAAACATTTCAATTAAAAATACATACAAAGATTCTTATGAAATTGTGAATAGAAAGATGTAAGTTATATAAAATTACACTGAACTTTACATAACTAACGAGTTCAAGATTTTTATTTATGTTGATTTTAATAAAGCTTTCAACTAAAATTTGATTCGTTGAGACCGAGATTTTGCATGAAATACATACGTACATTTTCGAAAGTTTGGATGCAGCACCACCAGTAACTTTCGCCACACGGAGGGTTGTCAACTCAGTTTTGAGCTCCACCACCTGCTTGAGCAGCTCATTTTTATCTTTTGTCCTCAGATCAGTACACTTAACCTTAACCTGAAACAGCACAACACTACCCTTACATACATTGCACTTTTAACAGATGTTTAAAAATTTTCACGTTCAACGTTTTGTTTTACGTTACTGCCAATGGGAACATAAATTTACGATACTTCCTTAACACTAATTTCCTATTAAAAGAAACCGACGTACTATTTAATTAACCAATACGTTCCAAACTAATTGCTAGTGTACATTAAAACGACATTGATAAGACGAACAATTTTCAGTTAAAATAAAAGATGTTAAGCGTCATGATGAAAGATCGAGAGGTTATGTCCACGCTTCTCGTCGAACGCGACTCGGCTAATAAAAATGTTATGATATTTTTGTGAGAATTGTGGTTAAAAACATTATAATCAAACAAGTAATTAATAAATGCGAAGGATGTTTCGAGCAAAATTAGATTTTCACCAATTCACTAACCATCTTGCGATTGTTCCTCTTCAACGGAAAAAGGAAATAAGAAAGAAAACCATGAATCAACGAAACACATTGCCACGTGTGGTTGGAGAATATCTGCACTGCTATCTTACTGCTCTCTATCGATGAAAATATTTACTACATTTAACTTATACATTTGAATGTACTTACATCTCTATGAAAGAAGAGAATTAGCTTCCTTACTTTTCGATAAAAAAAAATTAATAATAAAATTACGAAAAAACCAAGTTATCTTCTACAATTAGATTATTACAATGATTAATATCCCGTAATATCGGGATTAATTAACGATCTTCATACTACGTTACTGTGATGACATCTTCGTGATCACGGTGTCACAGAGGTTTTTTTCTTTAGGTTATGTTCGAAGAATGAGAACAATTTAAAGAATATTTACAAAATAACGAAATTATGAGAATGGATCAAAATTAAAATATGACTATATTAAATGATTTAGATCATGAGGCTGTATATTTTGTATGATCTATCGAGTTATAATGATTTCAAAATATTAATAATTGTCGTATGTTCGTACAGTAGGAAAATGAATAGTACTATGTTTAGTACTATGTCACATTGTAATAGTGCTGTGTTACAATAAAGATTTTTGGTTATTTTTCTTTGGCTTTGAGATATATTGTTATCTATTTCGACGATGAACTCCGAGGACGATACGCAAAAAGTTCAACGTGCACTTCTGGACGAAGCCCTGACGAAGGTAGATTATTAAATAAAAACAAAAACAATAGAAATAAAAATAAAAGAATTCATTCATTAAAAGTAAAACATGTGCATTGTAAAGATACGTGCATGATCCCTTTGCTAACCTGAAATTTAATGAAAGTTTCAACACTGCAATTTTGTAAATTTTAAATAATTATTAATTGATACTTTTTAAGGGAATCCAACAAAACGAGCAGCAGTGCAAAATATGGACAGATTATAAGAAGGGTCATCAGAAAGTTGCAGAGACACTACAGATTTTTCAAAAAGACTTGTACGTGAATTGTATGGTACCAATTGGGAAACGTGCACTGATGAAAGGCAAATTGATTCATACGAATGAAATACTTGCGTGCCTGGGTGATGAATATTTCGCAAAGTATAGTGCATCAGGTGCAGCAGCTCTTTGTGAAAGAAGAATACAAAGTAGGGTCAACATGCGATGATCTGTCACTAACCAGAATTTAATAAAATAACAATTGTGAAATTTTGTTCCAGGAGCTGATGAAATGTTAAAAAAATTAAGTGCCGAAAGGGATTTGTATGAAAGTAAAATGATGATGATAGAAAACAATATTTTTGAGGACTATGTTGGCAGAGAAATTGTGGAACATTGGAATGAAGATCAAATTGTGGAATGGAAGAGTAATTGTTCTTACTTTTTGTGTGTCAATGAATTTCTATAGCTATTTAAACAACTTTTAATTTTTTTTTTTATAGAAAAACACAGAGAAAAAGAAAGAGAATATCATCAGAAATTAGCTAAAGTTAGGCAGGAAAAAAATAAAAAAATGGAAACTGAAGAAGATTTATTTAACAGGCTTGATCAGCTTGAAATTGAAGAAGAATTAGCAGAATTTAATAGGTACATTTTGTCAACCTCTAAAGTTTCGAATTGTTTTTATAATTATTTTAATTTATAGATTAAAAGATGAAAAATATGAACTTTTTAATGAAAATGAATTGGAAGAAGGAGAATGTTACTATGAATCAGAAAATTCTTTTGAGAGTGAAGGAGAAGAAGAAGGAAAAGAAAGAGAAGAAACAAAAAAAGAAGATTCTAAGGAAGATAATAAAGAAGTTCGTGGAATAAATCAGCTCAAAGTCGAAACTCAGAAAGTTAAAAAATTGGTTTCGTTTGCAGAACCGGAAGATATTTTGAATAAAGAAAAGGAAAATTTAATAAAAGAAAAAGAGAAAAGTAGTAAAAATGTGGTAGATTCAGAAGACGATATCCTTCGGATAGAATTCAATTATTCCAAAAATAAATCAGTTACGAAGTCAGATGGAAATTCGATAGAAACGCCTGCAGATATTTACAGATTATTTTCAAAACCTAAATCTATCTTAAAAAGATCACCAAATGATTTGAATCCAGAACAAGCAACTCCAATAGAGTATAGTACAGAAGAAGAAGAAGAAGAGGAAGAAGAGGAAGAAGAAGATGATGATGATGATGATGATGATGATGATGATGATAATGACGAGGACGCTGTTAAACTATCAACTTATGAAATTGTAATTAATAGAATATTTTACTATATATATATTTTTTATGACAGTAATAAGAAATAAATAAAATATTTTAATAATTTATAGGTAGTGAAAGATATCAAAGAGAAAAACACAGAAGAAGTTATAAAGGAAGTTTTGGAAAAGAAGCAAGAGAGTAAAGATACTAGGCCTATTAGTAAATTTAAAAAAGATCGTCACTTAAGACTGTAATGAATATAAATATGTTGCTGGCACGTTTTCAATAAAAAAGTTTTGTAATGAAATTTTAGTTATATTACTTAAAACCTTCCATTGATCCAAAATTATTGATTCTTTCATTAGACAGATAGTAGACCACAATTTAAAAAAAAAAATAAAAAGCATAACTTGGAAATCTATGTAGATGAAGACATTTTTCGTTTTTAATCTTGAGAGCTATCTTAAAATTATCATAAAGTCTTATATGTGAAGATTAAGATAAGATATTAATTACTATAATGATATATTTGGGAAGATAGATAGAATTTAATTCAAATTTGACGTTGTTTCTTAATTTATTGTTAGCTAATGCTAAATAAGTTCGCAATGTAGTAATGATCATATACTCTCGTTAGATAAAACTACTTCTATGATTTTAAATAATTTTTCTAAGATTTAAGACCTTAAATAGCGAAAATGTGAAAAAAAATTTACATAAAAAGTATTATATAATGTATGATTTGAATACTTGCTGAAGAGAAGATAATTTACATTTGCATTAATTAAATAGCACAAGTGCCTTGTAGACAAGTAACAATTGAATTTTGATTTGAAACGGTCAATAAGATGTTAATATATTCGGTTGAAATTACTGTCATTTCATCGAGGAGAAAATATTTAGATTGCTGTTAATTTTATATAATTTGTTTTTTCGTTTTCTTCTGAAGTATGTAACTGCAATGCAAAAATATAAAATTAAAGGAATGTAAGAATGTAAAAATTTGGAAATCTGAAAGAAATAGTGAAACGGAAAATTTCAATGTTCAAAATTTCAAAGTTTCAAAATTCTAAAAATTCAAAGTACCTAAATTTCAAAATTTACAAATACAGGTATAAAGAAATGAAATGAAATGCAAAGAATACAAATTCTGACCTTTTACAAATTTTGTCTTACATAATTCCATAGTAGTAAAGAGTATTCCAATTTGGTATTTAGAAGATTAATCTTGAGCCACAGTCAACTTGATATTGACATTATCTAGCATTGTTTCTTTTCACGCTATGCACGTCCTTCATTACACGCTTTTTGCGTGTTCGTAATTACTGCTATTGACATTCCTCAGAACTTAAGAAACTGCAGAAGGATCTTGAGCATGAATTTCCTGAACATTATGAAAGATTTGATACGTGTGATAGTATCACAATATAAACTCTGATCAATTATTTTAAAAAAGTCCAAAAGTCCTGTATTTTTTAAGAGATAAATGATAAGCTTTTTAAAATTGTTAAATCTTCAATATTACTTGATAAAAAGAAATAAAATTACGAGAAGTTGATTGATTTGAATTTTGAGAGGTACGAAAAAGTGTTTTGATTCAATACATAATTTTTTTTATATAAAACTAATCTGAAAGTCTTTAAAACACTTTTACGTGTATCCTTGATTTACTTTAGATTTTGATGTCAAATCGAAGAGATCTTGTAACCCTAAATATGACAAAATAATGGACTTTTTTTGTTGGGCATTCACTGAGATGATACCTTCTCTTCATCCATTTAATTCATTATTCACATCACGCTGTTTCACAATGAGCTATAGTAACATAAGAAAGAGAAAGAAAAAATCAGTCAAATTGTGCAGAAGAATGTGTTGCATAATATTGAAACGAGTTTAGAGTATCCTTTGAACATATAATGACCTTGTCTATCACTTGCTTAAGAGAGAAGAAGAGATAATCGAGAGGGATTGCTTTCAAGATCCTTTTTGATTATCATCTGGAGAAAGTAGGAAGATCCAATACCATTGTTTCATCTTCTTATTATTTATGTGCAAATTTTACTGCAAGGTCTGAAGAATTCTGAAAATAAAAAAAGGTCTAGAGTATTATTAAATAAAAAAAGTATTATAAGTTGTTCATTCCATTTTCGTACATAATGAATTTTGTATCATTAATCGCACACTACTGAAAAAGGTAATAGCAAAGGAGCATACATTGCAATTATTTCTCTTTTCATAGAATTTCTTAACAAAGATAATGCAACTTTATCTTTGTTAAGAAATTGTTGTGTAATTTTGGTGCGACCAAAAAAATTTTTTGGGAGAACAATGAAGTGGCAACTTTCCGGTAACTGGAGCCTGCTACCGAAAAGCTCCTAAGAATGAATTGTTAATTAAGCAAATGGTCCTTAGACAGAGTATGCATTTATCGCAACACAATTGTTTCCGTTCACGTAACGGCGAACAATCAGGGAAAGGTTACGAAAGGAATCGAAAGTGAGAATTCGCACACTAAATAAACAATAAACCGGTCTTGATTAGGTTTTATTTGACTCATTGATCTGAGAGATTAGATCGTAAGCTTGTGATTATGTCCATTGTCCTAAACAAGATCAATGATTATTAATTCCCTTGCGTCTGCTAGCTTCAAACAGGACCTAGGATACAGAAAAAAAAAAACTATCCTCAGCTACTTACTTGCCTGGTGGATGATTTAATTAGTTACCATCTCCTGACATCATTTTGTAATTTAGAAAAAAATCTGTTCATGCTTGTGTTTAATTATCTGTTCAACCTTTCGATTAAATTAGTTCACATGGACTCCCAGGGTATATCAGGGTCCGTATGTCACTAAAATTGATAATATATCATTACATTTAGTTTCTTAGAGAATTTCGATAATTTGAAACAAATTTATAAATATTACTTGAACGAACCAGACAAATAAAATGAACTGCTATTAGTTACCAGTTGAGGAGGAGCACAATTCAGAGAAGATGAATTGCGAAACGTGCTTATTCGTAATAATGTAACAACATAGTCGTTTAGGCTGAATGACCAGCATGAAAGATGATTTTAACGCCATTCAAATATAGAGGATACTTTCTAAATCGGTCCGCGTGCCGATCTCATCATCCTATGTAGCATTCGTTCGCGATACACATTTGCGTTATACAAAGGTTCGTGCCATTCCCTGACACGCGTCGTTCCGTGTATAATATTGCTGACCAAGATTATGGATACTTACTGAGATGCGTTGCAGCCTGTCGACGATGAAATAAATAAATCTCTCTCTGTCTCTGTCTCTTTCTCTGTGTTCTGATGCAATTTCGATTGTCTTCAGAGAATTGCACATAATCTATCAAAATTGTTTTTGTTTAATATGCTAGTATATAGGCTGCCAGTGTAAATCATTTCACCTATAATATTAATATAAATATATAATGTTCAATAACAATATTAATCTTAAATTAATTTTAAATTATTTTCATTCAATGAATATCAAATTAAGACTATAACGACCAGTGAAACAACACTAGCGCCACATGAGTGCTAACTTATGTCGATACATGATATGCATACATATCCATTTAGACATTTTAACTACATTTTTCTTCTATCCTCAAACTTCCCAAACATTGGAATAATTCTAAACTATGCTCGAAACTAATTGGTTACAGTACCGATGTACATTATACTGACACTTGGTGGACCAATCAGTACCTTAAAAGCCATTTTTATAATCAATTTATCGTTAGCATCATATATTTCAATCTAATGCTCGACACATAAAAAAGTGGTACAGATCAGATCAAGTTCGCATCGTCAACCTCGACCCCAACTTTTTCCTGATGCGTGCACGTACCTCTTTAAAATTCTAGATTCTCGACACTACAATACCTCTAATTTACAAATGTAATCATTTCTCCTTCGTTACTACTTCAGCATATCATTCTTTAGGAAAATATAGAAATATATGGGAAGAAAATTTAGCGAAGAGTTACGCCATAAGATGAAGGGGATGGACAATGGTCCTGTGTCTTAATTAAGGTCTGATTGGCTAATTAGTCCTGACGTTAGATCCGTCGGTAGGCTGTGTCCCACGCGGTGAAGTAACCAGCTTTCTCCGCTCTGGAAGACGCGTTCCTCTCATGCAGTAGCGCCGCCCCAAAATCGCGCATGCCTGACACCTGAAACAATGGGAAATAAAGCGCGGGCTTTCCACACAGTTGGCGTTCTTATGTGAACTGGAGTAGAGTCCCCCAGTTTTACACACGGGGGGAATATTCAGGTGGATCATCCTCGTGCTAGCGGAGGATTCGTGCTCGACAGGAAATGAATCTTAGTAGGCGTAGGCGAGCTCTCTATATAAGCCAGCTATAACGCAAAACGTTACTATAATTCAACATTCCGCACGGTGCTCCGGTTTTCTCAGTATTCCTCAAGAGTATGGATAGAGTGGTGCGACAGGTAATCAGGAAATTCATCGACATGTGGCTTTTATTTCTTTTCCGGTGCTGGTGCTACTCCACTTCGCGAGTTTCGTCATCGTTGACACGTGAGCAGTGATGTTAGAGACGCATTCGGTGATCTGTTGATGGAGAATTTTACTGATCAATGGATTTCGTAATGAAGAACGGATTTAAAAATTTTTGCTTTGAATAAGATAATGGCGGTGAATAGTTAGCAAAGGCTAAAGTTTTTTTTAGCGTAATTTAATTGCTTGAATTTTTTAAATTTATGAATTTGAAAATTAATATTTTAGATTTCCTCAGGTTTAGAGATTAAAGAATTTGAATTTTAATTGGAGTTGCAATTGAATTTTTTAAATTTTATGTAACTTAAATTTAAAACTTTCTCTCATTTTTTCAATTTTAAAATTCTCGAGTTTTAAATATATGAATTTTGAGATATTTTTTAACTTTGGCATATTGATAAGTGTTTTTAAAATTTCTAGAAAAAATACTGACGAGATAATTAATTAATAATATTCTTAGGTAATTATTTAATCCCCAAATTAACAAATTGCATGTAGAACTAATATTATAGTCTCATATATAAAACTAACTAATAAATAATGGTTATGATAGTATTCCATAACAATCTTTAATTTCCTCTTATAATAATTCTCTTTAGAATGATAAACATTGTAATCCTTTGCTCTTGCTATCCATAATTATTCACTTTCACTTAATTCACGAATTTTTCTATCCTTAGCACCTGCAAACTAGTACAAACTACTTAATTATTATTCTCTTTTATAAAATTATTAATACTTCTAAAATCCAATTTTACTTACCATTATTATTAGTTAACTCATTAAGCTCCAACGACGAGTATCTTATTTTTAAACTTCCAAATTCTCAAATTTTCAAAACTTCTAAATTTCATATTTTCAAAATTCCAAAGTTTCAAATTATCAAATCTTCATCTTTGGAATTTTCAGCTACTCAAAATCTTTTTTCAAAGTTATTGTAAAATTATGTTCAGTTCATGTGCTATCACTCATAATTTGACCTTTATTAATTCTTTCTCCTAAAAATTCAACTTCCAGTCAAATTTCGAAGCTAGTTTTTAAAACTAACCGGTAACAATCTAAAGATAAAGAAAATTTCCTCATTTTCGCAACCACAAACATTACGAATACAATTTACTAAATCTAAGTGGTTCGGCCGTCGTTGACGCTGCTCCGGTAGCTGTCATAGAGGGTGGGAGAAAACGATCCGGGCGTCCACTTACGACGAAGAGTTAGATCAACATCATTTTACGCGACCGGTGTTCTTTGGTGCGCAATGGTTGTCAGTTTGCAGGCGCAGCTGGACGTTGCATGGCTTATTTTGTAGGTACACAGTAGGCTGTTGCATTTCATTATGTAAGTGCACTTGGTCCCATGTAATCATCTCCGTTAAAGCGGCTCAGGCACGTACGCTTTACACGGGAATATAAATAACAACATATGCGTTTCGCAACCAGTTCTACGTGCAACTATTCTAACCTCGCGTTAAATGACATCACGCACACATATCCTGCTGCTTGTTACGAAAATCAGTGCTCCAGAGGGCGCTTCAGAGATCTTGCACTTAAGATTTAAGATCCAACGTTGATACGTTTCTGTTTTATTAACTGAAATTAAATTACTAAATTACTTAATTCAATTTGAAGTTTCAAAAGTTCTAAAGAATCTTCTTCAGAGAGAGAAATAAATGTTAATATTTATTTCTTGTCAAGCATGATCAAAGATTTACTTCCTGTCCGTAGGAATTTCGTTAATATATGAAGCAGAGATCCGTGCATCGTGTATCTAGGTTAATTTTCTTACAATTAGCATGTAATAACTTCACGCGTGGACTAAATACTTAGATAATCAGCTCTCACAATTAGCTGTTTGAAAGTGACCTCTCTCCCTTTTGGTTTTTGCATTGCAAGACTGAATTATTATCAATTTTCATTTCGTAATGTCGAATTCACTATTTAATCTCTGTTAAAAAAAATTATAGAGAATTATAGAATTATATACAGTATACATATGTAATTCAAAATCATTCCAATAGTATACACATATGATTAAAAATCATTTCGATTATACCAGAATAATAACAAATAGAAAATTCCTTTGTTTGCAAGAAATGGGATAGAACCAGCTGGAAGAGTCTTTCATATCAACTGAAAGTGAATTCCATCCACTTTCTCGTGCAATGGAATTGAAAATTCCATTCCCTATGCTTCCGATTGAGTCATGTGTAATAATAAGAACATGGCTCATCCTTGAACAGAGATATAATTAGTATAGAATGAAAAGATCATGCGAAGGATCATGAAATTATTAAAAATATTATGTAACAAACTTGATAATCATTATAATATATTAATTAACTTTTCAATGAAATACTTAATATTTCTTTTAAAAAATCATTTTACATGTACAGTTAATAACTGTTGACTTATTCATGAATGAAAGTTTCTTCATGAAAAATTTCTTATTTTACATCCGGATGAAATTATGCCCAATATTGTGCTATTATAGTCCGGTAGTACTATTGTCTGGTACACAATACGGCATGCGTGATTCGTAGTCTGTGCGAGTTTTAAAAATTTGTTTCCTCGTAAGGAGATACGTATAACAACATGATTCCTTAACGAGAGCTTGTTGTAGACTAACGGAACGGTAGTCATTGTCAGTCTAATTTCTTCTTTTCTGTTTTCCTCTTTCCCGTAATCGTATTTAATCTTGCGCTGATTTTGAACATGAGATGACGCAACGTTTACCTCTATTTCTCTCGCACACTCGGAGGCTTTCTCACGACAGACACGGAGGAAAACGCTGGCTCACGACTCTAATTTCTCGCCTACGCAACGCGAAATGCCTTGATCATCTTGCACTTTCGACGAGACGCATCTGTTCTACTCCTGGGAATGCATCTGATACTTTTTATATTAACTGTTCGTTATTCCTTTATGCTGTTGCCTCAATGATTACGAGAAAACTATAGTTGACGAATCAATATATTGGATTGTTGTTGTTTTATTAGATCTCGAGGTTTATTGATTCTTTTATATATGTAGCCTAAAAATTATAAGTGCCATTTACTTATTGTGATACTATTATAATTATTAACTGAAGACTATAGAAAAATTGAAGATGATTAAACTAGTAATCCTTACTTTATGCGGAAGTTAAATTGATAATAGTTTCCTAGATCCCAACGAAAAATCGTCTGTGAAGTTGTTTAATGAAAAGAATTGTAATTGTAGAATTTTTATTTCTAATCTACGATTAAAAAATACCCTCTGAAGTTTGAAAAACAGATTTCTGAAGTTATCTAATCGTTGTAAACTTTTAGAATGATCCATAAATAAAATGTAATTATTGACTATGAGCACCTGTATTCGTAAATCATTGAAGTAACCTTCAACGTGTATAATCTACAAATATCATATCACAGATCTCTGAAGTAACCCTTAAGGTGTGTCCCATAAATAATCCTCAATGTCTGGTGTAATTAACTAGGCCTTAATTTCTAGTTAACTCTCGCTCTAATGATGAGCATAGGAATCGTGCAGTGTGAGCCACCATTGAATACCCAATACGGTGTCCCGGGGAATTATGCTGGGAGCAATAACAACCATGGAGCATCGGCTGGAAATGGTTTTGGTAATCATCATTATGACCATGGGAACGATAATGATTACGTTGATCAGGTAAGGTGCAATCGTGATCTAAAATGTATTAATTGACATCTTTGTAGAGTTTTGCTAACGCTATTTAATAACACAAGTCATCCATTTGAACTCTGTTAAAATGATACTCAGATATACATACATAAAACGGTTAGGTATAATTTATTTATTGCTTGCCATTTAAGATTTCTTCTTTTGTACATCTAACGATCATGATTGCTTAAACTTAATTATCTTCCTCTTGGGCTAGTTTCAGAACCACGAACAATTCGCTGTTGCGATAGAAACTGAATTGCGTTCTCTTTAACGATTGATGCGCTACCCTAGGGAAATTTATTTTAGTATTAGCGATGTTGCACTATACTAAGAAATTGCTAAATTAATTTATCAAACAGATGAAGAATATAATACAAAAATTACACTGTAGCAATATATATCAAAAAATAATGAAAGAATATTGTAAGAAAGTTACAGAAAGGAGTCTATTTTTGATAAGATGTTAATTGCTAATTAATTTGAGGAGACAGTACAAAGAAACCTAGTCTTGAATGATTTGGGTCGTCAAATTGTGTTGCCTATTAATTCATTCAACCTGCATTTCTGCCACAGTGTTTCGTAGTAGAGGTAAGGGTTCCAAGAGATGAATAGATCTGGGTTAACGCTGATTCTACAAGTAACATTGAACTTTGTCGAGCACTGAATGCACGATCTGGTTACGTAAATCTAGGATGGATCGATCGGTCATCGATTTTACTCTTTACTTTTAACTAGACAGCATCTCTTCCCTTTGTCTTTAATATCTTCTATCGTAACACGTTATTCTGAAAGATCAAACCTATTAGAATTACTCATTAATATTCGCAAAATTGTTATTTCATAATACAGAAGTCTATTCTTAAAAATTTAGGTACAAAATTTATATATTTATGTTCTCTTATTGTAATTTTTGATTCCCAATTATGTTTACCTATTTATTAATCTTCTAGAAATCGTTTGCTTTAACTGCAACAGGTGAAGAATTATTATCACAGGCCGTAAATTAACTACTTGTTTTGTACCACCATTAAGGGAATTTATGTTGTTCAGTTTTGTTGCAACAGAGAACAATAACCACTCCTTGAGTCGCTGCAACACCAATGAAATTACATTAACACGTGCAACTTCAATATTGCCAAGCCAATGTTGGTGAATGTTTTTAATGATTTCATCAAAAGAATTTTCTTCCTTTGAAGGAATATAACCCTTCAATTCCCATAGATATCAATATGCGTATTATCTTTCACTTATTTCATAGTACGAACAAATTGGTAATCTTATTTAGTATGTTAATTCCTTGGTTTCAGTAGAAATTGAATTTTCCACGTTAGAGAGTTATTTAGGCAACCAATATGGTTGTGTTGATTTAACGAATGTATAGCTTTAACTTTAAAGCATTGACATTTCAAATTTTTGCAGAAATTTTGACTTCTTGATTTAGAAACATCCAAAGAATTTTATCATTTACAACAAATAAATCTGAAGCCTTGAAATTTGTATAAACTTCAGCTTATAATTCATCGACAAAAATCTATTTTCTCTTGGTTGTCAAAAGGTTCATTTTTTTTATTTTAAATTTGTTGTTTGAAGATTTAGAGGAGTATAACATTACCTATGATTTACTATAAACATCTACAACGTCAGAACGCGTCTTGCAACGTTGATACTTCAGGAAAGGGGGAAGAGATGATGTATGGTAGGTAAGTATTGAGGTAGCTCTATCCTTCTAGATGATCATAAGATGAACAGCACGTGGCCATTGGAATCGTTGCTCTACGCACTCGATGGTTATCACGTATGAAATCAGGAATGCCGATTGGCATAACTTTCTTGGGCTCTAACGGAGAACGAACGTTAGCGAGAATGCAGAACAAATGCATACGAATTGGTTGAGAACATTGAAATCAAAACAAATCTCTCACTAAGAAGATAATATATCCGAAAAAAACATTGAATTAAATTGTATGACGAAATACACATTTTTGTAGAGAAGATACTGCAAAGGAATATTTTATAAAATAAACGTTTCATTATGGGCATAATTCAATTCAATATGAAAATAAATTAAGGAATAAATATTAATTTAAACTAAATAGAAAATATTACAAAATCGTGTAAAATAATATATCTTCGTCATCAACGTCTAATTTATCGAAGAAGAAACAGAATAACCTACTGCGTCCGTGACATAGTTCTAAGTTCCGGAAACGGCGTCTGGGCGCCGGAATCTTGCTCTTTCATCGTAAAACGTTGCACGTTCATCCGGTTATGTAGAATGACGTAAACTCTGTCTGACGTAACAATATTAATACGGTGAACCGCGACCACCACAGGCATCATCCACGGCAAATCGTTACTGCCGATTAGCTAATCGTCTTGAGAATCTAAACGGTCCGGTTATGTGGTTTTAGCCTCGGGGTCGAACGATCTGGCGTGAGCCAGATTAAATCAGAGTAATCTTTTTCTTTCTCTCGTTCTTCTTCGGTCACCTCGTCTGCTCCACTTTTCTCTAGAAGAAAGTTCAGCCACGTAACTCTGAGGATTTTTTCTCCCCTTCTGCAGACTAAATATAGCATAAAGTTTAATAATTATTGAGTGAATAATCATTAACACTTTGACTTGTTGAATAATCATGATACATTTGCGGCTAGAGCTCTTAAATTAATCATTGGTTCAATGGAGAGAGTGGTAGTAATTTAGAAGAGTAATATAGGATAATAAACATTGGAATGATAAATATAATTACATACTTAGACATTCAATAATATTCCAAAATGAATAAAAATGTTGCGGGCATTGGGATAATAATAGCAACTTGAAGATGAAATGACACAATTAGTTAGTAAGCCAGTTGAAGTGTAGCACTTTCTAATATCCTCTTCACATGTTACACTCACTTAGAGTAATCTAAATGATTTGTATCGATCATAAAAATTATCTAGAAAATCAAAAGGAAAATGATGGTGAAATTGGATAAAAGTTATTTTACGTAAGAAAAAATTGAAGTTATTTGTCATTTAAGAAGAGGAAAATAACAGATTTTACAAAAGAAAGATTACATGCAGTACCAACCATTTCAATGGCGTCTCCGTCAAGTAATATGTGGAAGACAATAGTCTAATAATGAAATCATTGAACTAGGTTAAGAAAATATACAAAGTGGCGATCTAAGAAGTCACTTTAATAGAAAGTCCAACTACAGAATCGGCTCCTAACATGCAAATAAGTCTCGTGTGTGCACAATAGAGATTATAGACTATAATCCCTCTATTGTTTATACATTACTGTAATCATCGAGGTGTATCCATTAAGTAAAAAAGTTGCTCTAGAATTGAATTTCCCAATTAATAATAAGAAACAAGATTTTCAATATTGAATTTCATTCTTTTACTCATGTTTGTAAAGAAATAATTTTTATAGAGAACGTTTGAAAAATGACGTTATCAAACATTGATGGTAAAAAGTTAGAAAAAGAACGTGTGTAATAGATATTACATTCAAAGATAGAAATTTTTGGTACCTGGACTGCAACCGACAATTTTTTTATTTGAGATATTTTAGTTATATGTTTTAAAAATTCCATACCATTTTTATTCTTATACAGAAAATACAAATTGTTTCAGCCAATGTCCTACGAGTTTGGGTATGCTGTGAAGGACCAAGCAACTGGAAATGACTTTGGCAGACGCGAGAGCAGCGATGGGGAAACTGTAAGAGGAGAATACAGAGTTCAGTTACCGGATGGCAGAACACAAATAGTGACTTACACTGCTGATTGGAGAACAGGTTTCCATGCAGATGTGAGATACGAGGGTACACCGATCTATCCTGATCAGTACAACACTCAGAATAATGGTTATAATAATAATAACCAGGGTGGTGGCCAAGGTTTTGGCTTCCATGGTAATAATGGCGGTGGAGGATATAATGCAGGCAATTTAGGTACTTAATGACTTTCCAAATATACTCAGTAGGATAACAGCTAAAGGAGCATTTACTCAATTGAGTTGCTTTGTCATATATTTTGTCTGTTTGCTATAAATATTATTTTATCCTTTTTAAAAGTAATAAATGTATACAAGTTTGTGATTTCAATTACCTTGATATAGGTTGAATTTTTTAATTGATGATTTATAAAAATGTATGAAGCTGAGACAAGCGCCTGGCTGTCATTTATTTTTATAGAATTGAGATTGTTACATTTTGTTGTTGAAGGAAATAACGGAGGGTACAATTACCAAGCACCCAGTGGAGGCTTCAACAGTGGTAACAATTACCCATATCAATTTGGTTCCAACTCGTTGGACAACAATTATAACAATTTTGGAACTCGCAATAATTACAACACGCGAATTCCATCGACGACATACGGGCCATCCTTCAAGAAGTGACTGTAGTACAATTCTTGTTGTTAACGTAGGATAAAAGTGTCATGTAAGATTAGCAATTATGTAATAAAAACTATTTTATCTTTTTATATTGATGTCCTGATGAATATTCTGGTTGTAAATGCTTCATAATTGTAAAAAGTAGGCAGATAGGAAATGCTAAAAGTGAAATGTAGATAATAATAATCATTTTATAATAATAATACTAAAAATGTTAAAGAAATAAAAGTAATAAAAATATTAAAATATTAAAAACATTGAAATAAGAAAAATGAAAAAAAGAAGTACTAGAGAATATTTAAAAAACGAATACTCCTACCAAGAGAAGAGTGTAACATAAATGAATAAAGTAGATTCAGGTAAATGAAATCAGTCCAGGAGTAGATGCAATCGATATAGGAACTCCAAATACCACTATCCATCAAAGAGCTTCATTGGTTACATAAATAATATTATTTTATCGCAACTGTATAATTACTGATTTTCTCATAGCCGCGACGGTGAAACCGTTCGTTAATAGCGTCTTCGTTGATGCACCGAACAACAAGGATGAAATCAGTCTGAAAAAATATTTCACTGCTCGCAGAGAGGAAAATAATCTGGATTCGTTGTGAAAAGCAGACGTAATGGATCAAGTTTCGATCGATGTTGTTTTATATTATGTCACCAGGAAGCTTGAGCACGGCACGTGCTTGAGAGGACACTTTCTCTGATATTGTAACATCTAAATTGCACCTCACGATCAGATGAGGTTCTACAATGTGTTAAAATCGTCGAGTACGTCATTCTCTCCGATTATGCCAAATTTGGACTCGAAAAGAATGAACCTTTTTCGAGAAAAATTTTGTTCTTTATTGATTGAGCCTGAAAATGAAAACTTAATTAATGATCAATATGAAGTTAATACTTAAAAAAGGAAACATTATTAAAAACAAAATGAAATGAAAATGAAGTAATAATCAGCTATAAACACCGTTTATAGCTTGAAGCAAAACGTGAATTTTTCATTTTCCTATTCTCAAAGCTAATGATCAAACTTCTAACTGTTTTGTCGTGTCGAAAGTATAGAAGAGTCTCCATAAAAGCAGGAAGGACAGACTGTAGCAGTTTTGTCCTTCTTCCAGTGACAGGGGATGTGTGATTGAAAGCAAAGGTGAAGGTGAGCGGATCGGAGAACAAAAAGGCTCTTTCATCGTAACTCACGCTATAACGAACTTACGAAAACAATGTGACGTAATGGAATAAGATGCGTCTGGTTCGCGGTCTAAGATTGGCCGATGTGAAAGATGAGTTGCTGGTTTAATCGATGCTACAAGAGGTTTGAAAGTACTTTCTGCGAGACCCGACGCTCCATTTAAAGTTAATTTCCTTGACTCCGTTTAAAACTGCCGGAGAGCGGTCAGTGAGGAGAGACGTGTTACGTTGGTACTTTTACGATACAATAAATATGCTAGATTGATGATCAAAATGTAGCTCCATTTAGAACCAATAGCAATCTGCAAGAATAACGATGGTCAGTTGATTTTGATTGAGAAAGATAAATGTTCTGGCTAAATTTTTAACATGACCTTTGTAATTTATACCTATTGATGAATTTATACCTATTCAGATTCATGAATGTATATGTCAGTATTGTCAATAGTTTGACACTTGGGATCATTTTAATCATAAAATGAATGTACGTAAAAATGTAATAATAATATTTGTAAACATGTTCATTTCTCCCTTTAGCTGTTAGATATCTATGTTATAAAAATGAAATATTAATTAAAAGAAAACTTTGATATGATATAAAATAAAATAAAAATATTTAATTCAAAAACTTAATAATAAAGTAAATTCAACTATAGTAAAAGACACAGAAATGACAAATGATCAAAAATGTAGTGCGGAGAGGAGTCGAAGGAGGCTTAATAACAATCGATGGTACCCGGATTCGTCCTATTCATACATGGTTCGTTGCGAGGGTGAACACGGATGAGATAAAGTTGCGAAAAAGGTTTCGTAGAACGATGGCGTAATCGGTAATGCGTTCGACTGAAGAGTACGTACGTATGTACATCTTGCCGGTGGTTCGACATGAAAGACGTTAGCCGTTGCAAAGGAACGCGGATAATGACGGGAATATGCTTCTAATGCTCTGGATTCACCGTGAAAAAACCACGACCGAAATGAGGATGAAGCCTCGAAAACATTCATCACTTTTGAACACTTTAGATTCTTCACTGTCTTGGATTTTTTGTCTTCCCCCGTAGACATTTCTATTCTGTATCTTCATCCTTTACTTTACAACATACCATACCTGAGAAATTTTCCATTGGTCGACTTTGGAAATGTTGAATTATTCTGCAGCATGATGCAAGAATATTAGCATATATCGTTCATATTTTCAATTAAGAATGAAGTGTATGTAGATACATCTACGTTCCCTCAAAACTTTCAAAACCTCGCACGTCGTTATAAATTCAATCTCAAGCTCTGCTTTTGTTTAGGGAAATCCCTCTGTATAAAAATTTATTTTTTAATCGACTTCCTTTATGTTATATAAGAATTGGATCTAGCAGTTCATGGCTGAATTGCTAGATCCAATTATCCTAGAATATAATAAAGAAACATTAGTCTGTGTTTTTTCACATTTCCATTTAGTAGATTTACCATAATAATAAAACAAAAAGTTTGGAGATGTTAATCTTGAAAGAGAATTTTAATTCTGAAAACTTCAAAGTTTAAAGACTCTAAAGTTTGAAAATTTGAAGATAAATAAGTTTATTAATCCAATCTTGCTCCTTTTAAGATTTACAGATTAAAATCTAGAAAAAGAAATCCAATTCCATTCAAAGAATCAGGACGCAACCCCCAAGGTGCATAATCTGCAAGTTGCATCAGTAGTCAACCATCAGGGGGGCAGAGCTGTCGATTATAGTGTTCCCCCGCGAGCGAGGTTAGACCACCGATCCGGGGAAAGAGAGATGTACATTCAGCATACATGCATGCATATACAGGAGGCTCCACATGTCTTCCGCATCGCAAGGATTACCTAATCGCCGTTTATCCCCGATTACGGAGTAGACAGCGCATCAAAACGTTCACTCGCCGTGATTCCGTGGCAAAAGTTGGAAAGAAAAAGACAGAATCCGGGCGCTCTTACCGGGGCACGAGCCTTCATACAGGCTAGCATGTAACCCCGAACTCGTTTTCGCTGTGTCAGCTACTATAATTAGCGATAATTATGTCTGGATTAATTGAGCGTCCCGTCACGGGCCGACCTGTATACAGTGTGTTCGAAATAATGCAACTGAAATTATGAAATCAGATTAGGAAACGAATTAGCGGTCATAAATACGTCAAAGACGCATCGTTTAATGATAAACTGGTGCAAGCACGCGTGTTCTTAGGACTACCGTGAGTTTTGCGAGATTACTGGTCTCAGGGGTCATTCCTTTGTCTCTATCCTACGACCTGAAATGATTTTTTGATTTATAAGTTGGCTTCAAGTTTGAATACCTTCTAAACGAAGTAGTAATATTGTTGACTAATTGGCTATAGCTACTGGATACCTTTTTAGGAGAAGTTTATGACAGGTCCATTCAATATTAATTCTTCTTTGCATGTCTTGGATTATTCCTTGCAGTGTGGACGTAGTGTTCTATAAATATAAAGTTTCTGTGTGCGGTAATCGATTGAATATGCTTGTAACAACTGATTATGGATCCGACGAATTAGCAAGTACATCATTCCTTGAATAAAGAAATTATTAATTCCGCTTCGTGGACCTTGCCTGTCTTTTTCAATTGACTTTACACTTTTTCATTCAGTCTAAATGGATTTTGCGTGTCTCCTTTTTATCATTTTGAGTCCATTGATCAGCTGAAAATAAAACATAGATTCATCAGTCTCTATTCCAGTTTTGAAATATCCTGCTAAAAAAAAAGTGGTTAATGTAAGTGAAGATTCTTTTGATGACTCAAAAATCAAATGATGACTGGTGATTATTGTGACAATTCAATGTATCTCTTTTTTAGCACTGACCTTGCGGTTTTTACTTCTGTGGTAATTACACCGTAATTAGGAATTTCGACGGATGTAATTTTTGTGCTTGAACCACTGATTGAAAATTGATATTTTAGTCAGGCAGCTGAAAGAAGAATTAATAACAGATATATAAGGGGTTGCAGGGAAAGTGATTCCTGTGAGCTCGATCGTGTCGTAAGAATCGCCTACGTTTGGTGATTTAAGTAACTGCCGGCAATCCTGAGCGAGTAATACGCTTTACGAAACGAATATAATAGTAGAGTTGGATGACGATCATGTCATTCGACTCATACGATTATTTACCATACTATTTGGCCTCATTATTGCGATTTAACTGTTATACATGGCTCCGTATGTACATTCCATCCTTCCTCTTTTCTCCTCGAGTGGTCAAAATTTCCCAACAACACACAGAATGCATAATTAAGAAATGTTAAATTATTTTGTGTTGCAAGTCAGTTAAAAATTAGTTTGGAAGAAATTGGGAACGTACAATTTTTACAAAATATAGAAATTGAAAATAAATTTCAATTGTATAAATTCTTGAAGAACTAAGAAATTTTTGTGAATTTAACTTAACAAAATCAATAATTTAAATTTTAACCTTTCAAGTCTCAAACGTTAGACTATTTAATTTCTAGTTTCTCAAAGATTGAACCTTTGAAATTTCACATTTTTGAACATTGAGCATTCATTATTCCAAAATTTTTAATTTAAAACTTGCATGTGCCAAATTATTTTTATTCCAAGTTTTCAGACTTCAAGCCTTTTAATTTTAAACTTTCAAATTTTTGACTTTCCTAAGTGTCTTACAATTTACAAGTTCATTCAGTTTCAAAAGTACTTTCAGTATTTCTTGTAAAGACTATATTTCGTAATCTCATTAAAAAAAGAAAAACTGTGCTAAAAACCGTATAAAAGGTGTTCAATGAGGAACGAAACATTAGAAAAAGGTACTCATCGTGGGAGTAAGCGCGTCAACCCGGAGATGAGTTAATGCTTTCTGCGGAGTGAACGCGCGAAATCGTTTAGAAACTGTTTCATACGAGCAGACCAGTTGGCATCAGTCAAGAAACTTATCTGAATAGAAACAGCTCCAGATAGTTCTCCCATACTTGCAACGAGTCTTTTGTCGGGTCTGGCAATCAATCTTGACATCATGAAAAAATTCGACGTGGTCATTTTCGTAATCAGACTGCTGATGGTCTGTGCCAGTTAATAAACTTCTTATTAAGACGAGCAGAAACGCAACGGAGAGGAAGACTAACAATTATCTGGATGAAAATAGAATACCATGCCCTCTATAATCATTATATCAGTGGTTAGAATAATCGCACGCGTTCCGAGGCTGCCAACTTGGTTTGCATGTGTAACAGATGAATTAACGCCATCGTTAATCCTAAATTACTCTTTATACTATACAGATTAACTCTCAAAAAAATTGGAATTTTATATCAGGACAAATTCTTGCAACATATATTACACTTATATAAATATGATTATATCATACTTATAGTGTTAATTTATCTTCCTAATTAATTTTTCAATTTCATTTCTTTCTGCAGAGTTTTCACTTAAATCAATAAATATTTTCAACGTGAGTGTTGCTTCATTCGCAGCACGAGATTTCACATCATGTATATATTATATTTACATTTTACGACCTTACCGAGGATTGATTTCGAAGCGATCGGTGAAAAGTAGTTCTGAGAGCGGTTTTCCACACACGCTCTCCTACCAGAGAATTATAATAATCGTAATTATAATGATGTTGGAACAGTTGGAATCTTTCACTTGGAACGCCTCGTGGCGTGTTTGCAAAACGTGTTCCTTCAGTGAAGGTTTCTATTACTGTGGGGGGCTCTAGTGTTGTTTAGAATGTGTTCTGTAATTTGTCACAATGCCCTTTGGAACTGCTTCTTTTCACCCGAAATATAATCATCGCAATTGCTGTGATGATACAACTATTAGATAAAAATTTCTCTATTGTAAAAATTTATAATTGATTATGTATTCAATAAGTTCAATGAATCAGAGAATAATTATTTTTGTTCACATAGTTTTTTTCATAACAGTAGTCAACACTGACGCCTGCACGATGGCAACCACCTGCAGCGACCACTAACCCTGCATACTTTCCCAGTGTATGTACTTCCTTAAAATGACTAGAGAATATTTTGCCGAGCCAAAATTGCCGCATTTGAATTGAAAATTTCGTGCCAGATCTACCGCGTCGATCGAAAGTTCACAGGTACATCGATCACAGACATTAACAGCGACTGCGCGTTCTCTGTTCCATACCGTTGGGCTTATGACAGTGCGGAATTACAGGATTATATCTGCGCTAGATCGCACAACGGCACGATCAAATCGATATCGGGGCACACAACAGCAACGTTGTACACATCGGGGGACTTTAATTGAATCATTAAACCCCCAGGCAGCTGAAAGTGGAAAAGAAACGTACGTCAAAAGAAAAGATGTAATTAAGAAAATATTCAGCCTCAACTACAAGATGATCCTTAAAAAATACTCACGTGTATATGATCCTTAAAGATACTCATACCATAATCTTCTTTGGTGAAAGATACGAATAGCGCACAATCGTAGAATTCATTAGTGGTCATGAACGTGCAATTATACGTACAATTCAGGGGCAAATCCGATTAACTACGCGTTGATAATTTTCTGGATGAATACTTTTATATTAACCAATTCGTTTCCTGATACTTAATTCGTTACATAAGTAATAGGTCATGTTTAAGATTACATTACATCTTCCCACTGATTTATTTATGGAAATTTTTGGATGGTATGAGGAAATAAATTAGAGAATTAGCTCACTGAAGAAACATCTAATGTATTACTATTGGTCGAAGATGACTTTATATTCAGTCAATAAAAAATTGCAGTCTTTGATTAAAAGCAGTCTTTGACTAGAACAGCTAACAGTGATGTGTTTCTATTGCCAAATATTCAAATAAGGTCTTATTCTATTTGAGTGAAAGTACAGGAGAACTTGTCAATTTGTCTTCTTACTTAACTAATTCTGCAAATGATTATCAAGTAACACAAAAAGAAAAAAATTGAGCAACTTTTAGTTAAAAATATTTAATACAAGCTCAAATAGTTTACTATCAGTTTTATACCAGAAACAGAATTTTCTATTGTTAAGATTGTAATTTGTTTCATTCAAATTTTTTATATGATGCATACCTAAATGTCTCATAGAGGCATTAAAGCAAACAAGTTTTCCTTTATTTTCTGCCTTTTACCTGTTCAATCACCACGCAGCAAGCCTATTTCTTCATCCACCTTTCATTCGTCTTACAAGTTAGTAATTGGTTCAGCACATTTGAACAGTCGGACAAGATTAAAATCCTTTTTTCTCCCCGTTTTTTTCTTTTTTTCCACGTCGGATGAATCGTCTTGATATCGTAACGTTGACAAAGAGATTTACTATGGCTTGTGCAACACGAGTGGAACAATTCTATGACTTTTACATATACGTTTCAGATGATCTATAGGATTTCTTTTTATTTCTGGCAATCTCATGAAATTTTGGCTATAATTTTGTTACCTACGTCAAAAAGATATTCCTATAGATCAGGGGAGATTACAAGAAACTTTCTGTGAAAAATGCAAATATATCTTATAATAAAATGAATGAAAAAACATCATATACTAGAGAAACAAAAATTATTAATTAAACCTCAAAATTTCCATAGTGATAAAGAACTTCTTGTTGGAAATAATTAATTTGAACACCTCAAAAATATCGCAGAAGATTCTTCTAATCAAACGTTGATTCTTTTAATCAGAAGTGAAAGAAATTTTTCATAAGAAAATTTCCGAACTGTAAGAGGAATCAGAGGGTTCCTTAGGGATTGAAAAAAGGGTTTCTAAGAGATCTGCCAGCAATTGGGATCCGAGGTTCCGAGGACACCCGAATGATCCAGGCGATCGAGAAGTCACGTGTGTGAATCCAATTAAAATTTAAAGCTGTTTCAGTCATCATCAACGGGATATCTCTTCCCATGATGCATCACCGAGAGTGAAGGGAAGATGCGCTGCTCCTCTCCACCTCCCACACCCATAGCCGGTCATTCTAATACGTACTGGTTAATACGTGGATATGCAGCGCTAAGGATAAACTGTAACAAAGGGTCCGGACGGTATATAAACTCGTCCGTGGATCATCTTCTCAGTTCGCTTCGCGTCTTCGCTCATAACACCAATATGAATTACCATCAGGTAGGCTATCCTCCCGGTTATGCTTACTATCACCTTTTTGGTAAGGCGACGATATAGATACCGATTCTGGTCACCAGAATATTCTGTTAGAGCTGTTCAACCTCTCTTTGGGGAAATTGCAGTTGTAGGGTAAAATTATTCGTTGTCTTCTTCCTTTGTAGTTCAGGTATTTTGAGACTTAGAGAAATGTTGGAGATTGATGTAGCTTCAAAATTGGCAGGGGAGTTCCCTCAGTTGAAAATTTAGGATCGTTGTTAAGTCGCGTGGCCTGTTGTTGTACGTTTCTCTAATTGAAAATTAGGGTTGTCTTATCGGAAATTTTCACATGCTTGGTAGGGTGGTTGTAGTTCCCTTCAACTATTTGTAGAATTTAAGGATACTATTCGTGGTTTCATTCAATTGAAAATTTAGTGGTATTATAATTTTGTTCAATGTAATAGCTTGATAAAGAAGGTAATTCCTTTGGATCGAAAGTGAAGTCCGATAAATCAAAATTGTTAACGAAACTAATTATTTCGTGTACACAACGATTCATCATTATTATTAATTCTTGTAACTATTTTAGTAACTTTCAGCAGACGAAATTGAGAGATGTATCACAAATCTTATCATCCATGAACTAAAGTGAATTTCTGGAACTTTTTATATCAAAATGATCTACACGATGAATCTTGGTATTGAAAAGTCGCCAAAAATTCAGATTATTAGAAATTTCAGTAATTCGAAGCTCTCGACTAGAAGTATATGCAGTCAAAATACGTAGAATTGTCTTTTCATTCCAATTTATAATTTTCCAGTCCAATGTTATTACTTGTGCACCGAATCAAATGGTACACCTTCGCTTCAGTTCGCTTCCTCCTCAACGTGTCTCAATAAATGTACAAAAGGAAAAGGAGACACGCTCGTCTCCTAGTAATCATCCCTGATTTCAGTGGAACATTAATTCTGCCATTGGTAAATCATTGGTACGCGATATTTCAAGCTTTCTATTGAACTCGGCGTTTGCGTTTTCTACAATTCTTTTTGTCGCCGGTACTAATGACGTCTAGTGTTGAAACCAGATAATCGGCTCATCGTGTGTGTCGTTATTAATCCTGTTCCAGGAGAGAAATAGCTTCCTCCTGACCAGTCGCATCGTGCAATTGTAAACATCATCCTTTTGACTCAACAAATATTTTGTAAATGTTTCTTCGTTTCTTGGGTGAATTTGAATTGACGAATGTATTAACAGCCTTTGTTATACTCCTGCGTATAATTAGACAAATAGTTGAATCTGATTTTATAAATAATCCATTTTTGTTGTTTCGTTGTTGGTAATAATAATATTAAACTTGTAATAATTGTTGAATGTAATATTAAACTTGTAATAATTGTTGAATGTAATAGCTTTTTGATTAGCTTGCTCCATAAGTAATTCAAGAGTAGATGTATTAAATTTAAGAATATGTTATTGTCTGTAATTTTTGACTACTTGTAAATGATTACTACTGATGAAAATGTAATTAAGTGTTTGAGAAATTTGACATTAGCTTGAATTAGTTTGAGTTGGGAGATTAATCGAGAAATTTCTCTAGATTTTTAAGATTTTGAAGGATCTACCAGAACCTTAATTTAAATCGTTGAAATTTTCTCAATTACAATTAGAACTGTTGTTACAAGATATCAATTGAAAAAATTCTGTTCCAAGATCTCTAATAAAACAATTTCCACAAATAAATTTTACAAATGTAAAGATCTTAATATTCGTTAATATTATTATTATTATTGTTATTTTTCGGACGTTAAATATTTTTCAACCTTACATTTTACTAATATATATGTTAAAAAGAAGATTTAAATCTTATTTCAGTTGACGAAAGCGCTGTTGCTGCTATCGTGTTTTGCTAGTGATGTACTCGCTGGATTGCTACCGGGTGGTAGCCCCGGTGGAAGTGGTTACCAGTACAACAGACCAGGTGGATTCGGTGGTCCAGGAGATTTAGGAGGTTTCAGAGGGAGACCCTCAACCTTGTACGGAGCTCCAGGAACCTTGGACCTTAATGTTGGACGTTCTTCTGGCACTTATGGAGCTCCAGGAACTTTGGATCTTAATGCTGGACGTCCCTCTGGCACTTATGGAGCTCCAGGAACTTTGGACCTTAATGTTGGACGTACCTCCAGCACTTATGGAGCTCCTGGATTTGCTGATGCTCGTGATTTAAGCTACCAAGGTGGTGGAGGACAGGGTGGTTATAATCGTGACTATGGAAGAGTGCGTTTGACACATTTTAAATTTTAATAGACTAAGGAATACTCATTAAAAAAAAAAAAGTAATGAATAATACTTTAGTTTTTGTAGCTTAAACCATACAGCTTCCAATGCCCATTAAAAACTAATGAGTACCATTTTACTTTTTATAGCCACAACCATACAGCTTCCAGTATGAGGTATATGATCCTCCTAGTGGTAACGATTACTCTCAACGCGAGAGCAGCGATGGTAATGTGGTGCAAGGAGAGTACAGAGTGCTGTTACCTGACTCGAGGACACAAATCGTGAAATACATGGCGGATGATGCAAATGGATATACTGCTGATGTTCAGTACGAAGGACAGGCTCAATTTTCTCGAGGAGGTATTGGAAGTGGAGGTGGAGCTTATGGAGCACCCTCTGGAGTTTACGGAGCACCCTCTGGAACTTATGGAGCACCTGGAGGTACAGGAGGATTTCAGGGTGGTTATCAAGGAGGTAAATATAATTTTAATTGTACTTGTACTGTGCGGTACATAGTTTACCAAATATTCTACCAAAAATTTTAAAAATTCTAACCATTGTTAGAAAATATTATCTACCATAAAAGTAAACAAAATTTAGAAAATTTTCTACAATTTCATATATTGTATAGACCCTTGAGAAAATTTAAAGATACTTCAAAACTAAATATTTCTATATATATTTATATATGCATGATCAGCAATCCATGTGATGCAGTAACGGAAAATTGTATAGGGGGTGCCATCTGTAGGAACATCGTGGAATTAATATATTGTCTTTACAATGATAATTTACCATTTCTTATATTTTCAAAAAGTTTTACACAAACTGACAGTGCACAAATCAGTAAAATTGCACTTCTTTCAAATAATAATTGAGACATTTTGTTATTTGGAAAGTAAATTCATTGATAGAAGTGTACATATAGAATCCACTAAAGTAGATTAACTTGTTCATCATTTAAATTTTTACCATATAATCATATAGTACATGTAATATTATATTACATACATATATACAATATTATATTACAACATATATTACTTACTATATAAAATTTAATATTTCTTCCTTGTTATTTAAAAATTGCCATTTCGAGTAATGAACAAATTCCGCAGCAGGTCTCATCGGAGCCGGAGCTAGCAATCAGTACCTACCACCACGTAACAATTATCGGAAATGAATTGGTCGTCATAAAAGAAATGAAGAAAGAAAAAAGAAGAAAAAAAAGAAAAACCTGATAAATCTCCCGAACGCTCGGTGACAACCATTACAGACCTCCCTCGTTTTTACAGTTTTTATTTTTTATTTCTTAATACTACACTCGATATATTTACACCACTCCAGTCACATGCACATTTGCGTATAATCACCCTCACTGGTATTTAACGACATATATAATTATGTATCGATTAGGATAATTTAATGATTCCCCTCTCTTTTTTTTTTAACGCACGTCCCGTACATCACGTGTGTAGTTATTACTTTTTTACATACTATATATATAATATATATACATATACTTTTATACTTTGTACATGGTAATTTCTTTTTGTATTATCAAACAAAGTACGCTTGTACTTTCTGCTAAGCGGTCGTCGAACTTATTATATATCTTATTATACCTTGTGTATGTATTTATACGAGCTTAACGTAATACACGAATGAAGTATTCCTCCTATTTAATTGTAGTAGCTCCTGTAACCCCCCCTAAAACTTTCACAAAATCAATCAATTATTGATACTAATTAATAATTAATATTAATTGAGGTACGTCACAATTCGATATTTTTTGTGCAAAAACTTCACCAATCACGCGCGTAACGTCATTATGAGCACGCACAGTACACAGTTGCATTTAAAAAAAAATGAATAAATAAAAAAATAAAAAAAAACAATTAAAAATTAATAACAAAAAAATAATAATAGAAAAAAATTTCGTGATGGAGGAAACAATGTTCATGGAGTGTTTCAACGTTTTCTCCATCTACCGGACGTTTCGTTACACTACTCAAATTTTGTTGAACTAGTGTCAAACGAAATTTTTTCTATTATTTTTTTTAAACGTTATTATTAATTTTTAATGGGTTTTTTTTATTTTTTTGATTTATTCATTTTTTTTAAATGCAATTGTGTACTGTACATGCGTATACTGACCTGCTCATAATAACGTTACGCGCGATTGGCTGCATTCGTATTGTGTTAAACTAATGCCGAACGATATTTCTTCTAATATTATTCTTCTAATATTTTTTCAACGTTATTAATTATTAACTATTCTTTTTTTAATGCAATTGTACAGTCTGCGCATACTGACCAGCGCATAATGGCGGCGCGATTGCTGATTGGTCGCAACCGGCGCTCGGGCCAGGGGGCGTCCACCGAAGCGAAAGTTTCTCGCTAGTAAAATTGATATCTTGAGTGTATAAAAAACGTTTTAAAAGTCAAATCAGCATCGCTTCTCGGCCTGATGGCTAAGATCAAAGTGTAGTATCTGTTCTTATCAGCTTAATATCTGATACACCCTCCATAGGAGGGTAAGAATATTAGCCTGATTTTTGGAAATTGGCAGAGGTTTTGGAGCTTGCTCCACCTCTGCTCTGGGTTTACCCGGCATTGCAGTGCCGCTGGGAGAGGCCCACATAAACTATTAAGAAACAGAATTGTAGGAGTAGCTTTAAAAAGTACTTTAAAAATCGTTAAAAAAAGTTTGAGTCGGAAATATTAATACGTTTACCCTTTGGTCAAAAGCTCAAAATTTCCGGTTTCCGTTGAGGTGCGCCCGACGCTCATTTTAAAACGGGTGTGTGATTATGGTGTTTTAAAAAGTAGTTCATATACTTTCTGAAACAAATACTACTAATTCCTCATTTTCTGTGGCATTTTTACATGTCACGGGTGCGAAAAAAGCAAACGCAGTTGACAGATGTTTCGAAAATTTTGCAAATTCCAACGTCTCTGTGAACACTGAAAAATTATTTTCCAGACTAAAGTCCACCATAGAGTTGAAAATTGAAGTTTGCTTTTTACAACGACCCCTTGAAACCTTATGTACGACTTTTTGTTACCGTTTTATTCGTCTTTGAATGCGTATTAACACGCCCGACCCTCCGGGTCGGGCGTGACACTCCACATTCAAAGACGAATAAAACGGTAACAAAAAGTCGTACATAAGGTTTCAAGGGGTCGTTGTAAAAAGCAAACTTCAATTTTCAACTCTATGGTGGACTTTAGTCTGGAAAATAATTTTTCAGTGTTCACAGAGACGTTGGAATTTGCAAAATTTTCGAAACATCTGTCAACTGCGTTTGCTTTTTTCGCACCCGTGACATGTAAAAATGCCACAGAAAATGAGGAATTAGTAGTATTTGTTTCAGAAAGTATATGAACTACTTTTTAAAACACCATAATCACACACCCGTTTTAAAATGAGCGTCGGGCGCACACCTCAACGGAAACCGGAAATTTTGAGCTTTTGACCAGAGGGTAAACGTATTAATATTTCCGGCTCAAACTTTTTTTAACGATTTTTAAAGTACTTTTTAAAACTACTCCTACAATTCTGTTTCTTAATAGTTTACGTGGGCCTCTCCCAGCGGCACTGCAATGCCGGGTAAACCCAGAGCAGAGGTGGAGCAAGCTCCAAAACCTCTGCAAATTTGCAAAAATCAGGCTAATATTCTTAACCCTCCCATGGAGATGGTCAACTCTGTGGTGGACTTTAGTCTGGAAAATAATTTTTCAGTGTTCATAGAGACGTTGGAATTTGCAAAATTTTCGAAACATCTGCGTTTACTTACGCACCTGTGACGTTTTTCTTTTTTCTTTTTTTTTTAAATATTGTAGAAAAAGAAGTGACAGGAAGTAATAATGAGACTAAATAACAGAGACTTTGTGCTTTATACCCTAATTCCACGCTATTGTGCTCATTTCAAGCGGCATGAATCTGTCATTGCTCATTATAGCTCATACTTTGTTATGGAGGTTCACTGCTTTAAATAAATATATTCGCAGAAAAAATGCTAATAAAGAAGATTAATTTGTGACTCTCTGCACTTATATTTGCCTGTTTGGAACTCTGACTTTTTTTTTACATTATGTACTTTATATTGAACTTTGAGCTGAATACTATGATTCCTCACGTGTTTCGTCTTCAATTTTTAGGTAAATTGTCACATCTTGAAACGAGTTCGACAACTGTTTAATACTGTTACACTTGACTCATTTTATTTGTTAATGGCTAATCATTTATGGACCTATTCTATTTAAAAATGTCTGGCCACGTATGAGCCGTTACTACTTGAGTATGGATAACCACACACGGTCCTATTCTACTTGAAATGTCTGACTGCTCACGGACCTATTCTACTTAATTTTCTGGCCACTTAAGGGCTCATTCTACTTACAACGTCCGGCCATGTACGGACTCATTCTACTCGCGAGTGGAGCCGTTAAGGAACCGAAAGTTGATATCACAACTGTCTTCAACTTCTGTAAATCGTGCACAAGTATTTACGTCTTACGAATCGAAAAGAAATATCATCCTCAAGAATTCTTAACAGTTGACAGAATAACTAATGAAACATTAAACATGCAGATTTTCAGGGTGATACACATTTCACTACTCGAAAGTAATACTAAACGTCAATTACTTTCTGAATAATCACTTTTATTTTTGATCCTTATCAATATTAAACAACGTAGTTACGTAAGGGTATATATATTACATGGAAAATTCTGTCCTCCTAGTGCGCATATATCTTCCCAAGACACCACGTTTTTTTTCCCCGAGAGAAGAAAAAAAAAAAAAACAAAGGAATTCGTGACTCGATAATTACACGGATTCACACATTCTCCAATCACGTTCTCGTTATTTTCTCCTGTCCTTTTCAACTCATCCACGTTGGAAGGAACGTAGCGATCAATCGTCACGTAACTTCTACATTTTCAAGCTCGGAGAAGGATCGAAGAGACTACAAAAGAAATTACAGCAGCGACGAGGGAAATTTGTTTTTCCCATTTTTCATTGTATATATAAAAAAAAAAGAAGAAACTTCTTCGAGCACTTTCTTCACATTTGTTTCGTTTCAGGATCCTTCTCCGTTCCTTCCGCAAGAAACGTGCCCCCAACCTCGGCACAGTAAAGTATATCAAACGTACAATACTATAAAACGTCGAGTGTGTTCAACAAAAGGATAAAACATTGTCGTTCGAATTCGTCCAGAGTGTCACGCTTAATACGATGCACATCAAACAAGCTAACCCTACACTTCCGTGTGAAGGACACACCGGATAAGTAGCCTGAAAAGCGAGTTTCCATCGATATCTCTTCGTTCTCAAGCGAGAATTTCGCTCGTCCGGCGATTGAAAGAAGAGAAATCAACGAAACGAACATAATCTCGGTAAAGTGATCTCAAAACGAGATCTTCTTGGGTGAAAGGAGGGAATTCTGTATAGAATTTAGGTTTGCAGAGGAAGAAACCGAAACAGGGGATGGGGGGAGGAGGGGCGATTGAAACTGGTCTCTCCCTCGTGAGAATCGCGCCTCACGATTCGCAGCAAACGAGAAAAAGAAGCGAACGTTTTATTTCAATTGACGCACACCGTTCCTCTCTCACTCGCTCAAAACGCGTTGGAAGATAATTCACGCCGCAAGGTTGCAACTCTCTCTCCTTGACCACGCTTCGTCGTTCTTTCTTCGTGTTCGTCGCGGCAATTTCACCGCAATTTCGAAGCACGCTTGTTCGAGCACGGTGCTGGATGAGCCTAAGTAACCTAACGTTCGAGTTCTACTCGGGATAATGATTCTCTCTCTCTCTCTCTCTCTCTCTCTCTCTCTCTCTCTCTCTCTCACTCTCTCTCTCTCTTCGTCTTCATTTCACTCGCGACAGAACGACCAGAAGAGAAGTTCTGAACGACACGTCGTTCTTCTTCTTTTTTTTTTTTTTTTTTACATTGGATAATTGCACAGTTACACGAAAAAGATCTCTTATCCCCCTGAAATGAAAAAGAAAAAAAGCTTTCGATCGACTTGACGGGAATTTCTGGTAGTCTCGTTCCGTCTCTTCTTTTTTTCATTTTGCGTATTTTGTCAAAAAATATGAATCTCTTTCTCTTTCTAGGGACACACGAAGTTCGGTAGGAAGATGTTTCGAGGTTCATCGAGCAGCCATTTATATATGTCGCAGTAGGCCATTTCCTCCTATCTAAAAATTTGAAAGGCTAACTAAAGAGAAGCTAAATGGGAGCAAAGTGCCGCGTCGAGATTCCGCTTTCGTCGCGATGTTCCTTTCTTCCACGCTGGTTCCGTTACAAAAGGGATTCCCCATGAGAATTCTTTCTCATTCTACAAGAAAACGAATGAAATACGAAAGATATTCTGATATGTTTCTATTTTCTTCTTTTTTTTCCCCATTTTCTCTTCTCTTTTTTTTTTGTTTTTTTTTTCTTTCTTTTGTTTTCAGTTCGAATTATTTCACTATGTCTTGCCTCTAACGATTCAGGGACGTTCTAAGTGGATATATGCAGGCACTCTTCTTTCACAAAATGGAACCTTTCTTTCTTCTTCGAACACCCTGCCCAGGTCTACGTAGTTCCTTTTGTGAATCAATAATCACGTTACGATTTGTAATCTTACGATCTTCAAACGAGTACCAATAACCATCAGCTATTTTTTTTTTTTCTTTTTTCATATCGAAAGAACTCTTTTACATTCTTTACAATTCTTCTAGTATGATGATAAACCACAATGATGAACCATACACGGAGTTACCGACTTAAACTGAAGACTACTACTGTCTACAAGCGATATGAACTGGATTTAAATCAGATTCTGTTAATAACGATGTCTGGAGGAATATTAAACGTGCCTCTAGAGATTACAAGTATTTCGAAGTTACTGATACTCGTTCAAAAAAAAAAAAAAAAAAAACTATCGGGAATGTTCAGAGATTGCTAATCAGTATTGAATAAGCGGATATCTGGAACGACGATCACCGCTCGACTTAAAATCGAAGCATATAGGGGATGAAGAATACAGTTTCCCCTGGCTATGCTACTAGAAGATTCTCTCTTAATCGATGTCCTTTTCTTCTCGTCGACTAGGTATCTTGAAACGTACAGTTGTACTTTCCTTCAAATAAATTTCTTTGGACAACCTAAACAGTAAGAAAGTTATGATGTATTGTGGTTGGAGTTAGAATTGAAAAATACTGTTCGTTATTTTTTCTTCATCCCCGATGAGCTTCCAAATGGCGACGTTATAGGGGTGAGAACTCAAAAAAGTTCTAAGACAGCAGCCTCAATCTTGGATTGACTGATCGGGCCTATATATAATCGATCGTCACGCATAGAAAGTATATCCCGTCATATATATATATATATATATATATATATATATATGATACATATATATATATAATATAATATAATATAATATATATATATATTAGAAAATTTTTTGTTAACAGACGCATTAATACTTAAAGATAAATATTTAGATCAATCTCTCTCACTCTACCGCAACATTTTCTCCCACTCTTGCGCTCTGCTTCCTCGGTCATTCGTTCTACTACCAAAATTTCACGGCTTTTTTTTTTCTTATCTCCCTCGAAAAGGTGCAGACTGATATGTGAGAAGATCACTGATCGATATGTAGATCCGATATGGAGATCCGAGAATAGAATAAATGGAGAGACGTAAATTTCCCAGGCTGCTCCCTGTAGCTGTCTTCCTTCAGTTCCTAATTGCTCGCTCGTTTTCCCTTTGGTTTTCCATTCTTCCATCTGTCCGTTTCCTCAGTTTCTCATTCTTTCAATTTCTCAATTTTCTCTTCTCGTTTTGCTTTTCTGTCATTCAGTCCCGCAAGTTCTCCATTTCGCAATTTCTTCCTCAGCTCTCCCTTCTTCATTTCCCAACTTTTCCATTCGCTCAAGTTTCTCATTTCCAAGCCCTTCTGCTCAATTTTTCAATTCTCTCATTTGTCAATCCTTTCAGTAACTGATTTATTTATTTAACCAGCATTTTCCATTTGCTTCACTCCTTGACATCTTTGACTTTTCCCCTTTTCTCCAGCTTCCAATTTGCTTATTTACCAGACTGCCAATGTCAACTCTTCATTTCTTAATTTTTCCTTTCTATTTTCTACACAGTTTAGTACCTTTCTCTAACGTCTTCCCTCTGTTTAGTTAAATTGCATCGTCTTCCCTTGCTCTCATCACACTGTTCTTCATTCATCATGTCATTCTTCAAATTTGTTTCTCATATCCCTCTCTTCTGTTTCCTATAACGAAGCGATAAATACAATCATCGAATGGACGTTTAAGATAGTCTCTTCTCTGTCAACTTTCAAAACAAACGAACCTAAGATTGTCGTTAATATATCGATTAGTAACAATCACAACTTTTACTCTAAAACACAAGATGCGTAAAATCTTTGATAAATAATAACAATCGAGTGGTCAACAGTCGTTGTAGGAACTTGTCTTTGTTAGAACTGGACGTTCGCTATTGAACAACATTTTACAATCAAACAGATAGCTACTAGTTTCTTGTGGCATTCCCACAGCAGAAGCTCACAGAAGTGAGAATTTGTTATCAGTTCCAAACCTCATCAATAAAATTTCCAATCCATGTATTTTCCAGTGGTTTAATTAATTTGCCTGTTTGTTAGTAGCAACCCCCTGCAACTCTTAAGAATCTCTGGCCAATGATCTTTAGTTGAATATGACCAATGTAGACACGACTTGACGTCGCAATTCAAGTTTAATACAAGATAAGTTTAAGAGTCCTCCTCAAAAATTATAATCGTACAATTGTAAGCATTCTTTGAGACTGGGAAAGACTAGATTTAGGCAAGATTCAGTTTCCTCGTTATTTCTCGTTTCTTCATCCTCCTTTATCATTTTATTTCTTTCGTTTTCTGCTTCTCTTTACACTTTCTTCAACTTTTTCTTCTCTTTGCACTTTACTCAACTCTCAGAAACTCAAAGAAAGTTTCTCTGTTACCATCACTTTGTTCTTTAATTCTTTTCTCATCCTCTCTTTTTCACACACACACACAATCTCTCTCTCTTTCTCTCTCATTCTTCCCTCTTTTTCTCTTCCTCAATGTATCTTATAGCAATTAAAATGCTCCCTTGGAAAACACAAGTGTCGTTTTACACCTAGAAATGCTAATAATCTCGGTCAAACTCAAGTTTCAGGATACATCGAATTTCTGACTATTTCAATAACGACAGCAGTCTTTGAAGAGTGAAGTCGTCCAAGAATATCAGTTTTGAAAACACTGTATCATGACGATGAGACTCTACCGATCAAAGTTTGTAATAAACAAATTGTGTAATGTGCATGGGTTTTTATATACGCGTGAATTTAAAAATAGTGTTGAACACAATATTTTTGAATTGTAGTCCAGTCGACAACTATCTTATGTTATAAACAGACTCAGAGATCCGATGTGCCCCAAAACAATCACTGTCTCTTTCTCTCTCTCTTCCTAGCCCTTTTTCCGTTTTTCTTTCTCTCTTCCTTCGTGATTCCGCCTTTGACAGCTTTGCCTCTCATTCTCTCGTTCTCTCAAACTCTCCCGCGCGCGCGTTTGCTCTCTCTCTCTCTCTCTCTCTCACTTTTATACAACTAGGATAATAAATATTGCCGCGAAAATTATTTGCTACATTCGTCCCAAACAGTAGTCAACAAGTTCGCCCATCGGAGACTCGCGGTTTCGCCTTTTTTATTTTTACTATCTTCAATTGTTTTTTTTTCGTTTCACATATATTTTTTTTTTAATTCAGGAAGGATCGTGAAGAGATGTTCAGTGCTCGGCGATCGATTAGGATGGATTTGGAAATTGACGTTTCTCAGAGTGGAGAAGTGAAATTAGTAAGGGAAGCTCAGAATTTCGAAGCAGCACCTCCTGCTCAATCGTCGAGCACTCATTAAGTTCTTATCCTCTTAAAAAGAAAAAACAAAAAAAAGAAAAAGAAGAAGAAAAAGGAAATGCAATTCGTGGGATTCCTCGTCGAATTCTTCACAGAAGAAATAAATAACTTTAAGATTATTATACTCTGTATCGAGAAGAATATCCTACAAACGCCGTTGAAAGAACGGCTCCGAAGAAATACAAGTGTATCTCTTCTCTTTCAATCACTGATATCTAAGGAACTTTTAAATAATATTCACATCTAACACATTTGTCTCAGTCATTCAAAATCAACAAAATTCTAGAAATTAGAGACAGTAATAAAAGCTATATGCATCAGTTCTCTATTGTTCGTGCAGTATCTCAACTTTAAAAAAAAAAAAAAAGAGAAAACTCTGCTTGAAAATCAGCTATTTAACTTATTCACATCAATTATTCTATCCTCAAAATCAACTTCTTGAAAATCAGCTATTTAACTTATTCACATCAATCATTCTATCCTCAAACAAAACAAATCAACAACTGTAACACATTTACCAAATATCTAATCTAAATCTCGCCTAACTAAAAGTCACAAATGAACAGTCTCGCGAGTATTAACTCCATGACCTCTCTTCTTGCCTCTATAATCATTCAAAGGCCATTGTCCACCGCGAGTTCCGAAAGGGTCGGTTTTTTTTTCTCTTTTTCTTTTTTTCTTTTACGCCGATGAACGCACGATGCCGGTCAGGCTCGCATAATAATTTTTATCTTGATATCATCAAATATATATATTTATATCGGCGCTGGTGGTCGTTCAATCGTCCCAGGTGGGGAAGGCCTCCTGCTCGACGAACAACGACGATTGCCCGGCGGTTGCCGGCCTCTGGCTTGGTGTTCCACCGAAGTTCGTGCTGCCAAACACAGGCTGTCCGAACGCATCCAGCTGCTGGCCCTCGTAGATACTGCGATCGGTCGTCGTGTACGACGGATGCGTTTGTTGCGGTTGTTGTTTCTGCGTATCCGTCACTGTCAGCTCGATATTCCCGGCTGACACCGTCTCCTCGAGGTTATCCGAGGTGTTTCCCTCTTCCAGACTGCTGTGCTTAATGCCGTAGTAGAAGTACATGATGAAACCTACGATTGATTTTAAGTGTTAGTTTCAAGACTGATAGTCCAATGTCAACTGACAGATGTTGTTGAAGAAATCAGAGAAAAGAATTTAGTAATTTCGTTGTTATATTTCAAATACCTCAGTGTACAAACTAACTGTCTGATAGAAATATAATGTTGGAATTCTATTAGCTCTTTCTGCAAGCTTCTGAACTAAGTGTGAGGAATAAATTCGCAGATCAAATTTACCGAGGATCATCCAGAGAGTGAATCTGACGAGAGTCAGGATGCTCAGCTTAAAGATGAGGTATATGTTTACGGTGACGGCAATTGCAGGTACGAATGGGAGTCCCGGTGTCATGAACATCATGCTATTTCTAGAAGGATAAGATCCAATTTTAAAACGAAACGGGTGAGTGAACTTTGGTTTAAATGAAAATTTAAACAATTATTGCCTCTGAAAGTTACCTATTTTGTGGTTTCCTACTGATGGCAAGCAATATTCCAATTATGGCAAAGAGGAATGCGAACATCATTATCGTAGTAAATGTTCCCATATTTCCTAAAATGAACAAAATTGGTAACATAGATTGCAAAGGTTGCAGAGAAATGAAAGATAAGGCGTTTATTTCTCTATGGCTCACCCATGCCACAAACTATAATCAAATCGAAAATGACAATCAGCAAATAGAGCACGCCGACTAGTTTCATGACGTAGCGACCTGAAGCTTCCGTCGCTGGGCCTCTGTCCACCCAGGGAAAGATGGCAGGACAGAGATACTGCGCTGCCTAAAATGGCAAGGGTACATTCAAGAAAAATAAGAACTTATAATTAAGAATTAAACGAATATTCCAAAGTAAATTTTTTAACTTTGAGAAGGTAAGGGATTTTACAATGCTTTCAAATTCAATACCTGCAACCGACGTTGGAGGTAATTCAAAGGTGGCCCAATTATTGGCGTGTTTCCTGGGTATTGATGTGCACTGCCACAACTGGACGCAGCTGCAGCTGCATGCACGCTACCATAGAACTTATTTTCAGTTCTGTCACTGACCAAATATTGATCGTCTTTGCCCAGACCAACTTCATCCTCTTCAGCACCATAAGTGTCATCTGAATCTGGTGAAGAACTATTGCATCTTCTAACTCTTCTCACCTGCGAAACAAGCGATTCATCATTTGCATTCTTACTTATCCTTGTTATCACTGTTTTTTTTTTTTTTTGTTTTTTTTTTTAATTTTACCATGATACGTTGGCCACTATTTGCTGCAGCAAGATCCGATTGAGCAGCCTGGACAGAATTCAGCGCAGTGGTTAGCTGATCAGGTCTCAGCTCTTTTCCATAAGTCACTTGACCATTTCCCTGATTTTCTTTAGTTGGCGATCGACATGGTGTTCTTAAACTTTGTGGTAGTAACTCTACCAAGTTTGTAGAATGAGGTTGATAGCGTAGAATCAACACGCAGGTAGATACTAGGGTGTAAGCCAGCAAGGTACCTGGGTAGAAATTAACGAAGATCTTAAAATCACGCACTTTAATTGTATAATAACTATTATTTAAATGTTTAAATTAATATCAACTTTGAAAGATTTAGTTAGTAGATTAGTTTACTTTGTAAAGAGCAGTAGAATGTCTACGAATGCAAAAAAAGAGAAAGAATTGATTTCGCACAGGGCTTACCGATAGACATCATCTCTACCAACACTTCTAATTGAATGAGCAGTGCAGCAAAGGCTGCACACATACCGGAAGTCAGTGTTGCTATGGCTGGGGTACCTGTTGCTGGCCACACTTGGCTCAAACTCCTAGTAATCACACAAATGTATAATGCAAATCTTACACAATGATCTCTGACGAAATACACATATAAAAGAATATATTACAGCAAAAGTAAAAGAAGACTAGAGTATTTATATAAGTTAGTATAAGGAATCTAATATTTATCGTTTGATAAATCATGCACAGGGCATCCAACAGTTTACACGCAATTTACAATATGCATTTTAAAGTGAAAATGAATTGAAATTTACTGAGACTGATTTATTGAAGTTTGCTGTCAGGTAGGTGTTACCTGAATATAAGGCCATCCTGAGCCATTGCATAGACTATCCTAGGCATGGGGAACATACTGCCAAACATGGAGACGGACAATCCAGCTAATGCACCAACTGCCACAATGTATTTGCACTTGTATGCTCCAACTTGACCAAACATTTCCACCAATGCTGAATCCTGATCCACCTCGTCGTATGGAACTAAAAAAGAAAGGGAAACGGAGTTTTCTCTCTGCTACTTCTTACACTCTTTCCCTTCTTCTTTTCCACTTGTACTTTTATGAACCTTTTTTGTCATGGATTAATGTTGAGGTGGCTGGCGAGTATTTATGAGAGGAGGGAAAAAAATACAGGCTAATTATTTAAAACGATCAATTACGATCCGTTATTTAGAAGCATAACGAACCGTGTCTCTGTGACGAGGGTAAGCGAAGGATCACGTGTCGTTGAAGGGTGATCAGAGATGCATGAAGGGAGGTCAAGGATGGCCAAAGGCCTTTTTAGCCGGCAAGTAACAGAGTTGAAGCGAATAATCAGTGGAAATGCCATCACCTGCCTGTTAATAAATAAACTAGCGTCGTTAAACAACCACAATTCAGTCTGGGACTATGTATAGAATATTCCTTCACAGTCATATTTAATTTTAGAAGTTGGTTCTGTTAGAAGCAATTGTTTGTTTCAATCGAAGTGGAAAGTATCGTTGATTTAAAATTAAGATAATCCTCTTCGAGTCCTCTTTCGTGATGGATTAATGACTGAATGATTTAATAGTTATTCGATGATGTGAACTGAATTGTTCTGACAAACTTATATTCATAATCATACACATAAGTTACGAGGATAGAAAGAGAATCGAAGATCGATACATACCGATCAGCGTCAGCATCATGCTGCTGGTGACATAAGCAATGAGTATTATGATCAACGAGGAGACTATTGCGAGGGGGATGCTCCTTTTTGGGTTTGTCGCCTCTTCGCCGGTGGTTGCTATTATGTCGAAGCCGATGAACGCGTAAAAACACGTCGCTGCACCGGTGAACACCTGTGAACATAGTATAGTATTAAGTATACTATATATATAGTATAATATAGTGTAGTATAGTATAGAGTATACTACATATATAGTATAATATAGAGTATACCATATATATAGTATAATACAGTGTAGTATAGTATAGAGTATACTATAGATAGTATAGCATAGTATAGAGTATACAATATATAGTATAGCATATTAAAGAGTATACTATAGATAGTATAGCATAGTATAGAGTATACTATATATAGTAGAGCATAGTATAGAGTATACTATATATAGTATAGCATAATATAGAGTATACTATATATAGTATAATATATATAGACTATACTACATATAGTATAGCATAATATAGAGTATACTATATATAGTATACTATATATAGTATTATAGAGTACACTACTAGTATAATATTTATAGAGTATACTATATATAGTGTAATATATATAGAGTACACTATATATAGTATAATATTTATAGAGTATACTATGTATAGTATAATATATATAGAGTATACTATATATAGTATATAGTACTATATATATATATATATATATATATATATATATATATATATATATATATTCAGAGAATTAATCTGTGATGTATGAATTTATCCGTAGAACAATTTCTAAACAATTTCATATTTTTCTAAAACGATACTGAGGTATTTCGTTCCTTAAAACGGGAAAACAATAATCTCGCCCGTAGAGTGTTATGTATTATAAATCTCTTTTCCGAATTGGAAAGCCATTTCCTGCTTCTGCAACGTGATTGAAAATTCATTTGAAAAGTTGGAATTAGATACTGAACTCTAGGAAGCAGGATCGTGAACAAGGGGTAATGCAATTCGGGATGAAAAATATTCCCTGGTCGCCTGTTGGGATACGAAAGCTTCAGAATGACGAACGGGAGCGCTCTGTCCACTTTTCCATTGACTTCGGCACATTTCAACTTCCCTGTGCAAGCATTTAAACTGCAATTGCAACTGAAACTAATTTTGTAACGAATTCAGAGTTAATTTACAGTGAAGCGTCATGCATAATTTTACAGTGAATATAAAATATAATTCACCATTGAATAGATAATCGGATTGTTCAGGGGGTCTGTGTAATTTTCAAAATTAATAATGGATGAAATTACAGTGTGCTTCAGTGAAAATTGTTGAGACTATGTGAAATTGAAGAAAGTTTGTGAAAGAGGGCTATACATTTCATTACTTTTAACGTACGAAAACGTTCGTACGAGCTTTTAAATTCTTCTCAAAGTTTCCCCAAATTTTCTAAAGGTAACCCAATATTTAATGATCAACTTATAGAAAAAAGTTACTTGAGCATGAAATGAATTTGTTGGCGAAAGAATGGCAAGGGGGGCGTGCAGTCTGGAATGAACTGAAATCGGCAAATTAAATTGCTAACTCAATAGAAATGCTCTTTGAGAAACTGGAGACTCTTCCAAGACGTCTTTCAACGGCGGATGCTCTGTAATGCCCGCTTAATTTTTCAGGGTCCCTCACCGTCGTTATAAATTTCTGATGCCTCGACGAAAAACCGTATGAAATTGAAAGCATAACTCAATCCCAGTGGATCTTCGTCAGAGTCAAAAGTAAATTTCAATTTTAAACGTGGGACTAAACATGAAAAAAAAGAGCTATTGACTAGGATCCCTAGAGATTGTTCGAATGGGACAGGAAGTAGTAAGAAACAAGTAAAAATAACTAGAAATGCAAATATAAAGAAAAGAGCTACCTACACTATTGACTGAGCCACTGTGAAAAAATCTCTAAGCTAGGGATCCCTAGAGATTGTTCGAATGGAACAGAAAGTAGTAAGAAACAAGTGGAAATAACTAGAAATAGAAGTATAAAAAAAGAACTACCTACACTATTGACTGGGCCACCGTGAAAAAAATCTCTAAGCTAGGGATCCCTAGAGATTGTTCGAATGGGACAGGAAGTAGTGAGAAACAAGTGGAAATAACTAGAAATGGAAGTATAAAAAAAAAAGAGCTACCTACACTATTGACTGGGCCACCGTGAAAAAAATCTCTAAGCTAGGGATCCCTAGAGATTGTTCGAATGGAACAGGAAGTAGTGAGAAACAAGTGGAAATAACTAGAAATGGAAGTATAAAAAAAAAGAGCTACCTACATTATTGACTGGGCCACCGTGAAAAAATCTCTAAGCTAGGGATCCCTAGAGATTGTTCGAATGGGACAGGAAGTAGTGAGAAACAAGTGGAAATAACTAGAAATGGAAGTATAAAAAAAGAACTACCTACACTATTGACTGGGCCACCGTGAAAAAAATCTCTAAGCTAGGGATCCCTAGAGATTGTTCGAATGGGACAAAAAGTAGTAAGAAACAAGTGGAAATAACTAGAAATGGAAGTATAAAAAAAAAAGAGCTACCTATACTATTGATTGAGCTACCGTTAAAAAATCTCTAAGCTAGGGATTCCTAGAGATTGTTCGAATGGGACAAGAAGTAGTAAGAAACAAATGGAAATAACTAGAAATGGAAGTATAAAAAAAAAGAGCTACCTACATTATTGACTGGGCCACCGTGAAAAAATCACTAAGCTAGGGATTCCTAGAGATTGTTCGAATGGGACAAGAAGTAGTAAGAAACAAGTGGAAATAACTAGAAATGGAAGTATAAAAAAAAAGAGCTACCTACATTATTGACTGGGCCACCGTGAAAAAATCTCTAAGCTAGGGACCCCTGGAGATTGTTCGAATGGGACAGGAAGTAGTAAAAAACAAAAAGCAGAAATAACTAGAAATAGAGGTAACTAGATCTGGAGGAGAGAAGCATTTATTATCAACCAAATCATCTTGAGAGTTCCTAGAATGCTAGAAACCAGAGAGTCCAAAGCAATTCGAGACTGGCCAAACCTATAAAAATGTCTCTGCCAACCGTAACCTCGTAAAAATCCCTAGAATCCTTAAGAAGTAAGAAACTTCGTTCGAAGCGAGTATCGCGCGCGTGTCTTCGATCCGAAAGGAGCGGAGAACAGAGAGGAAGTGTAATTTGTGACCTTTACTCCGTTCCAACGGCGGATAGTTTGAAATTTTGAACAGAACGGGACGAGAGACCTTCTGTTCTTGGAAGAAAGGAAAACTCTCGTGAATGTTTGAGAATGCACGTTTGACCCTGTAGTATTTCGCCCCCGTGGTTCACTCGCGCCCCCGCATTCTGCATACCGCCCACTCAAGCCCACGACTGGAAATCCCCTCGAGCAGAGCGTGTGCAATTGCTCGTTAAAAAGGCACCAGGCACCTTGATTAAAACGAACATAACTCCCTATCTCCCCGTCATTCCGGGCATTTGTCTCTATAGCCTTTGTCCTTTTTTCTTTCCTTTTCTTTCTCCTGCGGTTCGTTTCATTCCTGGAAATTTATCACCCACTCGGCGGCGAAACTGAACGAGCAAATTTGTAGTTTATGTTGAAGGTAAATGTCACCACGGTTAAACACACGATAATTAAAGCCGTACAAGGGGACATTAACGAACGAAATTGCTCGCTCTCAATGAAATAAACTGCGCCGCGTAATTGTACCGCGTTGTACGTTATTCGAAGGAGATTGCTCGTTATTATGTAGAAATGTGTATTGAAAACGTGTTGTTTCTTTTTTTAATTTTCTTTTGTTTCGTTAACATCAATTTTCAAGCATTCGTGTCTGTTTTAAGTTCAAGTCAAATCAGACGAGAGGATTGTAGAATATATTCCTCGAAAAACAAGATATGACATACGTACTTTGCACTTTCAGCATAATTCAATTACATTTGAATAAAAATTTGTCTTCGGCGAGACGACTGATGCAAATTGTACTTCCGAATTTCGCAGAAATGCATGAAAATCCGCGGTCTAATTAGCATCGGTAAGCGTACGCGCGCGTAAGAGTTGCTGTGAACGAATGAAAAAGGAAAGAAGATTCTTTTTTGCACTGGACTTTTAATTTTGTTAACGTTTAATTAAAATACACTTCGTTACAAAGTTCTTCTTCGCCGTTACAAAAATACGCCCCGAGCTCGACAGAAGAGAAAGATATTTTCGTCAAACAGTTAGAAAACACGAAACCGTCGTGCTTGGGGTAATTAAGTTGAAACAACGGGTTAGAACGAGAATTTACGGACAAAGAGGGTCTCGTTCAATAGAGAACACGTGAAGGGACCATCTTCAAAGCTTCGAAATTCCTTTCATGGAATTGTGCATTACTTCTGACACGCATTGTACATTCTCAACCTCGTTTTTCTATCGGTCGTTTTTAATAAGGGGACGGTTGAACGTACCCTCGCCTCGTCAAAGAATCGCGATCCGTCAGTGTTATTGCTATTATTATTATTCCGAATTAATGGCAGCGCTTGGCAGATGATCGTTAATTTCCAACCTGTCCCATCTATCCCTTATCTGTGTTGCGTTGCAAAGAAACAGCAACAGGAACACGAAAGTCTCGACACCTTGTGACAATGAATCCTTGAGTTTTCGTTTGATGGAAATCAGGGGATGCAATTAATCGAAACTGCAGGGCCAAAAGATCGAGAAATCAAACCTTGCGAAGGCTGACGATTTCAGAGGGGGTGTAAGGGAGAGGGGAGAGCAATCGAAGGGAGAGGAGGTGGATTGTTGAACGTGTGCATTGCTATTAATCAAAAGGTTGACACAAGCAATGTACCGTGAGCTCTCGAGCGATTTGCGGCACAGGGATGAATGCAGGGAGGAATAAAGCCTTTCGCAAGCCTCGGAAGCCCACGCAGACTCCTAAGGTCAAATAAAAAAAAAATATATATATATATATTAATAATACTATAATATTTATATATATAATAATATATATTTATATATTATTATATTGTACAATAATTTTATATTTATATAATATTAATAATAATATAATATTTTTATATATAATAATATATATTTATATATTATTAATATTATTATTATATTATATAATAATTTTATATTTATATAATATTAATAATACTATAATATTTATATATATATAACAATATATATTTATATATTATTATATTATATAATAATTTTATATTTTTATAATATCAATAATAATATAATATTTATATTAAATATATATATATATATATATGTGTGTGTATATTAGCTTTTTTATTCATGAAACGTTGGTGTCTCAAAAAAATGTAGGAAGTTTTAATTTAAAGCGAACGAGGAAGAAACTGCATATAGAGGATCTTTCATTCAATGAAAGATTATTCTTTGAAGATTATTGAACAATCTAAAGGATTTTAATGGGAGAATCAGACTAGACAATCGTTCTGGAAGATTAATTTTTGAAAATGTTTGAGCATTTGGAAAAGCTTATAAATAGCTGAAAGGAGTGGGAGAAGTCTGATAACCTTTTTTGCAATTTTAACTTTCTTAATTTCAATTTCTCTAATTGAATGGTAAAAATGTATTTGTCTTACATAAAATTGCTAGAAGTTACACCTTTGTGTAGTTGTCATTATTATTATTGTTACTTAATGAAACTCCATTATCTGGAAGATTTATCTCCCAGTGTGAAATTTTGTCACGCAGCAGGAAATTACTATGATGCATAGTAATATATCACGTCATTAAACGCACAGTAGGAAATCCCCATGCCGCCCACGAGCGAAAGTGTTAATACCAGTATGAAACAAGTCGAAAGCAAACACTCGTTTCCTTCCTTGTCCCAAAAGTGCAATGGAAGCAAAAAAGAAGAAGAAGAAAATTCTAGACAAGTCCTAAACAAATTTACATACACAATACATCCACACCTCGCTTTCGTTAAAATCTCTCCACAAACCAAACATCCAAGTTTAGATGTTTATCGAGGAAATGGCAGACTTCATATTATAAATATAAAACAAGTCGAACAAAAACTCGTTCTTTTCTTCCTTGTTCCAAAAGTGCAGCAGAGAAAACAGAAAAGAAAAAGGAAATTCCAAACGAAAAGTTGCTCCTCTCCTCCTCTGAATGTCCATCCACATCTCGCTTTTTCGTTAAATTTTCTTCCACGAACCAAAAATCCAAGTTTAGATATTTATCGAGGAAATGGCAGAAGGGAGGAACGAGCTAGCTTTTCGGGGGAAGCAGGTTGGAAACGTGTCGATGAAAAATGCACGTTTTCTTCTAAGGAGATCCATCGGAAATATTCACATCGTGTGGATCGTCGATAGGCACGCGACGATGGTCGAAAAAGGGAAAGTATCGCGTGCATAAATTCCAGGACACGTTAATTAATAATTCACGAACGCTTTGGACCGATCGACGATCGGGAATAAACGTGGCTGTGAGTTTCAGACACATTTTTTTTTTATAATGTACGACAGGTGACCCGATCGAGTGACGCTCGCATGTCCAAAAATACTAGTTTCATTGTCCTGAAATAAATTTATGCATACTGCACGAGTTATCATTACTTAAATATACATACGTGTTTCGTGACTTGTGTTACGCGCGTGTTATGTCAGTTCGATCGACGAGATGAACTTTCATCGATTTTATTGACAAATTCGATTTGAGTTATCGATATGCCAAATTATTTATTATTTATATTGAGTGGCGTTCAACCTGTGAAATAATTTTCCATCTGCGTCCCGTTTTAATTATTTTTACGAAACTATCAGTATGCATAAGCGTCCTTGGACGACTCGACCGAGAGAAATCAATATGGCGTCCGGGTAAACCATGCAGTGTGCATCAGCTTCACGTTAATTTGTTAAAATAATGAACAAGCAACCTCGATCAATGAAAATGGTGAATTAATGAAACGAATTATTGGCGTACATGTATTGTCGAAGTGACAACGAAGTGATTCTTATAACTGTCACGAAAATAGATTAGAAATTAATTCGCCGGAAGGGAAGAGAAAATTTAAATAACGAAGGAATCCGGAAATCACCAGATTATAACGACGAGCGTCGTCGATTTTCTTCTATTTATTCTGGCTTTCAACGAGATGAATATTCCAATATTTGCCCGCCTTCAACCCACCGACCGTCGTTTGAATAAACCCCTTTTTGCAACCCCCTTCGGAACGAAGAAACTTGGCCGTACCCACGGAATACATAATATCATGAATATCGTTCCTCCGTTTGCCTACTATCCGTCCCTGTTTCCTCCGCAAACACTGTCGTCATTCTCACCACCACCACCGCCCTCCCGCTGCCGTGCAAAAATGCCCTCAATACCCACATCTTCGAGCGACCATTTTTATAAAATAATCGATTTATCGGGGGAAGGGGGGGGGATGAAAAATTTTCCTCCCCTCGCGTTTGCTCTTGCAAGTTGCAGGAATTTTGTAGCAGAAGACACGTATGTATGTATGTATGTATATATGTATGTAACATCGATAAGGTGAGACGACGACGCGTGAAGAAAATCAAATCTCATTTTTAAATGAGATTTATTTCTGTTAAAATTCAAATTGTGCAGGACGAATCTTTTGTGAAAAAAGTTACTGAGATAATTATGTTGTATTTGTTACGAAACAATGATAAATGAGATAAAATAAATGCGTAATTATTAATTAAATAATATTATTAACATATATATATATATATATATACTATATGTATAAAAAAATTAATTTAATTAATTTATATATATATATAAATGTTTTTATAATATGAATAATATAAATAATATATATATAATAACATAAAGTATATTAATAATATATTTTAACAATGCTAATAATAATATAAAGTATATTAAAAATATACTTTAACAATGCCAATAATAATATAAAGTATATTAATAATATACTTTAATAATGCTAATAATAATACAAAGTATATTAATAATATACTTTAACAATGCTAATAATAATATAAAGTATATTAATAATATGCTTTAACAATGCTAATAATAATACAAAGTATATTAATAATAAGCTTTAACAATGCTAATAATAGTACAAAGTATATTAATAATATACTTTAACAATGCTAATAATAATACAATGTATATTAATAATATACTTTAATAATGCTAATAATAATATAAAGTATATTAATAATATAATAGTATATAATATAATATAAATAATAAAGTATTAATTACTCTAATAATTATAATAATATACTTGATTATAATTATTAAATTTATACTTAATATACTTTATAATAATTATTAAATAATAAAGTATTAATTACTTTAATAATATAATAATATACTTTATTATAATTGTTGAACAATAAAGTATTAATTACTTTAATAATAATAATAATATAAATAATATTAAATATATTAATAATATAATAGTATATAATATAATATAAATAATAAAGTATTAATTACTCTAATAATTATAATTAATAATTATAATTATTAATATACTTTATAATAATTATTAAATAATAAAGTATTAATTACTTTAATAATAATAATAATAATAATATAAAATATATAATATAATATCAATATTATAAAGTTAATTCATTCATTCACAAATTAAAATCGATCAATGCAATGTAAATTAAATCATGTAAATTGAAAGCTACAAAGTATGTGCAATATTGCTGACCACACAAACACTATGATAAACGAACAATCGAGAAAATAATTTTAAAGAAAGAGTGGCAAAAAGAATCGGTCGCGAGTGATTTCGGCGAGAAATTGGGGCCAAGCGAACGACGAAACCTAAATAATTCATTCCTCCCCCCCTCCGCCCCCAGCCTCTCGAATCTAATTTCATCCGGAGAGGTCGCATGCTTTCCGGCTTGCGTGGATTCCCGCGAGCCGTGAATCCGAATTCCCTTTCCCCGTTTTGTCCACCTGATGCACCGCACGGTTTCACTCGTTTCGTTGAAACCCGTTCGACGCAACAAGTTTGCCATTGTTCCGGGGGGGCCGCGAGTGAAAAGCTGCCGGAAATGGACCGGCATCCCCGACTTCCTTTCAGACACACCTCGAGCTTTTTCACACTTCTTTTTTCCCCTTTCTCTCTCTTGCTGAGGAAGGAACTTCATTCAATTTTTAAAATGTACAGCCAACAAGTAAGGTTGCAAAAATAGTTTAAAAAAGAAAATCACCGTCGACACGATTAGTTTGGAATTAGGTTCTGTTTTGAGGGGAGCGAGAAACAATCGGCATATCTTTTGGCCTTATCTTCTTATTAAAGATAGTTCTCTCCGAATTTCTTTTGACTTGGGCAAAATCTCCGTGTTTAGATCTTGGCCAAATTTGACTGACTGTAGAGATTTTATTGTATTTTCATCTGATTTAATTTGAGTACTTACACCACTCCAATCGTAGGGAAAGAAGCCATCGTGCTCGTTCCAGTTATCAATGTCCACGTAGAACATCCCCGCTGTCATAATGAACACCCAAACGGCGAGGTTGATGGCGTTTAATACGTTATTGAACACCAGTGATTTCTTCACGCCCGCGGCCATTAACAGCATCATCAGTATGGTGATGACGAACGCGAGGAAATCGGGCGGTCGACCTTCAACAGACCAAAATCACTTAATTAATCGCCGCTCGTATCTCGAAATGAACTTTTCAATAAAATAATTATAGCTCGCACGTAGTTTCCTGTATATATATATATGTAATCGTGAAAATTATTAAGATCCTGCTGTACGCCTCTAGTCCATTTCTCCAAAATTAAAATATACCTCAACATTTATATAAATATTATAAAATATGTAGATATTATAAAATATTATAAAATGGTGTAAAATATATAAATATTATAAAATATAAAATATTGTAAAATATACAAATATTATAAAATATAAAATATATAAATATTATAAAATATTATAAAGTATTGTAAAATATATAAATATTATAAAATATTATAAAATATTATAAAATACATAAATATTATAAAATATCATAAAATATTGTACAATACATAAATATTATAAAATATTACAAAATATAAAATATATAAATATTATAAAATATTACAAAATATATAAATATTATAAAATATTATAAAATATTGTAAAATATATAAATATTATAAAATATTATAAAATATTATAAAATATAAAATATATAAATATTATAAAATATTATAAAATATATTACAAAAGAAGTTCCTCATCTGATAAAGTTTTGGAACATTTCGAGTTCCCTCCTCGTTGAAGTATAAAAAATTTAAGGAATGTGGCAGAGTTAACGTCGAAATTGGCGCTGTTGGACTTTTTATCAATCTTAGGACATGTGTGATTGAAAGGCACCCTGTTAATTAAGGGAACCCAATTTTTGGATGTCTAACGAACTGACGAGGCCTGCTACGAGGGTAGCAGCAAATTTATCAGTCCGTTTCCGGTTCGCCTAGCCTCTGCAACCATTCGCGATACCTCGGAGTCTATCTCTTCACGTTTCTGCTTTCTTTGAGCGTCGACTGCTTTCGAAATGAACCTACGCACGCAAGCTAATAATATTGGCCAAATTATACTCCCTATTTTCTCTCTTTATTCCGTTTTTGTTTGAAATTCGCGAAACCTTTCAACAAATATAAAGATATTTGGGATTTTAATCCATACAAAAACTCTCTTTCTCAACGACGTGAAACGATGATGTGAGAAACGCGATAGAAATATAATTTTCGATAGGATGAGGCGAGGGGGAAGTCGCGACATCGACGAGGAACGCGTCGAAGGGACCTCAATTTCCGGCGTGGTCCACGTTAATACCGAATTATTTCCTTTACGTGTTCCCTCGTAGAGGAATTTTGTGGAAAAGTCAGTTTCTGCATTTTAAACGTCTAATTTTTTTTTTTGTGAGCAACGATTGACCATCTTCTTTCAAAGAGCATTTTTCTATTTATTCTCCTCTTTGCCTTTCACCCTTTCCTCCCCTCTACATTCATCACGTTTCTCATTCGATTTTGCATCTGTTCGTCGGATATAAATTCATTTCGCGTTTGTTCCTCACTGAGACGTTCGTTTCCATCATCTTTTGCCTCTGTCTCTAGTTCCATTTCCTCTTTCTCTCCTCTTCAGTTTTGTTCCTGATGCTAATCAAAAAGCTATATACAATTTATGTTATATTCGTTCTGACACGTAGAACTGTCTCTTCTCATCTTTTTAAAGAAAACTGCAATTGGAATTAAATTATTTTAACAGTTTTTTAAGGAAGCTTCAATTCCTAGGGAATTTTTTGTACAGGCACTAGAGACACGTGTAATACCACATTGTCTTTTAACGAGAAGCTTGTAACTCTTGAAGCTTGTATTAAACTCGCATTGTTGTTCAATTTAGGTAAACGAATCTTACAGAACGTGACATTGAAATATTCCCTAACAAAAGTTTCTTTATAAGCCATTTTAATTTCAAGTACTTTCATATTCGTCTAATTGATAAAATATTTCAATAAAATTTAATAAAGCAACTCGCTAGTTTAATAAAGTGATTGATGAAGTATTTCAATATTACTTCAGAGGATAATTTGATTGCCATAGTGATTTCCAGCCCTCAATTTCAAAAACTGAAAATTACAATGTTATTCGAATTTGAAAAATTAGCGCGAGCAACGTGGCAATCGGAAATGTCGAAGTTAGAGGGGGGGGGACATCGATCATCGCGATGCCCAATGATAATGGCATTGCCGATAGAGCTTTGGGAAGTTCGTTCTGCTAAACTGGAAGTCTGTTTGATCGAACAATACCATCGAACGGCGTGCTGGCTCGCCTGAATGGAACAAAGAAGACAATTCGCACTGGAAATCCCCTAGGCACCAATGGAATCGATCATCAGCATGATACATTGCGCTCGTTCTCGAAACTAGAAAATTGATACTGGCGACAAGTTTTTCCCATTATCGCCGATTGATTTTAAATTTCTCCACTGGATTGGCCATCGATCATATTGAAATTGAAGAAAACAGATCGCCAAGAGGAGAAGAAGCCTCGAAGTTGAGAATTTCTCATCGACTGTCAATTAAAATTTCTTCGCAGAAGAGGGGAATGAGATCGTATTTTTCCTTCTTCTTAAAAAAAAAAAAAGAATCAAAATACAAAAGAGATTCAATGATTTAAAGATTCAGAAAAGGGGACCCTAAACTTGAACACGAGGTTCTCATACATTTTTCTCGCCGAAACGTCGAAATCAGAAGAAACCTAAGCCGGAGACCTAACGGACGAGTGAAAATACGGAAGAACGAGAAGAATCCAGTCTGAAAAAGCCGTTCTTCGTCCTGACGAATCCAACAATGAAAAGCCAGGAGTCGCGATTCACGCTTGTGCCTCGGTTATCCGCACCTTTAGGGCGCGTCCTCATGAATATTAAGTTCGAACAGCGTGTACATGCGCGCTGAATACGTGAATCACGGAACACCCGGTGTATCCCTCGCGTTCGGAACGAGGAGAAACGAAGGGAAAAAGCAATGAAGGGGCGTCGAGAGAAGGAAGGGATTCCAGAGGGATGAGGGAGGAGGAGAGGGAGGGATAACAAAAGAGAGGGTGTGAGAGGGGCGCTTGCGCGGATCAAGTCTAGCACCTGTGGACCTCATCGATCCGAAACGAAGCCGAGGCACTCCGACTGCTCTTTAACCTGCCTACCTGAACCCACTTCCTCCATTCTTGTTCTCTTCATCTTCGCCGGATTCTTCGACTACTTCTCCCCCGCCCCTCATTGTCAAATCGACCCTTTGATCCCACTCCTTTTCGCTCCGGTAGACCTGATTTCAAACTCGATTTATTTCTTTGAATGTTGCTTCAAACATCGTACCCTTCAAACATGGCTCCGTCTAATTAGGTTGGAGTTGTACTGGCGTGTACAAATTGAATTTCCTTAACCTCCTGCGCTGGAATGACGTGCCGCGCACGTCGAGAACTTCTTGTCCCAAAAGTTGCAACATTTTCTCAGTTTTAAGTATATTTAAGTATAACCCGGGCAAGGCAAATAATAAATTTATTACTTCTCAATAATTTCTATCCGATGATATCGTACCGACGAGTTCAAAAGGAAATGAAAGCGACGAATTATTGTATACATGGTTCGGTCACTCGTTATGGTCCGCAATCAGTTGCCGTTAACCTCTTGCGCTGTAATGACGTGCCGCGCTCGTCGAGAACTTTTTGTCTCAAAAGTTGCAATATTTTCTTAGTTTTAAGTATATTTAAGTATAACCCGGGCAAGGTGAATAATAAATTTACTACATTTCAATAATTTCTATCCAGTGGTATCGTACCGACGAGTTCAAAAGGAAAAGAAAGCGACGAATTATTGTAAACACGGTTCGGTCACTCGTTATGGTCCGCAATCAGTTGCCGTTAACCTCTTGCGCTGGAATGACGTGCCGCGCTCGTCGAGAACTTGTTGTCCCACAAATTGCAATATTTTCTCAGTTTTAAATATATTTAAGTATAATCCGGGCAAGGCAAATAATAAATTTATTACTTCTCGATAATTTCTTCTGTAATGACGTGCCGCGTACGTCGAGAAATTTTTGTCTCAAAAGTTGCAATATTTTCTCAGTTTTAAGTATATTTAAGTATAACTCGGGCAAGGTAAATAATAAATTTATTACTTCTCAATAATTTCTATCCAGTGATATCGTACCGACGAGTTCAAAAGGAAAAGAAAGCGACGAATTGTATACACGGTTCGGTCACTCGTTATGGTCCGCAATCACTTGCCAGCGCAAGTGATTAAATGTACATCATTGCTCGTCGGGTATTCCATTTATAGTTGCAATGTTCATTTCAAACTTAATGCTCGATTTAAATCGAATATTGGCACATTTAATTTGCAGATTTTTTTTTTCCTTCAACCGAATTAAAATCCTGAATTTTTCATCTGAGAGCTGTTGTTAATTAAAGAACAAGTACAAGGTAAAAAAAGAGAAGACTTGGAAATCTAAAAAAAAATCGTGTAGATCGAAACACGGAGGACATCGGATGGACTTTAGATGGCCAAGACATGGAAGAGAAAGGCGAGGGGAATAAGTTGGCACTTTTCCTTTTGTTTCCCTCGAGTACGGTTCAGCTGCAAACTGCATAGGAAGCGAAGCGTGCGTGGAGGTCCCCGAATGATGGCGGGCGCATACTTCGTTGGAAAATGCGAAGAGAGGAAAGCTGAATTGTTATCACGATGGAAACGAGAGGTACGTTAAGGAAAAGTCTCTCGAATCGTCGAGCAGAAACACTTCGCGCTAACCAGCTGGAAAAATACGCGGAGGATGTTTTTACTCGACACGATTTTTAGAGCTTCCATTAAGTTGAAATTAACTTTTATTTTATATGTAGCTGCGATGAACGTGAAATGATGAAAAAAAGATCGATAAAATATCTGTATATAATATTTATGATTGAAACAACTCGTGTCTCAAGAACAAACAAGCCCAGTCCAGATATTACTGAGCGTCAATGTACAAGATCAAGTTAACGCCCATTTACTATACACAGAACTAAACTTTCCACCCAAGTTTCTCTAACATTCTCACCGACGTAACCATCGAAAATCGTCGCGTTAACGCGATATGCAATCG